GAAACGTCGTTACTTAAACTCCTTGCTGTGTAGCATGAATTACAACAACATAAATTCTCTCTGAGGCCCTGTGTCCACACGTATCAGGGTATTTTTGAAAACCGAGAGTTTTTTCTTCGTTTTCAAGGAAATACGCGTCCACAAGTACCACATTTGACTGATTTGAATAAAACGGTATAATTACGATAGCATTGTGTGGACGGAGTGCTAAAACGGAGGCAAAATCCTCGTTTTCAAAAATATCTGGATACGTTATATCTCCTGCATCACGTTTTAAAAAAATCTGCGTCCACACGCTGCGTTTTTGGATCGTTTTTGCCCGTTCACACAAAAGCACAATAGTGACTGGAAACGGTACCATCTTTTATTGGGGCATGGGCATTTACTGGTATCTGAGCCCGTGACGTATCGTTTTCAAAAACCTTCTCATGTTTCACCCATCCCACGATTGAGGTAAAACTACGTTTTCAAAAATCTCCACTCTCGAGAGCGTTTTTGAAAAGATGCATTTTCGGTGACCTTTTTCACCCGCTCAAGAGGACGGTAGGTCAAAAAGGAGAAAACAAATCTCCATTTTCATACAAGAACAGATACGTTCGGACGGGGCCTACAATAGCTGAATGGCTTACAGGAGCGCGTTTTAAACCAGAGGGTAAATTTCAATCCCTGTTGTAAATATTTGATTGAATGAAAGTTGAAAGCTGTATTACAATTTTACACCAATGAAGTAGAAGATAAAGTTTGTGTTCATTGTTGCAGAAGGAAAAAGTGCAATGAAATTTGACGCGCACAGTGTTGGGTTGGATAAGGACCTTGTCCACAGGATCTTCTCATGTGGATCCATGCCCCCCCCCCCCCCCCCCCGCTGATATCGTGCTCTTTCATGTAGTTGGAAACTTTATTGTTCCTATTACATGGCAGTAATCTATAGCCAAAATAATTAATTAAGCGCGAACTTCAGACAGTCACATATCAAACAACCGGCTCAAGAAGAAATCTTGTTGCTTTTCAGGTATGTTTGACTCAAAAAACCTCCCTTTATGGAACTTTCCGAGTGAATATTGGTGAACAGACTTTATCTGACTGTGTTTATGATGTGGAAAATGGACGATGTCTCTTGACATACAGAGTCCAAAGTGACAAACAAAAGTAAAATTATCTGAGAGTGTAATCTATTTTTATAGTGGTTCCGATTGATCAGCTTAATAGCTTTTTTAGGCAATGTGATTAATAATACTGTAATATCGTAGAAGTATTTTCACCAACAGCGCGTGCTCTCATTGGCTACTTTGAGGTCACATGACATCTGACGATAAATCTGTTTCACGCCAAAAGTTTATGCGGACAGCATTTCAAAATTTATGACTTCAGAGGGTTACGAAGGCTACCCGCAAGAGTTGACCATTCCCTGATATTTGCACACGTAAACGTTTTCCCTTTAGGGCTGTACAACAAACCACATAATGACTCGTTCCTTGGGTAACTATATGACATTGTTTCCCTCGAGTTTCAATGTTTCCCTCGTCTTCTTTCCTTGAAAAATGAAATTGTTTTAGTTGAAAATTGGTGGTTCAGCATTAGATCAATAAAACAGAATTCTTGCTAGCTTGCGAATATTTCACTCGCATGTATTGTGTGGTGGTGGATCTCTTATTAAGGTGATCAGTATAAATTGCTGAGATACAAAAATATAGACGGTAATCTGATCTGACGCCAACGCATGAAGAAGTAAACAAAAGATGACGAAACGGTAAAAAAAATTAAAATGTCAGTCAGCTATTTGTTGAAATATATTTTCTACGTTTTTATCATATGTTGTTTAGTTTCTCATCGCTTTCCCGTCGGTATCAGGGTCTTAAATGGGGGGGGGGGGAGTCCTGGTCCCGAATTCGCACGCCTTTTTCATGACAATCCCGCATGCCGAACACCCGTCATCTCTAATCCTAAAACCATTTTCTTTCCCCATTCCGCTTCTTGTGCCAAGATTTTAGCGAATCCTGCCTCTCGAGTGACGGTCAATTCCCGTATCCCGTCAATAAATTTCGCGTTTTCCCGAATCCCGAATCCCGGGTCAAATCCCGGATACCGAGAAACTCCTTTCAGACTCTACAGGATCAGCTTGGCGTCTATATTTGTTGTATTCATGCGTATGACCAGGCCAGTGCCTTAAAAGGCATTTGAGCATATTGAGATATAGTCCCTTTAATTTGTTCCATTTATCATGTTGACAGAAAAACTTCAATTGATCTTATTTGTAAAGACACAGAAGAAGGAAGAGTGGACGTTATGAAAACATTTGGCTCGTTTTATGTAAGTGCATTATTAGTCTCAACAACAACATTCTTTCTTTGCATCAGACCATATAAGTACATACAGCATTGCAAAAGCTATTTTAAGAACCAAAATTACATCAAAGGGCAATTAGTCTTAGTACTCTTGTGCCTAGATAGAGTCTCTCAACGTACGTCGTCCTAAGTTTTTCCGGTACGAAATTGTCATTTATTCATTCGGTTCGTTCGTTCGTTCGTTCGTTCGTTCATTTATGTATTCATGCATTCATCCATCAGTCATTCACCAATTTTTAAAGTTAACTTTGAAACGCACGAAATTATGAAGTTTATGGAATGTTATCATGTTGCGAAGAAAAAAAACATAAACCGAAGAGAACTAAACCGTAAACAGCGATGTTTAGAACTTTGTGGTTTTGAAGTTTTGCTCGAGTGCCCCTGAATTTTACTGATTGTGAATGGTCACTAAACTATCAAATTCCTGAAATATTTCATGTGTTCACGGTTTACTGTGTGTGACCTAACTGCAATTATTTTATGGCTGAATCAGCGAGCGGGCAAGATGAAGCAAATCCTGTGTTCCTATTGGCTACCCGAGCAGGCAGTATAGGCCGAACTTGCACGCTCGGGATTTCCCGCGTTGGTCCCGCAAGAAAAAGTTTTCTCTCTGGCCTCTTTTCCGTTCTTATCGACCTCAACTCCGTCTCGGTCCATAAAAACGCAGCAAAGAACTTTGCCAATATCCAGCCACCTTGACCTCACACTTGGTCAATAACATATTTATATGACTTTCTATGTGCGTTTCTTAGTACACATCACTTTATTCCAAGTGCGCATGCCCAGGAAGGTGCAGTGGTCTCAGCCCTGGCGCAATAGCAGGAATTGTGTAAGTGAAGATGTCTCCTTAAACGATAAGAATAACACAAGCAAAACAATGGCGGATATAGATATTCCACTAAGTGACAGGGAGGGGGTGTTCTCTTGGCCCTGTGGGCTTCAGTGTGTCCTAAATTGTAATCTTGACGAGATTTGCTTTTTTCGCCTCGCCTCGCCTTCCTCTATCAACCTTCCGCCTCAATCAGCGTCCAGGTGAGATTAATACCGCCTTTGTCTCACCTAGCCTGCGAACAGCAAACGTCGGAAATACGTCTGCTGTTGGCAGGCTATGTCTCACCCAAAGCTCGTTTGAATTACTTCGTTAATGAAAAATCTAGCATTCTAACTTTATTCAGCAAAGGAAACCGATTACCACTCGACTCCTGTTAGCGCTTAGTTTTAATTTTAGTACCATAATCCTAATTCTGTAATCCTATTTCCTCAGGATTGGATCTATTGTTGCGTTCCTGATATTAGCTTTCGTTGTTTTTATTTGCTATGTCCGCTGCATGCTGGCAGATGTAGAGACTAAACCGTCTATATGGACCACAATTAAGGTGAGCAATAAAAGCACTTTAAAATTCATATGAAGCTCAATAATAATAATCAGAAACACTTGTGAAGGCAAGGTTGTGCCACGAAGGCAAAGAAATGCAGAAAAACTTCTGATGTTCGTGCCAAGTTGTTGTTTTGCCAATCTAAACCTATTGCTCTTTGCCGTTCTCCGGTTGCCGTCGCCGTCGTCGTTGCAGAAGCTCCGTAATGTTGATACCAGGTACCAAAGCCTACAAAAGCTCTAAAGAATTATCACCACAGGCCAACCAGTATTTTCATATTATAGGATTTTTAGAGATTTCTAGGAGTTTTTGTGGTTCAGTTTTTTTTAGGCTAAACGTGAGATTTTTAGAACAATTTTGGGGCAATAACAGATAGATTTTAGGCCTTTTTTTCGGGATTTAGTCGCAATGCCTAGATGATGTGTCCGATATGTGCAGCCTGTGCTCGCAACGTGCACGAGGTGAGCATGCATGGAGCTCGTGCTAACCTCGTGAAAACGTGTAACCGTTAGTCCGTTACAACTGCCCCTTCCTTTGGCCTTGTTCAGTACTGTTGGCAGGCGATGGGCATTTTACATTTACCCAAAATAAGCCAAACATCAGCCCTACCTGAAATTATTGCATCGATGTTGCAGCCTACCAAGACTGTAGCTAGACTTTCTCCACCTCAGTGGCCCCCATTCCCACCGAGTATTCCACTAAAAATAGCAATAGTGTAGTTAAAAAAGCAAACGAGCGGTGGACGATGGGGAAAGAGACCTCCCTTTCCCCTTCCCATTGTCCCCCGCGCGCTTTCTTTTTGTCTCTCTCCAGCCCTCTACGACACAAAGAGAGAGAGCTAGTATCCAGACAATAAATTACCACTCGCGCTTACGTCACTACACCGTAATGGTCTTGAATTGTACAAAAGTTTGCGTTTCTTTTGGCTGTTTTTCATTCATTTGTTCTTCTTTTTTACTCTTTTCAGGATGGCTTTATTCTTATAAAAGAAACCTGCTGTCCGTGCTTCAGAAGACGGCAGTACTCACAAATCCCATAAACTATGTCAAATATATATATTAAAGAACTATTATTTGGTAACTGTTAATAAAAACCGGTTTGCGAGAGTAACGATTACTTTGCATGTTTCGTGAGAATAAACCTTTCCACGGTGTTTTCAACTTTTGACTGTGACCAGTTGCCGAAAATCCGACACGAGTAGAAAGAACACCTTAAAACCAGTTAAGTTACCAAGTTTTAAAGACGCGTACTACTCTGCATTTTCCAGGCGCCGCTTTGGCACGGCGAAAACCGGAAGCATGAAGCGTCATGGGAAGCTAGTCGAAGGGCTGCAGCGCATCTGTCCCACAACCCAACGCGCGCTACGCAAGAGCAAGGAGAAAGGCATGGAAACTGACAGGGCTCGTAAGGACACATTTCCCATTTTTCAAGGACTCCCATTAAGTGCAAAAAAGAGCCTTGAGTCTATATCTTTTTTAGTTCTTCCACAACACGAGTAATTTTATTCCGAAGGTCCTTCTGTGTTTGCTTTTTTCTCTTTTGAGTTCTACTAAAACTATAAAGTTAGCATTGAAATTCAAGGACTTTCCAGCACCGACTACAATTTTCAAGGACTTTTAAGGCCTTGAATTCAAGGACTTTCAAGGAGCGTGCGAACCCTGAACTGAAGCTGAATTTCTGAGATAACAGAACATATTTTCACTGTATTGTTTATTCAAATTCTAAAATAATAAATATCCAAAGGAGCTCAAATTCTACAACATACTGCGTTTTTTATTAAATATATACATTAAGCTGTGAACAAGTGTCCATGATGGGGCTAAACACTTCCAAATGCTCAGAATTAAAATTCTATTTTGATGTTGTTTGTTGTTGTTCTCTCTGTTTTAGTGCTTCCTTTTTGGTTGTTGTTGTTGTTGTTGTTTTGTTTCCTTTGCGTACTAATTCCTAGTACAGGTTTCTTGGGCAATTTTTTTTTAACACTGTGAAGATATCTTCTTATAGAATGGTCAAAACCTTATCATGAACGTAAAAGGGTAAAGAGAAATCAGTCTTCGTTAAGAATGAAAGAAGTGCAAAAAGAACAGCCCAGCAAATTTTACTGCTGGAAATCTACTTATTAGGTCCTGTTATTCTTCAAAATATTTGTCCGAGAAATATGTCCAATTCCCGCTTTCACCATGAAAGGCCTGAAAACAGTTGCCATGGAAGCAAAACATCAAAGCCCCATTATGGAAACTGTCACGCAATGTGCTTTTTAGGTCGCAACACCATGACCTAAAACTATTCTGACTATTTACAAGGTAAGTTTGTAACATTACATCACCCTAATTTGGGCCATGTTAATTTCCCTTTAAAGGCTCCCTTTTTTGAAATACTGGTTCAGTGATCTAGTTAACTGGCTCAAATGCATGCCCATCGAGAAACAGCAGTGTGAAGTTTCCGGCTCCCTCTTGTAAAACTTATAAGATCTACTCAAAAACTTTTCAAACCTCTGGGTCAAAATTGATTTTGTTGAAAGGGAGAGGAAAAATAACAACCTATATTAGATGGAAAGACCCAAAGGGCTGAAACAAAATAGATCAGACCATCTCATCAAGGTCATCTAAAATTACTACCGCTTTCCAAGATGTACATTACAAATGCAGTACAGTTGATTACTTTTTTAGTAACCAAGTTTCATGCTCAGGACAACTACAAGAAGTCTAAGCTCGACAGCACAGAGAGACTTATAATAAAGAGCAAGTTTCATGCACCAATTTGAAAATCAAGAAATGTTATCTTTGCCGATCTCATTCTTTATTCTCAACATGGTTTTGTTTGATTTAGCACTGATTTTTGAGGAGAAGTTATACACTGATCACAGGTACAGCTTAAAGGCTTAAGGAGCACACCCTGTCATGCCAAAGAGGAATTTTTATATTAAGAACTTTAAAGCTACAAACAACTGTATCTTCTGATTTTCTATTCTCTGCAACTACTTTGTAGAGGATATGGAATGAGGGGGGGGGACTCCGCATATAAAAGGGGTGGGGATGCTCGTTGGCAAAGGAGACCGATCTGGGCGTGGCCCAAGCTTTTTTTGACCCCTAAAAGACAAACCATGACAAACAAATGACAGACATATGAGAAAACTTGGATTATATGAATGGAGTGAATAAAACGAATTAAAAATATACATATCAAGTATATATTTTTATATTTTTTCACGTGCAACCCTAAACGAGACCTTCACGGCTAAATATGATAGTGTTTTGCCCAGAACACCCTAAATGAGACCAAAATCTGAAATTTACACCCCTAAGCGAGACGACGAGCATCCTTACCACTTTCAAAAGCGGAGTCTCCCTCCCCCGGATATGGAACAATCAGTCATTTCCTTTTCATCTCAAAAGGAAGGGATTAGGAAGGGAACCAAAACGGGAAAGAGAGAGCAAGTTGAATGAAAGAGTGAAATGACTGAATGGAAATGAAGAACGCTGTCTGATACAATAGATCGCAGAACCAACATAAAGGAGAGTGCAAGGCATGAAAATGAAAAGCAGCAATCAGTGGAACAGGGAAACAGCATGACCAACAGAGGAGATAGGAGAAAGAGGGAAGAGACAATAAAATTTATAGGAGAGTGGCAAATGTGGAGAGTTTTCATCAGAATATCTAGATCTATACTTATTTTAAAAAAGTGGATGGTAAAATTATGCTGTGGTCTACCATGTTTTTGCTGGTTTAAAAAGGTAACATAATGAAGGGTCAATGTTTTGGAATAATGGCAACGTAAAAGAAGAACGATTCTGTATGTAAAGAATAATAGAATATGGATGTACGAATGATTACGGAAAAAAAGGATAAGAAGAAAGAGACAATTTACCTACATTTTTAACTCTCAAAGAAATACGACACACATTTAAGATGGTACCTTCCCCCTGAAACCTTACAAGAAAACATTCAAAGGAAAAGACTGATTGCTCCACCACGGAAAAATAATATATTCCATTTTCTATATAATTTTTTTACATTAATTATTAAGATGTTGTGACAGAACTTATGATGTCTTTTGCCTTTTTCTTGGAGGTCCTATTAAGGGAGTCTGTGTCGAAGCTAGAAATGCCTTGAAAACTTGATCTATTAAGTGAGGGTGATCCCTTACAAGTGTTTTCCATCCATTTGATTCCATGACATCTGTTGTTCGACTGCGGAAATAAAAACATAAACAGCCTGATTTTCAGATGCTATGAATGAAATTTCCTTTGGTGGTGGGGGTATGAACAATATTTTTCTGAAAGCACACTTTGCATTAATGGTGAGCTGTGGTGAAAGTTAGATCACTCCAGTTTTGCAGGTTTTTTTTTCCAGTTTTCTGTCTGAAAATTACTTTTGAGTAAGTTATCCATTGGACAAACATCTTTTCGAATCTAGGCAGTAAGGTACCCAAGGTGATTTCTGGTCACCATACAATGAAAGTCATGCTTGGCAGGTTTTCCACCATGACTGAAATTTTTAAAGCCAAGAGTTTGGTTGGGCCCCCAAGGCTAAGTTTCTGGCACTGAATCTCCTATCACTCTTCTGAATCATTCAAAATGGACTATTTATCAACCCTTTGAGCCCCAAATATATCCACTTACAAATTCTCCAAACTGATCCCCATACAATTCCTTAAAGAATTAGTTGAGAGAATTTGATAAAAGATCACAGCGTTTTCTCTGAGGTGATCATTTTATTAAATTTCATAACCTTTTCTTTTGATAATGTACTGAAGTTGCGTGGAGAAAATTCACGTTGGTCACTCTTGGGACAAAAAGGGTTAAACTGTACCATTTCATCTGCAGAAATCTCAACCTAAGATTACAACTTTTTGGGCTAACAACTGTCCATAACTGCAAGAGGTTAGCAGCTTGAATTACAGTCATCCAATGTGCAACCACATTCTGAAAACTTGTAAAATCTCATCATTTCTGACAACTGGAAGGCCTAAAATTTCACACCCAGTTTTGGTAACAAACAAGTAAAATCTTGCAGAAGAGGTCTGTAACAGCTATTCTAACCTGTTAATGTAGTCCAGAGCCTGAGTCTTTAGTTGAGTTGCACTGTGCATGTCAGCTAGTATAAGTACATCACACACATTGTCTACTGTTAAATTTGAACATAATGCTTCCTCACACATAACTTTTAATCTGTCCAAGTCATACTGCAATAAAGGAACACATGCAAAGGTTCAAGTAAATTATTGAAAACTGAGACACTATAGTGTGTTTTCATGTCTTAAGACCACTAGCAAATTTTAGTGTGATTTGTAGTAGTTACTCTGGTTTACAAATGAAGCACAAGCATAAGTCCAAGAAATATAAAATGTACTGCATACACAGAGTACGACACCTGTGCCAAGTATGCCCCTGAATAAACCTACCACAACCAGTGATCTGATTACTTTCACGCACCCTAATTTAAGCATAGTTCAGAACACATTAAATTTTAACCCCCTCCCCCGCCTCATTTAATAGTCCATCCAGTACATGTTACAACTTCAACATTCTGCTAGCAAAGCAATACTACTTTATTCATACATAGTACTCATGCTTTCTGGTAGTTAAACTTCAGCAACCATGAGTAGGATTGAAATGTGTAACTTTTATGTTGTAGTTAATTTTTTTCATTTCAGGTAATTTTTATTTTTGCTTTTGTTTCAACTTCATTAGCATACATTACCATACCCAAAAACAAAAGAAAAACAAAAATTAACTACAACATACTGTATATTCAATTTTGTCCTTGGTTCAAATCTTATTATCTTTTGTTTTTTGGGTAAGGTAAAGTAAATGATGAGTTTGCAAAAAAGGAGAATAAGATTTGAACCAAGGATAAAATTTAAACAAAACATATACATGTACACAATCACTAACAAACATAAGAGTGCTACTAACTTTGACATCTAGCTTGAGAACACATGAATCATTATTAACAATGACATAACATTATTGCAGTGGACATATTATGGACCGAAGTTGTCAGTCTGCAGCTGTACCTGCTAATTCCACAAACTGTATTTACTTGAAATTATAAGCACTTGTCTGAGGATGGGGCTCACTTGAGAGTGGTGCTTATTTGAAAGAATTGTTTTAACTACAGTATTGATATTTTTTTAATTGAATTAACAGAATTAACATCTGATTTTGATTTTATTGCCACCGAGGCACTTATTCGGGGGTAGGGAGGAGTGCCTGTTAACATTTTTTGAGCAAAATGCACTTTAAATGCTTCCTTGATTGAGTCCAACCACATTTTTGGTTTTGTCCAGCCAAAATAGTGTCCTTTGTGTGTTTTTGCGGGCAGCAAAGATTAACGACTGACAACAATAACTCAATTTTTTTCCACATGTACAGTGTAGCAGGCAGGCTGCACAAAACATGTCTAACATATAAGAAACAAGAGAGGCAAATAATTAAGTTTTGTTGGGAATTGTACAGGGGTATTGTTTGGTTTTTGTGCTTTACATAACCTGTGCCAGTATAGATACACAGGAGGAACTAAAACTTCTGATTTTTTAAAGACCCAACCTTGTCTGCAGCAGCTAGAAGATCATCTGCCATTCCTTGAAGTTGCGGTGTGCTACCAGTGTAAACAAACTTTAGCATTTCATGAAACACATCAGGATCTATGTCACTTATCTCCACACGACCTTTTCTACTTTCTTCCATTTCATGTTCAAACATGGCCCCAAACACAGGGGAGCGTGCAGATAATATAGCTTTATGAGCCTTGAATTCTCGGCCCCTTGTGCATAATGTAACATCACTAAAGGTGCCTGAGTCTAAAAGAGATCCCATGTGTCTTGAAAGCTTGCATTCAGGAACCTTAAGTGCCGCAGTATGAGAAGAACCCGATACATTAACAGAATCACCTTCAACGCTGACCTGAAATAATGTAGCACAAATGTCAGACATACAGTATGCAGTACCACCATTTTTCATTATTATAAAAACACATCAAAACTACTGAAATACTCTGGTATAAGGGCCGTTACTAAGGGCTGGCGGGCTGGGGATTTCTTCCTGCTAGTATGAGCATGACGCCTGGCAACTTTTAGACAGCAAAACAGTCCATATTCTTGCATATTTAAGTACGCGCGAACAGTCACACAAAAGGTCTGGAGCGAGGCTGAAAACAGAGAGAGAGTCTCACTCTCACTTTGCACACGCAAGACCCTAACGCTATTCTTATCCTACACTCAGGGTTTTCATTAAGAATTCTACTAGCAGGAGAAAAGTGTAATGTTACAGGAGATTATTTTGAAAGGGGCTCCATGTCTGAATCGAAAATAGTGATAGAATACGAAATATTAGCCAGAGAATTCTGCATCGTAAGTGGAGAATTCTCCGATCTATGGTGCCTAATGAATACCCTGTACACTAAACTGATTTTGAGGAAAAACCCTACTGTTTTGCAGACTAGACAACTTTCAATTATAGTAAACACTCCAGTGTGGGAGTGAGATGTTCAATTTCCTGCCTACCAATGGCATACAGCCAGATATGCAAAATCTTCCTGGCCGCCCTGTGATGTGACTAAAACTTACAAAGACTGTGGGTAACACTTCATAATACATTGAATTCTTATTCAAAGTAAAAAAGGAGGATTCACTCTTAAAAACACACATTTAGGCCCTGCATCAGAACGGCATATGGTTAAATGTAAATGTGACAACAGAGGAGGTTCAGAGTCCCTTTTTACAAAGCTGGCCTGTGATTCTAGATCAATATAGTGATCAATCTAGAGCCTTAAATCACTACCTTAATATGTACTCTAGACATACCCATCTGAACTCCCTGAATTAAAGATTGTATCTTCTTGTTGAAAACAAAAACTCTGGTGTTCAGCTTCTAATCACCACCAAACATACAGTCACAAAAAAATTGTCTAGCACTTCAATCATTACTATCACAGTCAACTTCTCTTTTTTAAATTAATTTTATTCTATTTATTGCATGTAAATTTTACTTTCAAATTTTGTGAGTGGTTGGTGTGTTACCTAACCGGCTTTTACCAACCTAATTGTGATGATGATGATGATGATGATGACGATGATGATGATGATGATGATGACATGTATTTAACCTTATCAAACATAGTAATTTTCATAATTATAACCACAAGAAGTTTTCTATTCTAGATAATGAGTGCTTTATGGTAGGTTGTACATGTACATGTATCATGTTCATGATGCCTTACCTCACAAAACAGAGTGAGTGTGTCATTGGGTAATAAACCATTAGCTTCATCCATGAGAAAGTCTCTTCTTATAAACTTTTTAAATCCCCAGTCTTTTCCTTGTACAAATCTATAAGCCCTTTGGCTCTCTGAGAAAACAGAAAGATTTAATTTTAGACATGTCATTAATAGTGTGTGTGATGAATTTGACTGTGTTGATAACAAGCAAGTAGTATTTTAATAACATCTACTATTTTGAACATATTATGTACATGTTGCGGTTCGATTTTATCCTTGGTTTAAATTTTGTTTTCTTTTGTTTCAAAAACAAAAGAAAATAAAATTTAAGCCAAGGATAAAACAATTGAACCACAGCATACACACTGCAGGGAAATTTCACATGTACCTTCCTTTCATAAGGCTCACAATAATAAATATCTAAGTTCACACTTTGTCTAAACTGCATTTTTTCTGCAGTGTACAGACACCCACCACATTTCAAAGCACCTTTTAAGAAAATGCAGACTGTTATAATATTACACACCTCACACTACACATACAAAACCAGCAAGTCAATCTGTCACTGTCACTGTCGTAACTGATGAACAGTTATCAATGACAAATAGACATTTTGAGCAACAACAATTTGCCGCCTGTCCCCTTTGAATTGTTGGACAAAGATGTCTGATTCTTGGAGAGCTGTAAAAAGAATGTAGATGTATACTTTCCCAGCCCCTCTTCTGTAGGTATATTCAATCTTAATAAAATATCTTAATCATGGAAAACACAAGAGGTGTTTCTTGGTATTGTGGAAACTGTTGTTTTGTGGTTTGGATATCGTTCAGTGTCATTTCAATCTGTTGTGTTACGTCATTCAGTGTTTGCAGCCATCCACAACACCAAGAATTAAGAAACTACATGTACCAAAACAAGCTAGGATGAAAAACTTGCTTGCAAAAAATTTGATACCCGTAACAATGTCGCAGTGAAACTACACCTCTCATCTTTAACACTCTTCTAGACTCATGGATGGAATGGATTCATGCAAATGAGATGACGTAACTAAAATAAAAAATGTTAATACAAGTACAAAGTACATACCCATAGCTTTAGTTTCTTCTCTGTTAGCATTAAGGATTGAAAATTTGAATTTTGCTCTGACTTCACTCTTGTTACAAGCAAGTAATAGTAGATATAGTGATAAATAGTCTTTGCTTTCTTCATCTAAGCCTCTTGGATTTACTCTTAGGCACCTACACATATGATGAAATAAAAAGTATCATACATTGAGAAATGTTAATTCCTTTAACACGTGTAAAGGTGCAATTTCAAGAGAGGGTCTAGGTCGGAATCATTAGAGAGATTTAAAATCATGTTTTTGGCGAACATTAAATTCAAGTTGACCATTTCTCCAAAACAGAAAATGAATAGATAAGACTGTGCAAACTATTAAATTCTTATGGATAAAACTAGGGTGAAACTGGTAGTATAATGAGCAGTTCATGACTGGTAAAGGAAAAACTTGGCCACATGGTACAGATGTTATTGATATTTGTCGTTTAGCTGTAAATGTTGTTCTAGATCCATCTACTGTAATATCTCCAACTTTCCTGTACACCCACCTTGGAGAGAGGGGTGCCCAAGTAGCTGTTGCAAAGAGGTGGTCACTATTTGGGGCAAGCTGAGGGAGTGAAGGGGGGTTAATGTGAACACTTATTTTCTAGGACACATCAATATTACATACGTGTAACACCATCAAAAATGAGCCCAGACGTCATTTCAACTAGCCCCAAAAACTTTTTGACTGACAGAATTGATTTTACAGTTCTCCTGTTATTCGAATTCCTCAAAAAACATCACTTGCCCATCGGGCAAGTTAAAAACAGAATTCACTGGCCCGATAGCAAAATCCACTAGTCCCAAGCTATCGGACACTACTTTCTTTGCACGCTGATGCCTGATGAAGACCTGTAGTACACGGTCAAAACGTAGCAATGAATATCAAAGTGACAATTGTGAGACAAACAATAAATGAAACCCTTTAAAAATCAGTAGAAATGTTTCCACAGTCAAGTTATACAGCGTAGCTAGGTCCATAAATGCAAGACATGTACAAACACAATACCTACCACTTCATCTTGTCATTAGCACCAGCAGAAAATGTGGAACTTTTTAATGTTTCCCCCATCTCCTCTCGGCAGAAGCTGAAGTTATTTATTGTCCACATGTAGGAGAACTTTATGACTTTGATTTGAGTGTAACACCAGTTCTCCGCCACTGGCGATGAAGAGGACATCTTAGATGACTCGCAACAAGATATTGCAGCCAGGGTGGATGGTCTGAAAGGAATATTCATACAGTCAACACCTACTCTGTGACAAAGCCTCCAAGAACATGCCACATGTAAAAAAATCAAAACATTTTAATCTAGTGAACTGAAAGAATGAATGAACTTTATCTGCCACATTATTCAAACAGGTAACACTGACTTGCATTGATAGAACAAATTGTAACAGAAAGAAACAAGAATCACCATCAAAACATACACCGTGTATCCCTCTGAAACAAATACAGTTCAAAGATTATACTACAAAAAGTTAGTCATAAAATTTATTTACAAGTATTCTTTTCCCTCCTTGTATGGAGAGACTGTTACAAGTGATTATTGTGGGGACAATTAACCAGTGCAGGGCTGTCAACCCCCAACATCTTCAAGTATTAAGAATTGATAGGAAACTAAGGAAAGGGATAATAGATGATGTCATAATGCACGGCACATGACGTCATATGTGCGAAAAATACTTGTTGACTCTGATCGCCACAAAATTTGCGATGACACAAAGCATGTGAAAAAGATGTTGTTCGCATAATAACATTTGACCTTATTGGTTTACTTCCCACCAATCACATTATTATAAAGTTAGAATGACATTGCAGAGTTTATGATTAAAATAGCTCAAACAAAGCAAAACAGTTGAAATTTTTAGCATGGTCGGAAAGCCAGATCTACTGACATAAAGAAATGGCAAACTTCGGCAACTATCCGGGAGATTTCATACTCCAATTGGAGACTGGGAGATAAGGTCCAGAATCTGGAGTCTCCTGGATTATCCAGGAGAGTTAACAGCACTGCAATGGGCTCATGGCAAGGGCAGAAGACAGTCTCAGAGGCCCTCGCAGAGGAAGCTGAGGGATCAAAAGGAATCTGTTGGGTGACCATTTAATTTGCAGGTATGGCTGGGAATGAAGGTGGTACAAGGCTTTGCTCTAAGGAAAATTGAAGAGAGCCCAGTGCTCTGAACCTGCAAAATCTAGAGTGCCCAGCATATGATTTGTATGAAAGATCTTTGATTTTCTAGTCACCCAAGAGCAAAAGTTGGGCGCCATGGGCCACCGGGCTCTGCTAGAGCACAGCCCTGGTGGTAGAACTGTATGTAGCATTATGATTCAAGTTTAAGTCACATCAGTTATTCGATGCACCTGAAAATTGAGCAGTCTGTTGGACATTACTCACGGAATATACGTCACACGGGTTGACAACAATGTTATTAGGCTGATTTACCAAAAACATAATGCAACATCAAATCAGAGCGCGAATGCACATGCAGAAAGGACTAAACACAATTTCCACTCAATACAACACTCTGTCATTGGTCCGTCTGGTTTTTAGCCCTGTGCACACCACCATCACTGGTATTGTGCCGTCTTTGCTGTCTATCGGTTATTCATCACTAAACAATGACTGTAGCTTTTTACAAACTCTGACCATGACTCTCATAATTATTTGTCACTCTTACAAACAGTCCTTTCAGACCACACTCACTCAAACGACCATATTATTTTAACCTGCTGGGGAAATAGCTGCTCGGTTCAAACCATTTACTGATGAAATATTGTGCAACACTTGAATAGGCACTATCTAAAGACTGAGAGATTTTTTTCCACGGTGCTCCTTCCCATGTGACGATTTTGTCAAAACAACTTGGCACAAAATGCCCTCCTTGCACAAAATACTTTGGCCAATTCAAATTTGCCAGCTGTGGAGCTGTGAATCAAATACCTTCAGGTAATGCAACAGAGTGATAAGAATGAAGAGGTTACTGTGGATCTGACATTTTGATGTGGTAAGAAACGTGGCATAAATGCTAAGACTCACATTAGAGGCACGTAGCATGGACTCAGCATTTGGTGACTTTTGAAGAAGTAATTTCGTGTGATAACATAAGAGTTAAAAGCCAGACCACAGTCATACTTTAGTATGCAATTCTTTAATAATTTCAAAAACCTTTCTCCTGATTTAAATAAGCCTTTCGTTTGAAACGAATGCCAAGCTATTTCTATTATTTTTTCCTAAATAAAAACACTCTCAAACCGTTTAAGTGCTTGAATCGATATAATAACTGTGTATAAAACCTCGGGTAATTTCCCAAATATAAAAAGCCTCGCTCATTCAAATATTGTTTCACTTACACCAAGGAAATTGCTTTTCGCGATGTTATGGTTTCAAGGAGTCATATCGCTGTGCATGCATGTGCGACCGTGTGAATGCTATAAGCAGCCCCTTTCAGGCAGAGACGGTCGCTAGAAACAGGAGAATACTTTGGATCGATTCAATGATTTGCATTCACTGAAACATGCATGCAGCAGGAAACTTCATTAATTTGCACTCAAATTAAGCACGCAGTGAGCCAAAGCGAGAACAAGAAAACACAAAAAAGTCAATAGTTACAGAGAAAAATAACCCCGAAATCTGCAAAATGTGAGTCTCCCACGCGAATTGAACGAATGAATAACTGAATTAAGACATACACCGCCAGTTCACTGCGAACATAGTCGGCCGAAAACTTTTGGCTTTGTAATACCGGAACTCATTCACCGCGACAACTGGAGGCATCTAACGAACTAAAAGCACCTTGATTTTCCATGTACGCGCTCGGAAACACGAAAAAAAAAATCGTGCTTGGCTTACCTTGTTTTAACCGCCACAGGAACAAATATTGAACAGTATTTATTGAAAGGGGTCCAAAAGATTTCAAATCCTTTACCTCGAGTAACTACTTTTGTCGGTTTTGTGACTCGTTTCAAGTCCTCTCTTGTTGTATCCGGGAATGTTGAACAGTCCGCGCCATTGTTTATGCGCGCACGGAAATCATGACACTAAAATCTAACGCATGTTCTGATTGGACAGCTGAACAGCAATGTTTACGTCTTCTACCAGTCTTGTTTACCGGGATATTTCGTCTATGATACCTGTAAAATCAAATACAACGAAATTCCTATGAGAATAAGAGTTACACTCTTGAAAGCGCCGCTAGGCCACAAAGGGCCACTAGTACAAATTGGTCGCAAAATCATAATAAACAACTTTATTGACTTTATCTTCGACATGAAGATTTCAGTACCAAAACAATCAATATAACAACGAATGAAACAAGTAAAATAAAAGTTAAAATATAAGTGTTACCATGAATCAAGAGCCATTATGGCTCATGCCTGAACTTGTTTCCTTTCAAACTGCGCGCTTGTTGTTGCGCTTTTTAGTAAGGAGCAAGAGTATTAACAGCTGTACTGAGTAAGGCACCTTTATTCAAAATGTTGAGATAATCTTTCTCGCGTCTTTCTAGTTCTCGAGCTCGTCCCGATACGCTTTTCAAAATAAAAGAATACCACACAAATTGCAAAAGTAATACCACTTATTTAAACAAACCGCGTGACCTAGCTCCTCAGCGAACCCCAAACGAGTGATGAAAAAGCCATCACATATCTCTTTCTACCGCCCAGGGCCGGGTGGTTTAAAGTGGCTGTCGGAGCAGGGGTTAAGATAACCCTCCTAGAGCGAAATTTGATTTCAGATGTGAAAGCTTACTGAAAAAGCAAATTCAACTATGAAATTCTTTTTGTCTACAATTTGGTGATTGGATGTTTTGAAAAGAATAGCGAAAATTATCTGGGCCCTCAACTGTAAGCTAGACTGTAAACGTGTGCAAACTTTCGATCATTTTCAAACAGCTTTATGTTGGTAATACTAGAAGAACTCTATTAACAGGAAATTCTTCAATCTCCGGGTTTTCACTACAACCTGTCTCTCTTAACATAAGTTTGTTTCCGTCACTGGACAGGGTAAAAGCCGGCACCTTTCAGACTTTTAGCTCATTGGCACTACTGACCCATTAATTTAAGTGACCGACCTACCGCCAGTAAACAACGAAAATCAATTGCAGTGACTTTTAATCTGTCAATAGCAACTGCTGTTTCCTGCAGAAAAATGTAGGGATTTCTTGTGGTATTTAAAAAGGGCGGAATACCTGGTCAGTAAATTTTTGAAACTAAAACCGAAAAGCATCCGAAAAGTAGCAAGGCTGAGTGATGAACAAAAATTATATTTGTAATTCAGGTGCTAATTTCGTGACAAGACGCAAACTTTGTTTGACAAGACTATACAAATTTTTTGCGGAATTTGCATGAAAAAAGAGTTCAGTTCTCAGCTGAGAAAAATGCTTTTGTTCCGAAGCAAATGGCCGCCGTGACGTCGGCTGCTCTGCGAACGGCACTGTAGTTCTTTTTCGACACTGTATATCGTTACGTCTTGTATTATTCAGCTTTTGAGAGAAATTATTGGCACAAATGGACAATGATACCAGGATACAAATTTCCGCGTAAAAAGTGAACCACCTTTACTATGGATGAATCAAGAGAGGACAAAGCTCTCTCTTCACCCTCTCTCAAATGAATAAAGAATTTGGCCCTCCCCCTCCCCTCCCATCATCGCGTTGATAAGCGGCTTTCTAAAAATATCATGGATTGGTCACATTCATGAGTGACGTCACTCGAGGAGGAGCAGCCATCTTGGATTGGACTTAGTATCATGTGAGGTCAAAGCTTCCGGGAATTCTCCTGGCGTTTTTTATAATTTTACACAAAATGGGGATAACAAGCTCTTCTATGACGTTCAGATGCTATAAGCTGGGGCTTATATTCTTGAATATCATTTATATGGTAAGTTGGAATTGAGGTAGTTTTTAGCTTTCTTCTGAACTGAAGCTCAAGCTTAGTAAGTGTAAGCTTACATCAATTGAATGGCTGTGTGCTTTTACTTGTAAGATTAAAATCTGTCATTTAGAAGATCTAACACAACCTTCCCGTGGTCGTTACAATTTATGTTAGTCTAATTTGTTCACGAAATTTATACCGTGAACGTGACTATATGCCTAGCTAACTTTTTATGAAGAGTCAGACCCTTTTGCCCTTGATCGACTTTCTACTTTTGACCATCATGTGGTTGATTCGAACGCGTTCTGAGTCGGCATTGACAGTAGTAAGAGTCGCAAATTGAAAGCTAATGGGACATAGTGGAGTTATTATACAGCAAAAAAAAAAATAGATTGACACAATCACACATCATAGCTGGAAAAAAAAAAAACCCCTCTATTAAAAAACAAATGCAATTTACCTAAATGAAATCACCTCTTTAATCCATTTCCTTTTTGGTCAATGTTTTACTTCTTCACTGTTTTAAACAATTACCAGAACTTGTGCAATTAAAGCACCTCCTCTCCCCTCTTACGGCTGACTATCAATCAATACTATTGGCCAATGCACAGTTGACGAGTTGGCTGGCATGTCAACTTATGCATGTTCCAGTCGGCCAATTGTTGCTTGACATATTGGCCAATTCATGTTTGATATGTGGGGTGACATAAATCAGTCAATATGTCAACCACCAGATGGGTGACATGTCAATCATGCATCAGCGAAATGTAGACCGATAGCAAATCAGTCAACATATTGATCATTAGGCCACTAACATTTCGCAGATTCTTTTCTGATACTTGGTTGACTCTTCTTCTGAAGTCATATTTCTTGACTACCATATTTACCTGTGTATAATGCACACTTTTTTTCACCAAAACCTGTTTCAAAATTTAAGGGTGGGTATTATCCTCAGAATCCTTTGTTTCATGAACAAGTGTTAAAAAATTATTTAATGCCATGCTGAACAAAACATTCAGTTGTAACCAGTGGAGTATGGTGGGTGTCTGCATAGCCTTTATTGCAATTCTCATGAACTTGTGCAAAAATGCTGGCTATGCAGGCTATTTTCAGCACAAGTTTATTTTTCTAATGTTACTCCAGTCTGTATATCATAATGGTAGCATTGCATGCTTTAGCATTATGCCAAATGAAAACATACAATGTACAACAGTTGACCAATATTCTAACAAAAGTCAGCAGATATGCTGCCGATAGCTGCTCATTGTAACGTAGCACTAGTGGTATAAGCCGAGTGTCAACATTATACACTTAATGTCGATCCTGAGGGAAACAGTTAGGTTTGTTTTCCCAAGAGTCCTGATGTTTCCCGAGATGAAGTTGAGGAAAACATCAGGACTCGAGGGAAAACAAAACTAACTGGTTTCCTGAGGGACCTGACATTAAGTGTTTTGTTATATTTCTAGACTTTCACTTCAACAGCAACAAAAGAAAAACCGGAACGAACCAGAACAGTCGACTCGGTACTTAAAACGACACAAATTCAATTCTCAAAAGCACTGAATGAATGATTTACAAAGTACTTTCCTTATATTACCTGCATCTTTTTCCTCCACTAGCTGTTGTTTTTCTTCTGGGAACTTCTGGGATAACTTTAAAAATCATTGCTCTGTAGCTTGAGGCTTCGTGTTTGTGTTGTTGTGTTCATTCACAGAAAAAAAACTGACAGGACCTGGCGGTGTTTTTCCCGCCTTCTGTCACACCACTTTCCACCATGCTTTGATCATAGCGGGGTACATTGCTTATTGTATCACGATCGGGATACATTTGATTTTAGTCAAGGCCACGTGACCAAGAATCAACCAATGGCAGTCCCTGTTTAGTCGAGTGAAAGTCTAGGAATATAACATTAACTCCATAAAATACCCTGTGCAAGAGCAAACAATCTGTTTAACCCACGTACATGTCTGGCATCACCTCTAGGAGTCAAACTCACATCACATTCTTTGCTCTCGTCAAACTTACTTTGAATGGAAACCTTATTGTTAACATTTTATTTTGTTTTCTGTATTTTTCAGATTGTAGGGTTGACACTCATTATTGTCCCAGTGTCCTTTAAAATAAGTGCTGTATTGACCAGCTGGCCTATAGTGGGTGGCACTATTGCATGTGGAGTGTTTTTGATGTTACTCTCTATTGCTGGAATTTATGGTGCAATCAAGCATCATCAGATTATTCTATTTTTTGTATCCTTTGTTGAGATAAGTTTACCATTGCCAAAAATGAATTGTAGTTTGGAAAAAAGAAAGAACAGAAAGCTTTCAGTGACTGGCATAATGGTATGCCTGTGGTCTAGATCAACTTTTCGTTGTTGCCATGGCTATAACAATGATCCAAATTGTACATATCTAAGTCAGAGAGTTGGACTGGTCAAAGCAATCTCTCTCTTGTTTCCGCAACATAAAATGCAACCACAAGCACAAAACTAATTGTGTAATGTCACATAAACAGTGCACATACATGTGCTTATGATAATAACAACCTGAATGCACTACAGCTGGAAATATGGGCTTCTGTGAGGTGCCATGTTTTTGTTGCCTGTGCTTACGTTTACACTCTTGCATTATATTATGTGTAAATCACCCTTAAACTTCTGTATCTTGCCAGATACCCCTTCGTGAAGTTCAATGTAAGATCATCTTGGGGAGTTGCCTTAGTTAATGGTCTAAGGTGTTTATCCTTGACTAGATGTACATGTAGTACATGGCAATTATGATTATTGTGTTTATTATTCTCTTCTCTGTGTCTGTGGCCGCACTATCAATCAGTTCCAGTCAACAACGTGCACTTCTTAAGAAGGGCTGGGCATCTTTGAGTAACAAAACAAAGGAAGAGTTTCAGAAGACAGGAGACTGCTGTGGTTTTGACCCCAGTTTTGAGAACATTACAGATGGCCCATATGGTCACCCATCATGTGCCCTGGTATGGTTTATAAGTAAAACCCAATGTATATAATTAGCCACACCTTTGTCCTAGAGTTAAATGTGAGACTCAGAATCATGACTGTGGGTGCTTGGATCTACAAGGCCATCTGCTTTTTGGGATATAAACTGTGTGGTTTGGGGACAGAAATAGTATAAAGAACCTAAATGAATAATCATTATTAATATTTTTAGAACTTTCTGAAAACCACAATAATTGACTCCAGAGAAAGTGAAAGAGTTAAAGTTTCTTTCAAGAAACCTCACAGTGATTTGGAATTGGTGTGTACATGTTTATGGGTCTTAAATTGTGACTAGCTGGTTGCCAATGTACCTAGAAATAGCCAGTGACCAGAATTTCAAGGCTGGTCACCAGATGGCTTCTGTATCACAGAGGTAATTTTGGACCCAGAATTGTGAGGGAACTATAGATATTTCCTTACTACACCGTTCAGGTTCCTTGTTGTAGTAACAATACAATGTTAGAGGTTTATTTGAACAGCATTTAAAAGATTATTGTTCATTTAAGATAATTATTTCTGGTTCTGGCTGGCTTATGTCAGCTAATAAAACTTTGAACACCAGGCCCCAGTTGTTCAAAAGTTAGAGAGCGCGATCCAACGGATAAATCAGTATCCCGCAGATAAGTGTTAGGGAAACCAATTGTGCTATCCAGTGGATAGAAACTTATCCAGTGGATAGCGCTATCCAGCTTTTGAACAACTGGGGCCAGAAATATTTTAGGAATACCATAAATCCTCTATTGAGCCCTCTGGGGGGCTTATTTAGTTCAAGCCCATTTGAGAGGGGGCTTAATAGAGATGGAGGCTTATTTAATTAATTTAGAAAAGATGATGGTATCAGTTGTTCATAAAGAACTAGAATACAAAGTGGAAACGCTCAAGTACAAGAAGGTTGGAGGTCATGCAGTCAAGGATCAGAATCAAATCCGAACTTCCAGTTGGTAAATAAACCATCCTGGATCAGTCCACATGAAGTATTACAGTCGTGATTGATTAATACAGTCTATCATATAATGGTGAAGAATAATTAGGGGAGGGGAGGGGAGGGAGGCTTATTAATTTTCTTCCCCTGAAAAGGGGGTGGGGGGCTTATTAGAGGGAGGGGCCTTATTTGAGAGGAGGGCTTAATGGAGGATTTATAGTGTGTACTGTTTTATGACCATTTACATTGAATAGAAGGATATGCTAGCAAGACACAAAAGCACAAACATATTAGCTGTTGCTGCTTACAGTTTATTTATACCTAGACTGATCAGCTCTTCATTTGCAACACTATAATATGCAAAATTTTACAATTTCAATATACAAATTACAACTTTGAAATTTTACTAGTGTTCAAAATTGGTTTTATGTCAAGATGGCGACGAAGTTTTAAAATGTTTTCAAAAAAAAGACGCTTTAAAAACCTTACATCAAGAAGGACTCTAACAGGTATTTTGGAAAAATTCTGAACTTTAATTCAAGGTCTAAACGTTTGAGAGAGTAAGGATAAACATGTCAAACTGAATCCAAGATTGCTAACGTAATTCGTCACCCATGATATTAATAGGTAATCAAATGTATACTCGTGAAATTAGGGAATAATTTCACTTGTGTTTTTGTCCAATCCTAATAATTTCCCTGCCTAAAGGCGTTGTGTTCTGTTTAAAACGCTTTACCGGTATTCTGAAAAAAAAAAAAAACTATGTGGTTTATTGGTGTTGAAGTAGAGCAAGAGTTGATCATAAAATATCCAGTCAAAATTTCACTAAATAATGTCATTTCCTGCAACCATTCTTAATAACCAGACAATGGCATGGGAGTTTACTTTAAATAATAAAATATCCAGTAAAAGCTGTTTTGATGAGGAAGTGGTGGAAGATTGGAAACATAATGCAAAAGCAAAATAGCCAAATCACTGCCTCAAAAACAGCAAGATTACACATAATTACCACTTGAAGGATAACTACAGCTTTTAAGATAATATCTGCCTGAAAAAAGCATCACACTGCCAAGGAACCGGCAAATGTTTTGTAGACTGGAATTTATAATTATCATACTCAGCCTCATCCAATAATATTATTATTTTATTGTTGATTGTTTCACTAATATTTTCAGCTTACATGTTGCACCAATCACACCGTTAGTTGCCCAGGTCAGTGTGACACATGCTATGATTACCTTACAAACAAAGGACTAAAAACAGTTAAGAATGATGTCGGAGGTATTGGACTCTTCTTTAGTTTTACACTGGTAGGTAAAAATTATAGAAATAACTAATAACAATAATAATAATTATTATTATTTATTTATGTTTTCAAGCTTTATTTTAATACCACGCCCATTTTCAACAGGAACTATATCGTACATCAGAGGCAGCTCTGAAACTATCGTACCTATACTACAACCTTACAATGGTTGCATGCATTGCATACAAACTGATAACCACTTTAGACAACTGCTTACAAAATATCAGGGACAAAGACAGACCAGAGGACAGACAGGGAGCAGTATGCAAGTTGTTGCAACTGCCCGGCCACTTATATTGGTGAGACTATAAGAAACCTTAGCATTCGACTGACTGAACATGCACGATCAACAAGAAATGGTGAACACCATTTACAGATGAAACATCAAATTGACTAGGACAGTACAACATGTGTGACATATTGTGTATTCTTATGACTTCAATCATCAACTCATCCTAGAAAGCTGGTTTTCTAACTAACCGCCACCATGCAAATGACTTATTGATAGACTCAAGCAAAACTGACAACGATAGAATGACTAGACAATGTGCAATTTGACTAATAATATACGTTTGTTTTACTGTCACAAAAGACAGATCGAAACACACCAATGACATTTAGAGGCTTCATAGCCAATATTATCATGGCTTAAATAACTGACAGACCATCAATAACAATAACATCGCAACTCAACTGACCAGTCAGGTCAATAACCAGAGTTAAATGCCATCCACTGATGTGATACAATTCACTTTGACTCTGAAGATGACTACCGCACATGTTGCCAAAATGTCAGTCACTGTCAAGAGCAGTCGTGACCACTCACCTAGACAATCATATTCCACTTATGAAATTACTCCTGGTTTCAACCTTTCACAAAATGTTTTGATTGTACGTTATATTTGGCATAAATACCACTTGCAATATTTCAAAATTGTCTCAAATTTGACTCGCCTAACGGCTCGTGAAATTTCTTGTAAGAATTTTGAAATATCACTCGTGGTATTTATGTCAAATATCACTACAAATCATGCTATTACCTATACTCATACTACTACATGAGAAATTTCTGCAATTTGATTGGCTCTTAGCAGTGGTGTTTCAGTTTAATTTGAAATAACTACTTGTGAAAATTACAAACCTTTTGTGGGAAGTAGTATAAACAAATAATAGTATGATTGGTACGTGATATTTGGCATAAATACCACTTGTGATATTTCAAAATTGTCTCAAATTTCACTCGCCTACTGGCTTGTGAAATTAGTATGTGTAATCAAATGGTGACGGTGACGAGCCTAAAGGCTCGGGAAATTATTAGGATTTGGACAAAACACAAGTGAAATTATTCCCTAATTTCACGAGTATACCATTTGATTACCTATTAATATCATGGGTGACGAATTATGTTAGCAATCTTGGATTTTTGACATGTTTATCCTGGATCGTATCGATCCAGAACTCTACTCTCTCAGATGTTTAGACCTTAGATTTGGCTTATAAAGTTCAGAATTTTTCAGACTTTTTCGGAAAAATACCTGTTAAATCCTTCTTGGTTTTCTCTTGTGTGTTCAGGTTTTCTAAAGCGTCTTTTTGTGCCCTGACATCTTCGTTCACGGTATTTTAAAACTTCGTAGCCATCTTGACACTGAGACGTACGGAAGGGTTGCCATGGCAATTTTGTAATTTCACATGATTGAAATTTTGTACCAAAATTAAGGAGTAAATTCATCACCTATGATATTATGTATAACAATTTTGAAATATCACTCGTGGTATTTATGCCAAATATCACTACAAATCATGCTATTACCTATACAAATTTGTTATGAGGTCAAACCATGCTTGCCCTGCTTAATATGGACAGTTTGCTTTGTCCCCAGGGAGAGAAAGCCCTTACATTAATTTTTCTCTAAATTCAACCCGCTTAAGATGGGCACCTCATTAACATAATATGGACACTTTCTATGGCCCCCTCAGTGTCTGTATTAACGAGGTTTGAATGTACTATAAAATTAAAAAAGTAGTGGTCCCTCCAAAAGAAACAGCTCACGTTAAGTAACCTGTAAATTTTGACCTTCCTATTGAACCCCCAAGAGTAGAGGCCCTTTTCATGAGCCAAACATAATTCAAAGTAAGACCCGAATTACCTTTAGACTTGCTGAATTGTTTCAGAGGCCAATCTTAATTTATTGTAGCTGAACTTAATTCAAAAGGAGAAGGCTGGTGCTCATTTAGTTCAAACTGCTTACAAAATTGTATAATAATTTCTGCATTAGGTTCGGTACATAAAAAGGTCGGTATCTGAATCAAAGCTGTTCTAAAGTCAAAATTCCCAGCTGGGCTAAGCAGAAAGAACGGCTTAGCCATTCCAAATTGAAGCAGGCATTCCTAATTGATTCAGACACTGAACTTTTCATGTACTTAATTCAATGTATTAGGTTAAGCTCATGAAACGTTTGGTGTTTGAACAGAGCCTTACTGTAAATGGTGAATGAAGAATTTTGTTTTAGATAACTTATAGAATAATAATGTAGAAATAATATCTCAAAAAGTGTCACAAGTGGTAGTAAACACTGTGTTTAACTCTTTTTCAGTCTAAGAGAAATCATCAAACTACACAATATGATATTGAGATGAAAAGTTGAGGCATGTGTGTGTTGTAGTTAATTTTTTATCTCAGGTAATATTTATTTTTCCTTTGTTTCAACTTCATTAGCATACATTATGATACCCAAAAACAAAAGAAAAACAAAAATTGCTGAGATAAAAAATTGACTACAACATGTACATTTACTTGTTAATAGTGGCACATGCATAAGTTTAAGTCACACTTCAAATGAAACTGAAATTGATGTTGAATTTTAGTCCGGTCAGCTGAACAGTTCCAAGCTTGAAAATGATTCCTATTTCACAGTGTTTTTTTTGGATGTTCGTTTCATTGCATAAAACCATACCAGGACATCAGAAATGCTGTGACCTGGCATTTCAACTCTGTGGGTCACAGTATTGATGTTCTTAAAGTTTAACATAAGATACTGGAATGTGAAATATATGACTCCTCTTTCTCATTTAGTGTGCAAAGTTCCAGCAGGCTTGTGACATTGGCTGCAGCCATACTTAGCAAGTTAACTGCATTAGTTTTTTCAATAACCCACTCAAAAGTTTTTCTAAATGAACGGTAACCCGGTTAAGAGGGAAGTTGCATCTTTTTAGCCGGGTAATTTTAATTACTAGTATTGGAGCCATTGTGCCCCCCCCCCCCCTCCCCCCCACCCTGTTATGTATTTTTGTTCAGTTTATGGATGTTGTATTAGAGCATGTAATAATCAGTGGACTCTAGTATCCTTGCTATATCGTGAGTTGAAAAGATTTAATTGCCATAATGCAAAAGGAACAGCTTGAGTACTGGACTAAACAATGTGCAGAATCATTTTGTTATTTTAAGCGTAACTTAATTGAAGCTTGCTGACGATTATGATTTAAAAGCTCCACATTATTTAATACTTCTCTTTTTTTTTCTTCCTTCTAGTTCGTTGGAGTTTACATGGCATTCCGTTATCGTCATCTCAAAGACCCAAGAGCAAATCCAAGTGCTTTTCTATGACATTAACTATCACTGGATGTCCAGGTAATGCCAGTGTCCTGCCCAGAAAAACTGAGGTAGCAGCTACCATGATCTTGATGCTACTCATAACTTTGTCAACAAAATGATCTCATTTGCCAGATCAGAGATCACTGCCTTGTTAGTGTGGAAATCTTTGACTTTTACATGGATGACATCTAGGTGGACAAAATTAATTGTGTTTGTTTGCAAAATTTTAGGTTTCCAGTGCTGTGGTTGTCAACAGAGCTCAGATTTATTGTTGCAAAGGACTGAGGGCTGGTTTTTGAAACAGAGTTTAGACAGGGTTAATCAAACGGTGCTCTTAGCCATTTTCAATTTGCCAACCTTCCTTTCAAAACACTCTTTGTCGTTAAAACCATTTGTTTACTTGATGCTTGAAATAAGCCACAAGTTAACACACTTTTTGGGCCACTGATTTTATTAAACTGCAACGGTTAGACTTCGTTTTAATATGTGTCCCTGAGGTTAAATAATGTAAATGACTACTGTAATCAATCACTCTTTGCTAACGAGGGTTGCCAACTGATGGTTTGACTTGGAAAAATTGTACCTTGAATAGATCAGCCTTGTCCCCAGGCCAGTTGGCACCATGCGAGTGAGTGAAAGGCTTGGAACCAAACAACAAGCTTGATGAGTGACGTCTTACTCAACTTCGGGAACAAGGGTGTGAATAGAATGTTGCTTATGTGAGGTGCTTGACTCACTGCAATAATTTTCAATTGCAACCTTTATGATTAGTGTTAGTAAGCTTACATGTACCATGAAGAATGTAAATGACTCAAAAACCCTTTCCTTAAATAAACAAAATAATGTACATAGAGAGAGAGTTGTTTTCCCCAACCTGGAACCAGTTTGAAATTGTTATTATTTTATGACTAAATAAATTATTAATAATCCTTGTAGTTTTATTGATTTGTGTTGCTCTTTGTCTCTGATAAATCTGCTACAAAGGAAAATAAAAAAATTGTAACTAAGATTAATTTTAAACTTAAACATCATTTCTAGAGGAACTTAACCGATATTTTATTTTGTTAAAATAAAAGGGAAAAACGTTACGGTCAACGCTTTCTTAGATGGACACCGCTGGGACTAGCACTGCTTGTCCATCTGAAGGAGGTGTCTGTCTTATGGAGTGTCAAAGAACAAAACTGAAGAAGATCGGGGACCAAGTGTAGCTGTCCATTGTAGAGAGAGATCAGCCCATATGGTGTTGCAAAATATGACACCAACAGTATTGGACCAACACTGATTATCGATTTTAAGGAGGTGTCCATCTAAATTGCCACCTTGCCAAAACAGACACCTAGCGCCAGTGCCAATGGTAGCCTGATAGTAATGCACGTAGATCATTAAAACTGATGGGACACCTGACGCGCAGGGGCTTGGCTTGTTTCCACGACGTCTCTAGGTCTACTCTCCGAGAGCCTAGCACAGGCTAGTGCCATTGGTGGCCACCTTGTAGAGTAGGTAAATATCCGACCAGTTAAGGGATTAGAATCGGCGCTAGCGTTCATTTTTTGCTTTAAAGCATGGCTTATCGGTTACCGGTCGTTTTGATGCAAAGTTGTTTGGATACAAGTTTATTCATCCGAGGTGTGAATAGTTCCACGTACTTGGCTCAAAGAACGAAGATATTCACCCCCAATTTTTTTCTTGTTCACTCGCAAACTATACTTAAAGTGAACAAAATTTGTGTGCAATTTCACTGCTTGAGTTTGTATCAAACCTACCGGTTTGCATGACTTGGAGCCTGTAAAGATAAGGTGACTCGAGAAATGGGCCTCTAGAACTAGAAGAAAACCACAAATCAGGTCACTCGTATCATTACAGACCGAATAGGAGCTACTCCAATGCTATTACTATCGGATAGATAATGAAATATATGACGCCCATTAATACTTCGGATCTGATGTGATATCGGAAGTGACGAAGGAATTGGGCATTAGAATTTTTTAGTCTCGGACAGTGAAAGACGGCAGCTGAAAGGAACTAAAGAGTTAGTCTTTGCTCCCCCCTCGGCGGTGGGGGAGGGTACTTCCATAATGCTTGATATAGCCTGTGAGCGTGCTCTCCTGGGGCAGAGGTTGTAGGCTTTGAGGTGTTCATTTTCTGAAAATGGAATCTTTTTTGAAGTAATGATTCTTTTAAACTGTACTAGCTAAATCGCAGAACATAAACTCCTGTGCGCTGAAGTATAGAAAAAAATAGTTAAGTCCAGTTCTTTCAATCTCTCTGCCCGTCTTCCTTTATTAAAATAGGCCGTCACTATTCCGATTTTGAGCTTAAGGTATCTTAAATAGGATAACGATTAGTTATTCCGGTTATACAATAAAGTTAAAAAGTCTATTCGAGCAAATGTTTTACGATGTAAACAGCAGCTTGCGGACAAATAGTTCAGCTACTTCTAGAATATATCCAAAACAAAAACAATATTTGTGCATTTCTGACTCCATAAGCTACTTAATGAACTAAGCAAAACCTCTTACGTACCAATGCAATCTGTTTTCTTTTTTTTGTTTTGGTTTCTATAACCCTCACGCAATTTCCTTAACAAAAATGTAACATTAAAGAATTTTGACTTTCGCTTAAACTTTCAACTTTAACTTTTACAAAATTAGCATTGAGAAAACTAGCCTACTTTTCATCCTTAACCGTGTCGACAACAGATGCCTATTTGCTGGTCGCCGGTTTGATATAGAGAACGTGCTACTATGTGTAAAGGAATTCAAGACTAAACGACAATTTTTTTCCCACGCAAAAATATGTATACTAACCAGTGTGGATAAATATAAATACCACTCAACCAATCTTAAATTTAGCAGATCGTTTCTATTGACGGGGCGTGCAGTATGACTTGCACGCAATTTTTTATTATCATATTATACTTTTGATGCTTTTTTGACATGGCTCTTTTTTCTGCTCGCTACATTTACGATTTTCACATTACACATGATACTCAGTTTTTATTCCCCAAAATTGTGCATAAGCATTCGCCATTTGCACATCTCCCATAACACACGTTGTTTGCTCCCCAAAATTTTGCATAACCTGTGTTTTTCATTTCTCCTGGGTATTATAGCCGTCCCAAGGGGTCCCAAGAGAAATTGAAAACAATGCTAATGCAAAATTTTACGGGGCAAACAAGGTCCATTTTTGGAGATGTACGTAGTGGTGAATTGTCTTCAATTTCTCTTGCATGAATCGACTGTAAAACCCAAGAGACACAAGATGCAGTATTATGTGGAATGTGAAAATGGGGAATTGTCTAATATAAATTATCGGTGTAATACGGTCTTTCATCCCCTTTGTCAGAAAAGAAATGAGAAAACATTGTGGTAGGATTTGATCATAACCTTGTATTTGCGGGTTCATTCGCCCATGTTCACCAGGGCCGATTATCCGCCCTGATGTACACGCTACTTCAGTAAACACCTGCCCCACTTGTATGAACGCATTACGCCCCCCTAAATTTCTTTTGTTTTGTTTTGTTTAAAATGTTTTTCTTCCTCTCTTAATCTCGTCTTTATTCAGACGATAACAAAATGTAAGAAGATTCATGTTAAATGACGTATAATTGCCTTTTTTTGGCAAATACTGTCGGTTGAGTCTCGTCCGTTAAGAGGGACTTTAAGATCCAATGACGCGGACGACAACTAGAACGTCAAAAAAACAATAGCTGAAATCCCAAAGGCTTAGTATTGTTCTGTCTTTTGTTTTTGAATGTATGCATAATTGATGAATAGGGTTATACGGAAATCTTGCCGAGAGGGTTCGCCTACAATTGACAAAGTAAGTGGGTATGAATAATCGCTATAAAGACTGCATGAAAAAACTCAAATTCACTTTTTAAGCGACGTTCTTGTCGCCGTCGCGTCGTTGGATCTTAAAGTCCCTAATAACTCTCAGAGAAAGAGCTGTAGAACTTGTCAAACTGTGTAAAGCAATATGCCTGCATGTGCGGGTGACATAGCCGAAGCATTCATGATGATTAGTCTCCTTATAATTTCAGGTCAAACGAGGCGGCGCAATTTCCACACTAACTCAAAATTAAGTCTCGACAAATTTACACATGAGCTCTTCGTGTATCAATACCATTATCATATCTGATAGAATGCAGTGAGACGCAGAAATGGGTAGCTTGCGAACCGCAGACGTATTTCCGGAAACTTACGTCTACCGTTCGCAGGCTAAGAAATGGGCCGCACAAGGCGTTTTAGCTGGAGCAAGGACTACGGCGACGACAATCAGAAGTAGGTTTAGACAAGCAAAATAACAACTTTGCACGTGAATCAGGCTTTTCTGTACGTCATTTCTTAGCCGTCACCGTGCACGATTGCGACGTGAAAATGCCTAATTTCACGTTTTAAGAAGGACGCAAAGAAGCGACGACGAATTTTTCTTTCCATTCTTAATTGGGGTCCTCAAGGAATCAACCCCAGGGAAATCTGCGTACATTTGACATTTTCGGCGAAGTGGAAATTTGCGTTCTTTCCGGTCTTTGTCGCGATGATTCCTACCCACCCACTTACTTCACATGTAGGCGAACCCTCCTGAAGTTGATTCCAAGGGACCATATCCACGGTTCAGAAAGAGAAATAAAATTCCGTCGTTGCTTGTTTACGTTCTCCATGAAACGCGAAATTAGCCATTTTTACGTCGTAGTCTTGCAAAAAGGGCAAAGAAATGTACAAAAAAGTGTGATGCACGTGCAAAGAGTGTTGCTTTGCTTATTAAACATTTTTTTTTTTTGACGTTCTCGTTGCGTTCGCGTTGTTGCATCTTAAAGTCCCCCGGGGGTGCTTGGGTTAATTTTTGCTGGGTATGGTCCGCTGACCTCCCGCAGAACCCCTACCCCACGCATTATAGTCTATTCTGTGGCCAAAAATAGACCCCATCTTAGTCACTTTCGGGAAAATGTAATTTTGGCGATCCCAACTTAGGTAACTTGCTGTTTATGCATCTCATACGTTACCTAGGTCATCCTGAAATTAATTGCCATATGTTTAACTTAATGAAGTAAAAATCGTCCCATATTTAAATTGTCCAATATTTCGATTAGACAAAACTAGTCTTCATCACGGGCTGGAAGAGCTAAGTGAGAATAGAATAAACGGTTACTTATATAAAAAATACAAAAATAAAAAATAAAATGGGATTGGTGGATCCCCATTAGCCTATTACTAGAAAGTACCCCGCCCCCTTCCTGGGCTTATGCACCAAGAAATGCGTTTCTTTAGATGTAAATATAAAATGCTATAAAAAGAGGCAAGTTTGCCGCGGGAGTGAAATAGGGGTAGTGAAATATATATTGGAAAATGATAGCAACAGCGGGGGAAAAACCCATTTGCAAGGTCTCAACCTTTCTAACTGTAATTCTTTAGGAGTTTTAATACAATCGAGAGATCCAGAACAATATTCCTTCGCCTGTGTTACCTTATTTTACTACAAATTTTATAACTTCTTAATATATTAACGAAAAGATGAGCCAAAACGTGACAGTTTTTCCATTATGTGACCGAATGCTTTGGCATCAGTTCAATATCAAATATATGCATGCCTTCACTCAAAAGGTCCTTTAATGTTGCCATAAAAAAATACACTAATCTTGCAGCGATGATATGTCAAGATACAAGATATTCGTCCCATACAAGGGAGTAATCGAAGACAAGATTCCGGATTCCACACTCTGGATCTGGATTCCTTGTCAGTGAACTTGGATTCCGGATTCCAGATTCCAGGCGTTAGCACGTTAGGCGGATTCTTTGAGCTGAATTCGGGACGCCAAAGCCCAGGATTTCACATTCCACCGGCAAAAACTTCTCGCATTCAGGAATTCGCTCACCCCGACCTTTGAGAGCTCTCAGTTATGAATGTAGCAATCTCACGACTTTTTTTAAAATCAAGAATGTTAACTATCATGCTTCAGACGTCAGTGGGCTATTTTGAGAGCAAAAACCCTTGATCCTCAGCTCGATAACAATTCAGTGAAATAGTGAATCAAGGCGGTTGCAACTGGCGTACTTGACCCATATCTGCACCCGTCACTGAGTTGGGGCCAATTGGAAGTTATATTCGGTGCCGATGTTGTAGTTTTCACCACAAAATGTTGCTAAACTGAGCTAAATTGATAACTATAAATCAAAACATGGAGCAATTCGCGACTGTAAAAGATCGGTTCGCCTATATTACATCCTCAGATCAAGGTGCACGTCAATTTTTTAACATCTCGGCCTACACCTTTCCATTTCTCCAGTGCCGTAGACTTTAACCCTGAAAATTACTTTTTTAAAAAATACGCTTTTGAAAACGTTTCAGAGCTTCTACTTAAACTGAACTCTTCCCTTGAGGGATAGTCCCCCAAACCCCCCTAAATGCTCAGTTAGGCAGCATCGCTGATCACAGATCTTGTCGCGTATCTGCCTAACGTTAGGCAATTATGACCGTGTTTTCATTAATTCTCAGGAAACTTCGTGACAAAGCCCTGCATGTGCATGGCAGCCAGTTGCTGGGACTCAAACTAAACTACGGCTCTATAAAGGATCTTAGTCCTTGATATGCACTGGATTAACTAATGGCATGGCATTTATAATCTCACGCAGTTTTCGAAACGTGTTGGGGAATCTTTAATTTTCGACTCTTTAGTAATACAAGGAGCAACTTCTCGTATAATTATCGTCTCTTTTCGCCCGCCAGGTTTATAAATGAATTTTGAGCCACTCCTACCATCCAAACATCCAAAGAGTAAGCTCCAGGCTTCGTTTAATGGCTTTTTTTGATTTCTATTCCTAGGCCCCCTTTTGCAGCAATTTACCACTGGAATGTACTAAAAACAACTTTCTGCTTTTGAACGTCATGACACTTGACGAATTAACCACAGACTCTAAAGAAAAAAACCGCATTACTTTGTGGCTTTTTTTGCATCGGGAATGGTCGGTAGACTTCGGAAATCTTCTGAAATAATCCGAAATTGTCGTAAAATACAGAATAATATTCGCCTTTTTGAAGCCGATTTTGCTTCTTTCTGGAAAAAATTTACTGTTTCAAAGAATTTTTTACTGTTAGTGTTAAAATGCCTAAAATTTAACTCAGTTTCATGTTATATTGAGATACCCTCATTCAGACCTTCCTGCCTTGTGATACTTTCTAAATACAACATAATGAACAGTATCCGGAGAGGGATTGACTCAATAGCTTTCACTTGAATGGTCACAAATGTTTTTTACGGAACTGAAGCGCGTTCTTTTGACTTTTGTGTCCACCGAAATCAGTTCGTTACAGTCGAATCCCTCTTGACGCCAAGACCCTCCTCAAAATGGTCAGCGGAGTTGGTTTTTGCAGTTACTCAGACATTTCCTTGCTTTGACCGGACGTTAAGGCGATAGAACCTTTCAATTTACTTTTTGACCAAAATGTCCGGAAATTTTAGCTCAATGGAAAGTACCCGAGAACAAGTAAAGAACTTAGCCTTAGATCTAGGGAGTTATCGCTTCACTCTCAACAGTTACACGTTCTTGTAAGATTAATGTTTGCATAAATACAGTTACTGACCCCGAGGACTGATTTATCCTAAGAAAACTGTCATTATCAGCCGAGGAATCGGCAAAAATGACGCGACACCATGGCTTCAGTTCGCTGCACAAGTTATTAGTTTTAGCTAAAGGTATTATTAAGTAATAGATCTTAGATCAGATAGAATATGACACCCAAATTATTTTTTTCAAAACACACTCTTATTTTCATATCCTTTGGCTATTCACCCGTGTCTTCGAAGATAATTTGAGTATTTTAGCCCTTCAATATTTAAAAATATTATTCTCGATAGACAATTAACTTTAATTTTATAAGGTTCCTTTTCTGCTTAAAATCAGTATCGTAGTTAAGATATCATATAGAGACCTCGTATCAGCATTTTGATCAACCACGATTATTATGTATCAGTTAGTGTAGAAACAGTCAAGCTTTTAAATACAAATTAACAACTCTTAGGTCTCCAATGGTAAATTACATTTATATAGCTTACCGCTGAGACTGCAAGAAAGTCACATAAAATGTTAAAGACGTTTTCATAGCTCAGAGTTAGATTTAAAGTTCTCTGGGCCTCTGGCAACCTATGTATCGATTATTGTCCCCAAGCCAGAAATACGCGCTGACATCTTCGCTCATTTGAGAAGATATAATGTAATTGATAGTAAAGCGTTAATTTTACACTAGTATATTCGTAAAGCATTTTCATCACCGTGATTTTACAAGGCTTGTTATCTTAAAGGATCAAATATTTTCTAACAATTAATCATGAGTTAAGACTCTGCTTTTGTGCGAATGCAAAGCCGGAAAGCCAGGTGACGCCAAATGACGAATACTGTTGGAAATTTACGATTATTTTTGCTTATCTAAAATCAGTTTAATCTTACAGCATATGGAGAGGCTTAAAATTTGCCTCAGGAAAAATCAGAACGTGCGAAGTCTACATTCAACAAAAACAGATGAAAGGCCTTATAAACAGTGAGGTTAAAAAATAAGGAAATTCATTTCCTCAAAAAGAAAAGCATGCTGTGAATTTCAGTAACAATTTATTCCCCAGAAACTGCTCGCCACAAGCTAAGACCCTTAACCGTTTCCGCTCCTCCTCGTTCCCAAAGCAGGATGTATCAATGTTAGACATGGAATAAACAGAGATCACTATGTCCATAAATCTTTCTTATTATCATTATTAGTTTCTCGCGATATTGGAAGGTATTTCAAGTATTTTTTTTCCTCACAGTGAAATCGTCCAAGGGCTTAAAATCGCTGTTTTGCTTGGTATTGCTGCTTTGCTTGAAAAAAAAAAAAACGCAACATTTTTCTCATTCCTACTTTTGTTTAACCTGGAGGTTTGATTATTAAGCTAGCGTTTAACGATCGACTATCTGCCGTTTTTGGACCGAGAAGCTTAAAACATTAGTTAAAAAGGGGCTCGGCGTTAATTACCTTGTTATGCGAGGGGAGCGTTAAGCGTGTTTCACAGTGAAAAAATAAGACTATTAACTTAAAAAAATAACGCTAAAAATGCTAGTCAAAACACATGACAACTCGATTTTGAGCAAATAGATAAACATCATTAAGACTTATAGTGCTCTTAGCCTCTCATTAATTTGCTGTCCTTTTATAAAAACGACCGGCGGCTGATTCCGAGATGTTAAAAGTCTAGCTAGAGAACATTAATCTACAACGGTTACTAGTTATCGCATACAGAAAAAAATGTTGACATTTTGGATGAGTGTCACTAAGGGATTACGTAAAACTACACTAATCAGTAAAAAAAAAAAGGCAATAACTCATGTCAGGAAATGAAGGTCTTTTTATTTTGACCCGTTATCTTGAAGATGCAAGAGACTCTTTTTGTCATTTTATTGTATTCTGTGTTGGCCCATGAGGTGTGAAGAGTTTTGTTTTTGTGCTATGTTAATTTTCTTGCTGATGAACAGATATGAAACTTCGTCAATTGCGTCCGAAATTAGCTTCAAACATTTTAATTGTTATCGTCTATCAGTCCAAGACAAGCCCTCACTCTGGGAAACATCACATGATTCAAATTTGAATTTATGCCCCACCAGGCTGGCCACAGAGTACTTATATTTGCTACTGACACACAAGAGGTTTGGTATTCGATTGACCTTTTAAGCCTCCTTTTGCGAGCTACTTACAAATGACGAAATGCTTGATCGTGTTCCAAATACTGAGATGTCCTTTTTGGTTCTAGGCGCTCTATATTTACCTTTCGTATTAGGTATAAAAAGCCGATAATAGATGTATTCGTCGTAAATTGCTCTCCGATTATAAAAGGAGGTCAAAATTCACTCCGGAAAAGCTCCGACTCGATTTTCCTAGCTACATGTTTCATTGGCATCACATTTTCTAGAAGGAAGCCAGCCTCTGTGTATACAAGGTAAGTTATATTTCATCCTTGCTTTTGCTTTGTTCGATTGTTTTGAGCTGACATGTCTACCCCTCCCCGTTTGAAGCTTACAACTTAAACGTGCACTTTTCTGATGATTTTGCAGTGCGGGACCTTTGAAAGACGGTTGCAGTTAGCAAAGGAATTCCGTTTGCCTCAGTTTATTTCATTAAGCGATCTTTCAACAGCTGCTGTAAAGCTTCCGAAGCGAGAATTAAGAAGGCAGGTTGATCAGTTTGAGCCGGATTTCGAAAAGACACCTGACTTCTACTGCGACCGAAGATGATAGTCATTCCACGCTTCGCAACTTTGATGGCAGTTCTTGTTTTGTTTACAAGCAGCGAAATCGATTCTGTCAACTGCACCAATGAGAAGCCTTTAGTCGAGACAAGCTATGGAAAAATAGAGGGAGTTAGACGCAACTTTCCTCACATTAACATGCCAATAACATCTGTAAACAAATTTCTAGGGATCCCGTATGCAGCGCCACCGATCGGAAAACTACGGTTTCAACCTCCATCGAAACCTTCCACTTGGAAACCAGAGGTTTACAACGCTTCCTTCTTTAGAAACATCTGTATTCAACCTCCCGAGTATAACGAACTTTTTTGGCCAAATTTTTCTCATCCTGAAAGCGAGGACTGTCTATATCTAAATGTCTACACCCCCCTGAGTAATACCAGCTCAGCAAGGAATTTGTTTCCGGTTATGGTGTATATTCACGGGGGAGGATACGAGGTCGGCACCCCTGTCGTATCACCCGGGGACATAATCCCCTTGTGGGGTGTTGTGCTGGTCACAATACAGTATCGCTTAGGACCTTTTGGATTTGTTACCACCGGAGATGCAGAGGCCCCTGGAAATTATGGGATGTTAGATCAGATCGAGGCTCTTAAGTGGGTTCAAGAGAACATCAAGGCTTTTGGAGGGGATCGTTCTAAAGTAACAATCTTTGGTGAAAGCGCCGGAGGATCCAGCGTGGGACTTTTGTTGATGTCTCCGCTGTCTAAGGGCCTTTTTCTTCGTGCTATTCCCATGAGTGGAGTTGAACTGTCACCTTTTGCAATCGGCGTCAAAGCCAACGCTTTATCGCATACAAAAGAACTGGCATCAAGACTTGGTTGCCCCGTTAAAGAAAGCGAGGCAACTATCAAGTGCCTTCGGTCAACTGACGCTCCTCAGCTTGTAAAGATATATGACGCTGCAAATATCTGGAGACCCGTAGTTGATGGGAAGTTTCTCACGGACACACCCGAGAATCTCCGAAGAACAGGAAAATTTCATCACTTAGACCTCATGTCCGGATTTACGAGTCAGGAAGGCGCTTACTTCTTTCCTTCTCTCATCAGTGAAGTAACGTCCAACACTTTTCGCCATAATATTAAAGACGCCATTTCTTATATTATCAACAAGTACGGACAGACTCATACACCAAGTTATAAACTACCAGAAAAACTGTTAGATGCAATTGTGTTTATGTATACACCCTGGCCATACATCCACAACGCCACCAAATTCAAGATTGGTTTCGCAGATGCCGTGACTGATTCGTGCGTGGCGGAGCCCACGCACGCGAGTTTGCTTTCCCATAGTGCTCAGAGCCCTGTGTATATGTACGAATTCGCGTTCCGCTCTAAACTAAACCCCGCAGCTGACTGGCTGGGAGTGAGACACAAAGATGACACACCTTACCAGTTTGGTTTTCCGCTCATGAACCTTACAGTTCTTCAAAATTACACCGAAGAAGACCGCAACGTGAGCAAATTGATCATTACCTTATTCACAAATTTTGCTAAATATGGTAATCCGACTCCCCAACCTTTGAGAGGAGTGACATGGAAGCAGTTTAACGCAACTTATCGAGCCTACCTTCGCATTAAAGAACAGCCCGAAATGGCGATTAACTTCTTCCCGACACGAATGGCATTCTGGGACGAGTATTATAAGACGTTTTTAAAGGAGAAAGAATGCCTTGTTAAAGCCAGAGCAAGCCGGGGCACGCATGCGTGTTGCAAGGAGACATTTAGTTATTTCTTTACCCTCATTCTTATTATAGTCGCGTTTTCGATGTTTTCAAATCGCATTGAATAGTAAGAATTTATGCACTTTATAAAAAAAACAACAACGTAAATTCCCCTTTCTAGCAAAAATGGGGTTTCATTCACGTCTTTGCGCTCGCGATCTTTTGCGCTGGTGCGTTGAGGCTAGATGCATGATGTAATAATCTTCTTGATCTATAAGGTAAACAAACAGCAATACCCTGACAGTAGGAATTACACAATAGGGAAAGATAATTAGAAATTACCGAAGCGAGCACAATTCAGAGGATTTTGTTTAAACCCTCAGACTTGAATGCGAGGATGACTGTATAATTTAATGAAACTTCAAACAGAAAAGAAACTGCTTGTACTGAAACCCAGAACACGGAATCGAAGAGCTGCCCAGAACATCTCAAGCGTAAACTACAAGGTAAAAGTCTATCAGTACTACGTCGGTAATTCGAAACAGTACACATCACACAGACAAACCTGAGGTGGTTTTCACGTTACGTCATCGCCGCCATGCTGGTGGACGGTAAACAAAAGATCGCTCATTAGCTCGCTTTGTTTGTCCACCAGCATTTGTTCATTTCACCATTGTTATTTGTGTCTCCCGAGATTGCATGAAGACCACCTATAGGGAGCTTTAGCAACGACGACGGCGACGGCAAATAGGACGTCAGAAAAGCAATAGCTTTATTACGCAAAACAAACTTTGCATGTGCATTACGCTTTTTTGTACATTTCTTTACCGTCCTTGCACGACTACGGCGTGAAAATGCCTAATTGCAAGTTTTATGGAGGACGTAAACAAGCGACGACGAATCTCTTTTTCTCTCTCTAAACTTGAGTGCGGTCCTCAAGAAATCAACTCCAGGGAAATTCGCCTACACTTGCCATTTTTAGCAAATTGGAATAAACGCGACAAAGATTGAAAAAACGGGAATTCATTTTAAAACTGACGTTTTCGCTGCAATTGCCGTCGTCGATGCTAAAGCTCCCTAATGGCCGGGGGGGGGGACGAAAGGGGTACCTTTCTCAGGCTTCAGGTATATAAAAGCCAGGGATTTCACTAGTTGAAGTATATAAAAGGGTGGGCAAATCCGTCATTTGGGTCTGTTAAGGGGCCCAAAAGGGCTAAAAAAATGAATCTTATGGCTTTAAAAAGTAGAGAAAACGTTCTGTTTTTTGATTGATTCCCATTTAAAAGACAGTGCATTTACAGCAGTTAAAAGGGGTGCAAAGTTCCAAACAAGGTATGTGACAGGGGTACCATTTGTCAATAGAAGGTATACGAAAGGGGTACCTTTTTCGTGAAAAATGGTATATAAAAGGGTAAGGGGTTGGACCTTGGAGCGAAGCCTCCCCGTATAAACATTCGTTGAGCTCCCCACCCCAGTTAATGGGTATTTAAAGCTACTTAAAACTACAAGAAAAGGAAAGAAGTCTTAGATTTGAGGTCACACCTATAAGAAAGGACCTCGCCTCATTAGGAGGCCGTTAAATAAGTTAAGTTAGGGTTAGGGTTCTTGTTTTCTTACCAATTGCCAGGTTTTTCGGCGGTGTTACGACCGGAGCGCTCCTGTGTTCAGTTGATCCGGGTCATGCAAAATCTTAAGCCCTTTGCTCCCAACACTTTCAAGTGGGCTGTGTTGCGCCGGTCAACTAAAGCCCCATTCACACCAAAGCTGAAAGCACACATGAAAGCTGTTTCGTTAAGCACGTTATAAATTGTTCCCTTCATAAAAGCTGCTTGTTGCAAATTAATTTCATTTGAATCCTGTGTGAAAACCTGTGTTCCAGTTTTCTGTGTCTGTTTTTCATTTTTTAAAACCTGGTTTAATTCATCATGTTTAGTTGGTGTGAATGGGGCATAACACTAAGTTCGCTTTTTGCTTTTATTACGCAACACGAATTATAGGTAAAATAAGCAATTTGTTTTTTAAACAATTACAGCCCGCACATATATCTTAGTTTTTTTAATTTCTTGTTCTTTTTTTATAAAACAGACGTAATAATCAGTACCGCGATAGGTTCAATTGAACGGAATAAAAACATTTTTATCAACACTCCCATATTGTATAGCGTGAAATTCAACGTGTATAATCATTTAGAAGACAAGTATATAGTCTAATCATATTGGTGCTGCCTATCATGGCATATACTGTATGTCCCGTACCGACAGTTTCATATTCAAGCCTACATTTTAGCCTAAATTCTAGTAACGATTTTAAAAAATAACTTATAAAAAATCTCTTGTTTTATCAACTAAATATTTTTTACAATATACCAGATACCTTTTTATGTCGACGCAAAAAGCTGTTCGGGATAGAATGAACAGCTAACCTCTTCCCCCCAAAGCCAGGGAAAAGCGCCCTGGGGACGAGGTTGAATGAACAGCAACAGGAGTCAGTAGGGCTTTCCACAAGTTGCTCGAGATTTTCCAAAAAGTTTCCGGTAATTTCTCAAAAAGTTGCTTCAAAGTTGCTCAAAAACCAATTAAAAATTCGCGCAAGGGAAAATTAAATGAAAAAAAATTTCATGCACGCCAATTAATCCTAAAAAAATATTCATGCTATGGCCTAAAAAAAATTCATACAAGGAATTTGCAACCTCGTCCCCAGGGCTTTTCCCTTAAAAAATGGGTGGGCCTGGGGACGAGGTTGAAGGAATTTGATCACGACAAAAAATTCCTGCAACTCGAAAATTCCCCTCTCCCCCATAACTTTTCTAATCGTCCGTCCCTAAGGTTCGAATTGTTGTCCACACTGTGACGGTCCACTTTCAAGATCTGCGCGGTATAGCTTCGCTCCGTTACAGAAATCGCGCAGAAATCACGGTTCCGTATGTGTGAACGGAAGCCCTATCCGTTATGGTTTTGTTTTCGTTGCAAGAGCTGTCCAGCATACCACCGCGGTCAAACGTCTAAATCGTTATTTTTGTTTTTTATTGCTGGGATTTTATTTACCAGTTAGAGAAAAATGGGCAAAGATGTATAAATCAGTTAATCAACATAACTATCTTTCCATTTTTCTCGAAATTTTGGGCTTTTTTCGCTGAAAACGCTTCGCGCTAAAAGAGAATCATGTTTGAAAATGGCGCCGAAAATAACGTCAGCATCGGTTTTCAATCACTTAGGACTTTTTTAGTAAACTTTTAAAAAGTTTAGTAAACTAACAGGATGTTGGTAATACCTTAAACTTTCGATAGTGAAAGTAGCAACCTTAACTTTGAAGTATTTCGCTTAACTTTTGCAAATTTCACTCGTTTGACCGCTGTGAAGTCCCGCATAGTGTGAACGCAAACTCAGTGGGCGGTGTTACTAGACAATTCTGACTTCCGATGAAAGTAGCCCTCCAACAGACGGGACCTGGTCGCCTCTTTGATATAAAATGATTTCCATTATTGTTTAAATAAAATTCATTTTCACTTGTTCAGCCTTGCATGCAGTTTATTAATTCCCATTTTCTCTAACTACCCTTGTAGGGGGCTATTAACTGAGCATGAAGTATTGGGAATTGAAGAGACTTTGTCTATTTTTATTCCATTTCGTACTGGGATAGGATAGGTGAGGTAACATGTGGCGGGTCACCACACCTATCATGTAAACGTGATCAAATTGACATGAGAGATTGTTTGGACAGGTGGGTTACCTCACCTACCTGGGGTCCCCCGCCTCCATGTAAACAGGCTCTAAGATCAAAGGAAGCGAAATGGCAAAGGCTTCCCAGACGGTGATCTTGCTATATAGGGTCTGAAAAGAGGGGGTTCTGAATCCTCATTTCCACTCCCTTTTCACGAGAAATCCCGCATCCGACTTCTTTCATCAATATCCCGAATATCATTTGTCATTTTCGTTTCTCATCCATGCTCAAGTTTTGGCGAATTCCGCTACCCCAGGGTAGCAGTCAAATCCCGTATCCCGTCAACGTTTTCCCGAATGCCGCACTGTATTTTGGTCAAATCCCGGATCCCGGGAATACCCTTAGAGACCCTTCTTGCCTTATGTGTTTTTGTGAGGTCCATGATAAAATAACCAATCAATAGAGGGCGTTGAAATTTCCCGCGTATTTGACGCATTGTTCAGGTACCACAAGAAACTCTCACATCCGCCGATTAGATTATACAATATTTTAATAAAGCGCAGAATGCATTTTCAGTCATTTTGAATTATTCGGTGGTCTGAAACCAGCCGCTCATATCTTTATATCACTGGGCAAGCGATCGGACCTAACAATGACCACTACGTTTCTAAGATGTGTGTTTCAACACACGCTTTTGTGATTTCCATTTTGTGTCGTTACGTCGGTAGTGTGAGTGTGTGTGTATGACTTTCTAGGAAATAATTATAAACTGAAGTACAGTCGAACCTCTTTGAACCGCCCTTTTCTTGTCCCAGTGAACTGTTGAGTCCATACATTTACGCTTTCTTTGTAACCACTCTACAACGGCCCTACAATGGTAACAGCGACTAAGATGCATCCTAACAGCCCTTGCAATAACCTCTAATCAATCGCCTTTCGACTCATAAGCGAATAATGTGCAAAGAGGTCTACAAACTGATGCACTCACTGGCTTACTCGTTTTGTTCCGAACTTAAGGTTTCAATATATATTTGACTCAGTGAAATGCTTTGATTATGATACTAATTGATATGCTATAATAAGCATTTTTAACAAAAAAAATATACCAGATGTTCTAGCTGTTCCCTTAAACAACAGGTGTCAGTAGTACCTCCCTACATTTTCTACCCAGAGTGCCAGAGACTTTTCATGCGCGGTTTCTGGTTGCGATTAAGTGAAGCATCCCGCCCCACGAGAGAAAAAAAAAACCTTCTGGTATCCAGGGTATACCTTCCCATAACGGTCACTCCTTTGTAGCAACAAGTCACTGTCTGTCCGAAAGGTGACCGTTGTGGGAAGGTTCGTATAGACCATGGTTTCTAAAAAAAAAATCAAATGTGGCCGAAACTTATAGAAAAGAGACACAATCCGCACACAAAACAAAATAAATCCAAACATATCATATCAGATTCTCCGGATTGAGATTTACACGTTTTGGGCTCCTCCTTCAACATATTTTCATAGTACTTGTTCCAGAAGGCCATCCTGGTTGGCTGGAAGTTGATGGCCATTTCTGGGACAGAGTGGATGCGAAGATAAGCCTTGCGACTGGAATTAAATTCTTCCCATGATACACCGCGCACCGGCTGTGGTGTTGGGTTTCCATATTTGGCAAAGTTCGTGAACAGTGTTATTACCATGTCGCTTACATTTCGGTCAATGTCGTCGTACTTTTGTAGGACAGTCAGGTTCATAAATGGAAAACCGAACTGATATGGGGTGTCATCCTTATGAGCGGTTCCTTTCCAGAGGGGGCTTGGATTGAGTCCCGAACGATGACCAAACTCATACATGTACGCAGGAGCCTTTTGACTGTGAAAGAGCAAGTCTCTGTGGGTAGGGGCTGTCATTGTGAAGTCTCCTACTTCATCGGCAATCCCCTTTTCACCTTATCCTTATCACTTTTGTCAGTCCATGGCGTGTATAAGAGTTCTATCGTGTCAAGAAGTGGCTTTGGAAGACCCCCGTCCATCATTTGTCCGTATTTGTTGCCAATGTTGTAAAATATGGTCGCTGTGTAGTAACGAAAATTTTCAGGCGTAACTTTGGCAAGTACATCAGGGAAAAAATACGAACCCTCGCGGCTCGTGAATCCAGCCATATATGGTACACTATGAAACTTCCCAGCATCCCTTAGGTTTTCTGGTGCATCTGGCAAAAAGTGTCCATCTACTATCGGTCTCCACACGTTCACTTCATTGACTGGGAATCTCTTTGCATCAACTGATCGCAGACACTTTATCATTTCACGGTTGTCGCTCGAAGAACAACCAAGCTGTTTGGCAACTTTTCTAGTCTGATTTGCCACTTCTATCGAGGAGCCAATCGCAAATGGAGAAAGATCCACTCCGCTTATAGAAATAGCACGGTGGAAAAGACCCTTGGATCGAGGAGACAACAACTGGAGTCCCACGCTTGACCCTCCAGCGCTTTCACCGAATATCGTTACAGAAGAAGCATCTCCTCCAAAGTCTTTTATGTTCTGCTGTACCCACTTCAGAGCCTCGATCTGATCCAGCATCCCAGAATTCCCCGAAGCCTGAGAGTCTCTAGTGGTCGCGAATCCAAGTACACCCAGGCGATACTGTATCGTGACTAGCACAACACCCCACAGGGGTATAACATCCCCGGGACTTACCGCAGGGGTCCCAGCATCGTATCCCCCACCGTGAATGTACACCATGACGGGGTAGAGTTTGCTTGGTGGCAAATTTTGATTCGGCGCGTAAACGTTCAGGTACAAACAGTCTTCGCTTTGAGCAAGTGAGAAGTTAGGCCAGAAGAAATTGTTATACTCAGGATCTTGGAGGCAAATGTTCCGAAAATAGGAGGCGTTATAAACGGCAGGTTTCCATGAGAAAGGCTCCTGTGGGGGCTGAAATCTCCGATCTCCTGTTGGTGGAGCTGCGTAAGGAATTCCCAGAAATTTTTTCACTCCTTTTATTGGCTTGTCTATGTCGGGGAAATGGCGAGTCAGTCCTTGTATTGTTCCATATTTCGTAGTCACTTTAACCTCTTCACCATCAGATAAAACGAAGCAGACTTCAGCTGGTATCAAGAGATAGATTGGTACAATGATCTTCAACAATTCCATCGTCGACGAGTTGTTTTTCCTTCCCTGGCACGCGTTCTGATAGTCTAGCTCCGCAGGAATGACAGTGAATTGGATTAACGTCTCTCGAACTCGATTGACTATTTGATTTAAACCACAGACCAATAACAGGAAAAGTCACCCAATAGTTTCAGTATTCTCTCTCCAGTGAATCTGTTTATCGACAGATCGTTTCAGTTGCCTTCAGGTCACCTCAATCAACCATTTAATGATTCACTGTTGCTTTAACTTGAATAAGCAAGCAGAAATATCTTTGAACCTGACCCCAGTATCACTCCAAATAAACTGCCCCCAGTCGTTTATTTAAGGAAGTTGAGGACTTAATGGCCGAAATATAAACAATGAGCACTCTAGTAACAGAGCATCATCTATTACAGCTTCCTTTTTAAAGACTAAATGAATAAGCAATTAAGGCTAAATTTTTGTGCTGCATTTAACCAACTTAACGATGGGTAGAAGCTTGTAGTAAACCATTTCCATTAATTGTGTAATGAAACAAGATCTGTTATTTTGGTGGTTGAAGAAAATCAGCAGTTACCACCAATTATCTTGAACTTTGAAGTAGGTGGCCTGTTTGCCCTAACTTACTTTTAAAAACAGATGACGAAATTAAGACGTGTGGGAAAATTAAGTGATCGCATGCATCCGCCCACGTGGGCAATGACAGGGGAGGGGGGGATGCTACTTTTTGTGCATGAATGGATGTGGCGAAAACAGACTGTACTACACAAGGTAAATGGTTAGCTTTAACAGTTAGCCAAAACATTTTGGCTGAAGACTTAAAGTAATTACATATAAGAAAAAGCAATTCATTAACAAAACTTGTCTTATTAATAGTTTTTATTTAATAGTTTTTATTTAATTTGACACCTTTAAGACCTTCTTAGAGTGACGTTTTTGTTACTTGTGATTTGGAGAGTGAGCCATAGGTTTTGGATAACTTTGCCATTTATCGTTACTCTCCAAAACGGTAGCACTTCTAAAGTGTATACCATGGGTGTTTGTGAATTTTTTTTCGCTTCACTCCTTTTACAGAACTCCATTTGAGCTCTAACTTTCAGCACTAATACGCAGCTATTTTCTTAACTTTGTTATCTTTTCATATCAGAGTAACTCTACCAAATAAGAAATAACATCTCTCCCTTCCCCTAATATTTTCTTTCTATCACTTCGTAACCCCCCTTAATCAAATGGCCCATTCAAAAACTTTCTGAGAGTTGATGGGATGTTGACTGCATTTGTAGGATTCCAAGGTCTGCTTGTTCTAGCTCGGAGTGGCTAGAATATAAATTTATAAACTTCGAAATTCCGCTGCTGAAAGAGAAAAAAATATTACCATCTGAAAGGATTAATTTGAATGGTCACACTATAGGATTTCATCCACCGTCTTAAAAGTTAGAACTACACACCAAATAAAAAGTATCATGTGAAAGTATTGCTGAAGAGAGGTTTTACTTGAATGGGCACACGTCATCACAGTAACATATTCACAGACTTACGTTTCATGCTGAGGGCAAAAAGGTTAATTGGATTTTCAGTATAAACGGATAAGTATAATTGGCTTTTTATATTACACTTAATAGATAGCTCTTGATATGCTCATTCACGCGATGTTTTCAGTTGAAGTCACGTCGTGCCTACTTGACATAGGATCGATTAAAAGTCCTCGCTGTATTATTAGCACATTTTTTTTCTTTTATAAAGAGACGTGGCGTCGAAGTTTTTGCCTGACCTGCCAAACGTAATTGCGACAAGCGTATCAAGTTTTAGTTACTATTATATTGTATACGTATAACGGGCCGGATCCAATATTTCCGCAGCCTTTAGCTATAAATGGATCAATATACAGGATGTCATAGCTCGATGAAAAAAAATCGTACGCATTTACTTGAATAAGCGCCTGGTTTCGGCCAAAATGTCGGCGTGGGAGGGGGGTGTTGCGGGGCTTTTTTCTGAAGGTGGTTATTGAGTTCTTCATTCAACGAAGCATGACTTTATTTTGACCTTATTTTCAGATTGCAGAAATTGTATACTAGAGGTCATAAGAACAAAGGAAGATAAAATCAATGACATCAAAGCAAAGAGCTAAGTGAAGTTAGTCCTCAATTCGTTTTCTGTTTATTCTCCTGCAAGGCAACTATTCTTAAACTTGGAGGCATTCCTACTCTTCGACAAGACTCTTGCCTTGATGAGAAACACTGTGTTTAAATTCCGTTGGTAGCTCACTACTTCGAGAGGACTTCTAGATAAGGTTCACCCTGAGTTAGTCAGTCACTGATTGAACTGATAGCAAAGAACAGCGTGTGCATTTGGTATAAAGTTTTCGAGCATAAGAAATGACAGAATTCATTGTGATCACTGAGCTTTACACACCGAAAACAGATGGTTTTCCTCACCGTGTTTAAGGCAGCCATGTGCTCTGGTTTAGTCCGCTAACCTATGTTACGCATACTCATATCTTGCGTATGCGCTGTATGCGCGACAGGACGATTTGCGCCAGAAAAAAAACAAGCCCACACTTTTGCTGGGCTGTTCCCATGGAAACGCCCGAGCAATAATAAAGCAATGGCACGGTGCTTTATCCTGATGGATCAAGTCATAAAATATTTTTAAAAAGTGAATTTAGATACAGGGCTGACTATCACTGGAATACAGTAGCATTATAAGAAATGACAGGTATATATTCATAGCTGTATAATCAGTTGCTCTTAAATTTGTAAGACATATCGAGAGCAATGGCAATGAGAAGCGTAGTATACTTTCAGCGCACAAGGAGATCAAACCATACGTCAAGTGGTCACTTACAAAAGGGTAAAGAGAGGTAGTCGTTTATATGAGTCCAGCTGTAATTTGACTGGGAAGGTTTGGGGTTTTGGATAGCTGGTCGCTTACGAGAGGTAGTCGCAACTGATAAAGGTCCGACTGTATCAAACATAAGCCTGGTAAACCAATATATGTTTTGCTTTACCTCAGGCAACGAAATTTGGATAAAATGCAATGCTGCATGGGAAAATGAATTAAACCTGATCTTGAATCCTGGCAAAACGAAGTTCGTGTTAAGGTGTTACTAAACAGAGTAACGCAGTAACGAGTAACGAGTAACAGAGTAACGAGAAAACGAGGAACTGGATAGAAATTCAAGAGGTTAAAAAAAAGAAATAAATAAAAATGGTTGTAACATCCTAGTAATGATCTTTACCAATCTCGAAAAATATGCGTATTCCAAAAAGTACTTAAAACAACGACGTCAACCCCCCACCCCTCCCTTCAGCAAAGTCGCGCCGAAAAAGTCACCTGGCTACGGCTGTTATAGGGGGCCGACCTGTACCCATTCCAAGCAAGGTTTGTGATTGGCTGGGAAAACAAAGGGGATGGTGACATAACAATGCCTCTATCCCTGAAAACAAAAGGTAGTGAAGGTTACAGGGACCAATGAAATAAGAGGTTTGGATGGGTGTGGGTCAAATGGTTATTTTCTCACAGCCACGAGTAGACCAAGGAGCAACCATGCATGGAGGAAGGTGAGGTACAGATTTTCTTTCTGATTACTACAATTATTTCATTTGTTAGAAGAGATTGTTACTGCCAGAGCATGAAATTAACTCTTTTTGTAGGATCCACTTGGCTACTTAATAGTTCAAAGTGGTAGCCAATTCCATAAGTCGAATAAGTCCTTAGTCCAAAGAAAAAAATGTATGCGAAACAAAACAAAGAAGAAACAGAACAAACAAAGAGAAAACGGCCGGTTTACTAGATGTTATTTTAGAGCTGAGATCCTACAAATTGACAAGTTTTGAACCCAAATGATTCTAGCAGGTGACCAAAGTAAGCAAAGAGGACCCCTACATACCTACTTGGAGTTCGCCAGCGACATAGTTTCCTAGTGAATTATGTGCCATTTTGCATGATCGTCATACAGACATTGGTGCTTATATTAGTTACAATTTCACGCCCTGATAATATGCAATTACATGAACTCATTGTGACCCAAATTTCAATTTGTCAAGCCTGGGCTTAATGGATGGCTTAAAGGCAGCTACGCCTCTGTCAGCGCTGAATTCTGTCAGGGACTTTTCCGCTTCTGGTCACGCTTCGGCAAACTTTAAAAATAAATATTGGTGTGTTATATGAAACGCCTAAGCTAAGATAACAACAACTAATAGTATTTTGAAATCGTAGAAGAGCCCTCGTTTCCACTTCTGTGTTCTCCCACTTATGATCCCTTCGGGAAAGGAATGATCGTGTCTTCTTCTAGAATTGCTTTGACGATCAATCTCTTCTATTAGGACCCGTTAAGAGCTGAAGTGGCACTTGCAGACGGTCTTTACCATCATGCAAGTACGAAGAGGGACCTACATTTGGCAAAAGAAGTACCAAAAACTTTCCGTTTCTTTTCTTCATGATCTCAATAAGCACAACGTATACAGCGTGATCAAACTATCAACCATACGAAAATCAATGTTATTGATGCAGATTTCGATGTTGGTACTAATGCTACTACCTGGGTACCACTCATTTCAGTTGGACATATTCAATGATTTGTGACAATTGTTCAAAAACTCGGCACTTTTAAAATAGTCTTCCTAACCCTGGGCTGTAGGAAATAACCTTTTAGGGTGAACGATAAACGGAACGTTTTGTTACTCTATCTGCTGGATAGGTAAATTCAATTGCAAATAGCAGGTGACTTTTTCGGCGCGAAAATACCTTCGACTTTCCTGGATCGCGGAGAGAGGGGTGGGGTGGTTGACGTCGTTGTTTTAAGCACTTTTTGGAATACACATATTTTTCGAGATTGGTGAAGGTAATTATTTGGATATTACAACCATTTTTATGTTTTTCTTTCATGTTATTATCTTCTAACGAACTTTTTTCGTATCATGACCTTAAAATCACTGACATCGACCCAAGAGTTGGAAGTACATCTTTAGGATGTGTATGCTAGATAAGACCAATTTTTTTTTCCTGACGCTTTATCCACTAGTAATCTATTCGGTGCGCACTAACAATAACAATTCCTTTGGTAAGTTTTGTAGGCATAGCATTAAAACGTGAACAGGTTGGCCCAATTTTTTCAAGTTTTAATCCATGTTCATCCTTGCCATCCGTTGCCACAGAAGACAGGAAACAGTTTCAATGCCTAACATCTTCAATAACAAAACTGGACCGTCATTTTTGAAATTCAATTGACGCACGAAAAAAAAAAACAAAAGAAAAGAAAAGTCCTAGCTTTTATAAAGATGGCAGATAGTGTGATAGTAGCCCCTTTAATTGAATCCCACTGGTATCACGGATCTATTCGAAGAATAGAGGATAAATCAAGCTAAAAAGACCTTTAATGTTTAACATTATGTTATAATCTGCAATAGCTACTCAGAAAAAAATATTGAGTTACATCATGCTATACCTTCCCGCTCACAATAACATTGGGAAAGAAACCTAATTTACTAGATTTGAATAAATGAGGACATGGCATAAAGCAAGGTCTCAGCAAACCATAAAAACCATCTCTGAAAATACAACTTGAAAAACAGTTCCGATCATCCCTTGGTAACAGTAGCCTTTGCACCGCTGACCACCTTTTTATTGCCACGGAACTTCACCTGCTCCAATTTAGGATAGTAATCATTCCAGAAAGACATTCGGCGAGGATTAAATGACGCCTTCAACTCGGGACTTGTGTCCACTTTAAGGTAAGCTCTGTGAGTCGTGTTGTATTTCTCCCACGCGACACCGCTGACTGAAGGATCGCCGGACCGGGCAAAGTTTGCGTACATGGTCATAATAAACAAACTGACGATTCTGTCACCGGGACTATAAAATGACAAAAACATTGGAATCAAAGGAACTCCGAAATCAAAGGGAACATTTTCACTATGGACCACGCCCATCCAATCAGCACCCATACTTGTTTGTGCCCGTTGAGCAAATTCATACATGTAAACAGGAGCGACCTGACTGTGAACATCAGCAACCTCGTGACTGGGAGCAAAAAATAAGTAATCTCCAAGAAGATCAACAAGTTGGCTTCTTAATGCGTATTCATTACTTTTGTCAGGCCAAGGGGTGTACATGAACTCCAACGCATCTGCGATGAGATGAGCAGTCTTCTTTCTGAAAAAAAAGTGACGGATAAAAACAATTATTGCAGAGGCCATAGCCGTGCCCAGGTTTAAAGCAATCCGAGGTACCTGCCTCACTCGTTTTATTTCGAAGGGGGAAGCAAAACACTGCTTGCAAGTAAACAACAAGCAAACAAATAAATAAATGTGCATTGTTGGTGGCCTGTGGAAACGAGCGTCTCTACAGCACCTTGCGAGCAGAAGCTACATATAGCTGAGCCTCCTTTTGACTGAGGAGGAGAATCACATTAAGCTTTTGAGGTTACCGCAGCAGCCCAAACTTCTGGACTAGTCACTGATTTTGCTTTCCCTCCTCAAACTGGTTTTCCCAAGAGCGATTATCCGTTTATTGATTGAACTGATGGTCTCTAACGAACCCGCTGTAGCAAGCGCGTGCATTATTAGGCCCAAGGGCCCATTTCTCGAAAGACCCGGAAAATTTTCTGGCCCGAAGGCAAATTTTAAAATCAAAACCTGCTGAATAGTATCACAGTTCCTAGCCCACGCACCAGTCAATTTTTCTTCGTTAACTGATAGGTCCATTGTATTATTTTCAAAATTATTGAAACTTTGATCTTGAATGCAAACACAACAAACACAAAACAGCTTTCTGAGCCCGAAAAGTTATCGAGACTTTCGAGAAATAGGCCCCAGGTCCGAAACCATATCTTAGCAACATCCTGCGCATGCTCAACAAAGATCTTATTCGATTCATGCAGCAGAGTTTCCCTGGAAACAAGCAAGCCAAAAGCGAGCGACAAAAGAAAAGGCCCTGCTGCATGGCAGGGTGCTGTACCCCAAAATCTCCACTGTCTTTTGGCTGTTGTTTATTCTTCCATTAAGATGTAGTTATTATTCGCTTTCCAGAGGTTAAAAACCTAGAGCCCCTTTCACGAAAGTTCCGGTTAATTTACGAGCCCGAAAACAACTATTCAGATCACCAAAGAAAAACAGCGCTCCATTTTGTTTTTTTAACTGTTAGTTTTACAATGTTATCTGCAAAACTATCGCAACCTCCGAATCCTCTATGTTAAATTTAAGGTAAACAACGACTACTTTCCGGGACCGTTAAATAACGGGACTTTTCTAAAAACGGGCCTCTGGTACCGTGTATCTATGGGCTCCTTAAATAGGCCCAATTGTCTTGCAGCAGCCTAATGTAGAAGCTAAGTCCCTGTGGAGCCACCCGAGGTTCTACAGCAATTAATGGGATCAGTGCAGTGGGATTAGTGCTGATGTGCACAAAATCATCCCAATTTGCTACTTCAGTGATAAGAACAAACAAACTGTTTTTTTATAAAAATCCGCATACAAGAATCTAGAACACCAAACCTAATACTTAAATAACCCTCCCACCAACACTACAACCCTATAAAAAAAACGTTTTCATATCAAAGATACAGACTAGATCAGAATGGGCTTTGGGTCTATAAAAGGACATTTTATTGTCGAATAAAGGATGAGTAACTCGCAAATATGTAGGTCATGGTCATTGTCTCAGTCATAATTTTTTTGCTGGTTACGATCCTGTAAGCTCGCGTTAAACGTGAGTGGAATCGTAATAACAGGCTGCAGTTATGTATTAACACTTTATTTAAAAATGGAAAAGAAAGACGTTTTTGCTTTCCATTTATGAGCCAACGAATAAGTTCCAAAAGTGTCACTACATCTATTAAAGCCGACTGAGCAAACATTCGTAAAATCTTAACGGAACTTACCTACTGTCTAGAGCTTGAGAAAACTTGGTTAGAAATGATTTGAACAAAGTCGGACTGACTCCATTGTCCACGCTCTCCATCAGCCCAAAAGAATTGTTGACCATGTCTCCGAGAAAACTCGCCCCCTCGTTACTTGTGAAGGTGATGATAAGTGGCAGTTGCTTGAATTCTCCTTTTTTCCTCAAAACTTGGGGTGTATCATGAAGAAAGTTTTTATCTACGACTGGTGCCCAGTTGATAACATTAATGAAACTAAATCTGATTGACTCGGCGGCTTTTTGCATGTCTGACGCTGTTTTGCTGCGCATACAAGAAACCATTGCACAATGGTCACTGGAACCACAATTCAGTTTTTGTGCAAGCTCTTTAGTGAAACGGAGACCAAAAGACGTTGGCTGAATCGAAAAGGGAGTTAAATCTACACCGCTCTCTGGAATGGCTTGATGAAAGAGATCACGTGATAGAGGCGATAGAAGATGGAGCCCCACGCTAGTTCCTCCAGCACTCTGTCCAAATATGGTCACTTTGCTGGGATTCCCACCAAAATTCGCAATGTTTTCTTTGACCCACTTCAGTGCTTCCACTTGATCCAACATCCCATAGTTACCAGGCGCCGCTGAATCACCGGTCGTCAAGAAACCAAAGGGACCTAGACGATACTGGACTATGACTACCACCACTCCCTGGAGAGCTAAAACATCGCTGGGAGAAGTGATCGCTGTTCCTCTGGTGTAACCTCCACCGTGAATGTAAACCATCACTGGCAAACTGAGGCTGGTGTTCGGGCTGAAGACGTTGAGATACAAGCAATCCTCGCTGTAGGTGAAATTTGGAGTTACTGACTGGATAAAGAATTCAAGACTAGGGTCTCTTAACTGTAAACAGATGGCCCCGTGTGTTTTAGCCGAATAAACTTTTGGTTTCCACGCTTTTGGCGGTTTGGGGGCTTTAAACCTTAGCTCTTCAATTGGTGGAGCGGCAAAAGGAACGCCAAGAAACTTGCTGACGGACTTGAAAGGACCAGAGGCAGTCGGATACGGAGTCAAGAAACCCTCGATATCTCCATACTTAGTTGACACTGTTTCTGCTCGAACATGAAGCCAACATACACAAAAGAGAAATATCTTTGCTAGTTGCATCTTCCAACAGTTCTTCTTGTGGAGCTGTTCGTTTTACCAAGATCAAAACGCAGCAGGGCTTGACTTTTCAACACTAACCAAATGAATGCGAAATGCGCCATTTATTACTTTTCATGTCGCAGAAGCTGCTGACGTCATTCGAACAACATACAATATTTTAAGAGCCCTTAATGGCTTTTGGTTGACCATGCAATCTGACTAAAGAAATATATTTAGTAAAATGTTACAAGATAATTTACTACTAAAACTGTAAAAAAAATTAGAAAGTAAAGTAGTGTAAGCATCTTATGTTAACCGTGAACTATCGACAGTGTACCTTGGAAAACCTCTTTACTGACATCTTTACTTTAACAGCGTGATCATGAACGTGCGTCGGATTCGATGACTGCGCAATTAAGAGAACAACAGGAAACTGACGTACATGTATGAATACAGTACACCACGACAGATCATGCAATAATTGCAAAATCACTGAACCGCCCTTAGCCACGTCGTCGCAATCATTTTTACGCCAGCAGTTTTTTTTCCAGTATTCGTGCTTCTGAAGTATTCTGCATGCAATTGACGGCAATAAAGCCGTTGTACTACTTATGTTAGATTTATCTGCTGCATTTGATACTGTGTCTCATGCAGGAGACACATGTTTTCCAGTTACGTTTATTGACCCATTCCGCGTGCCAGTGTGACGTCACATAGCAACGGGTGAGCGCTTCGCGTCGCTTCTGCAGATTAGCGTGGGACGCCATCGAGGAGAGAACAACAGAGGTCAAGAAAGACAAAACGCTAGGTTAATATCGCTATTGCTCGCTAGTTTGATCGTAAGTGTGTGTGCTTTATTGTTGCTCTTATCTGTTTTGCAAACCTCTAGAGCGTTTTGTGTGCGTAATTGTGTAATTTTTCCGCTTTGTGCCGGGGGCTGTTTGGCGGGACCGCCATTTTTTCTGTGGGACCAGTCAGAGCATCATCGATCAGTCACCTTTTTTATCCAAATTAAGCAACGGATAGCCTTCAGGATAGGAGGTTTTATTCATTGATTACACTCCTTTAAAATCGAGTTTGCCTAATGGTCGTGGGTCGTGGGTCGTGGGTACATGTCGTGGGTCGAGGGTGTGGGTAAAAGTCGTGGGTGTGGGTAATGATTAATAATTAACAATGTTACTAATTTTTGTTAAATATTAATAAGGGGTGACAGACCACACATCTATACTATATTTTAGCTCTAACGAGCATGTCCTTTAGGGATTTTCCTTTCTTGTAGGAAATGATAGGTGGTTCTTTAAAAATTTGGCGAAGTAATGGTTGGTTTTGTATAAGATTCCATTTTTTTATTAAAACTGCTTATAAAGTAGACACTGAGGGCTGGTACTGTGTGACGAAAGGCAATATTTCTTTTTCCTCTTTGTTGTTTTGTTTCAGGAGAGCAGACTCCCTCTCCGTGAACTTTATATCGGATAGTAGGTTTTCTATCATAGTTTGTGGGTAGCCTCTGTCAATCAAGCGTTTTTTGACATTTGAAATATTTTCCTCCAACGTAGTTTTTGAGGAGTTTGTTCGTAGGATTCTCAAGGCTTCTCCTTTGAGAAATCCTTTTTTAACACTCGGCGGGTGACAGGAGGTGAAATGTGTGTACTGGAAGGTTTCCGTTTTTTAAAAATGTGTCTTTACATAAAGGATAGATTTTTCCTTGAATATTGTGCCTTTGTATACAATCGTGTCTAAAAACATAGTCTCAGTGTCAGATATTTCGGCCGTGAATTTGATAGTTGGGTGATGTAAGTTCCCTTGTTCGATGAAGGCTTCGATGTCTGGTTTACTGATGTCCCATACGGAAAAGATATCGCCAATTTAGCGTTTCCAAACTGTAGGTTTAAAAACGGTTCTGCTTAGAATTGTTGTTTCAATATGTGCCATGAAAATATTGGCAAAAGAAACAGCTGTCTTTGTACCCATTGCAGTACCATGGGTTTGTGGGTAGTGTTTTCTATTGAACTGGAAAGAAGTTTCTTTGAGGATTAGTCTAAGCATTTCCCGCAGGTAATGTGTAGGAATAGGAGGGTTGTCTTTGTGGAAGTTTTCATATGCTTTACAGACAATTTCAATGCCCTCGTTTTGTGGTATATTTGTGTAAAGACTTGTGACGTCCATCGAAACAAGAAATGTCCGTTTTTTCACTTTTGTGATTGTGATATTGTAAAGCGCCTAGAACAGTTAATGATATAGACGCTATATAAATAAAGTTTATTATTTATTATTATAATTAAAAGGCTCAACTTTTGGTCAATAGTTGATTCAAAGGTCGAACTGTTTGCTCATTTTTGTCTGGAATCGGGCATGGTTTTCGAGGGAATAACGTGTTTATCGTTTCAATTCCAAACGAGTAAGAAAGAAGAGAAATATGCGTATTCGAAATGGATTTGAACAATTTTTTTGGTCTGATATCAGGTCAGGATTTGAAGAACCGGGCGGCACACCCCCACCAAGAATTTCTAGGAGGAATCTCCCCCCCCCCCCCACCCCCCTCCAAAGGGTTCGACCAAAGCTGTTTTGGAACAGGAGTTCGAGCGGAGGTTTTTTAATTTCTACGAAAATAGTTAGCCACGTATCAGAAAATACCAAGAAAAGGACCAAATTTGGCTGGAAGGTGTTAACTGATTGGTGTCACGCGACCTTCGATATCTCCATACTTAGTCGACACTATTTCGAATCGAACATGATGCCAACATGCGCAAAAAGGCATTAACGTTGGTTGCTAGGGTTGCATCTTCGAACACTTCTTCATCAGTGGAGTTACTCGATTTTTCAATATCAAACAACAACCGAGCTTGATTTGTTGATACTTAGCAAATGAAGGGAAAGTCAACAATTTTAAATTACTTTTCATCTCCCGGCGAGCCTTTTTAATCCTGACGTCATTCGGAAACCACCAAGCTCGTTCTCTCTTGAAACCACTTATTACCAACGAGCGCTCAGGAACCCAGGCTCTGTGATAATTAGACCACGATATGAACTGAAGCACACACTACCAAACTCCACGGTATGGCCAGATTTTTTTGAGTTGGGGTTGATGCTATATGTGCTTAAATTATTTCACTTCCATCCAGCAAATCCTCATGCAGTGGTCTAGTGGTTAACGTAGTATACTGGACAATCTGGGTCGTGGACTCGAATCCTACTGTCTTACGTATCAAATTTTTTTTCTTCCTAATTGGACTTTCATGAACATTTCCTGCTTGAAATATTATCTAAGTGTGATATAAAAGCAGAAAACAGTTGTACCTTGTGTAAATTTCATGAGGAGAGAAAGGGGCTACGGCCGATGGGATCTAATGCTGACCGTGGCAGCTATGGACAGCTGTTTTGTCCTTGTTAGGACTCATCAGCATGGCATAGCCAGCACGGTCTGACTTACGATCACAGACCCTGCCTTTACTACCAAGGCGAGTGCAAAGCCAGCTCCACCTTGTGATAGTACCACAGTACGGTTCCAGTAAAATTACAGTAATTTTCTAGGGTAAAAAAGCGATCCTACAATTTGTAGGAAATAGTAATAAAGGTCAATGAAACTTACTCCGCAATGAATTGTTTTTGTATTTAATGCTCAAACGAATTTTTGTGATAATTTGCTCAAATTCACCCTCCATACAATATAATACTGAATAATACACAAGGTAAGATGCATCTCGGCCGCCATGCTCCCTTTCCAATAAAACGTTTACCACGAAATTCTACCTCTAACGGTAAATAAACGTGCTAGGATCGTAGAAATAGGATAGCATCAGATATAAAAACTAATGACGCGTTTCCAGCAGCTAGAGAAACGAATTCCCGGCGCAGACTTTGATAAACTCGAAGGATGTAAAATAGAAAGGGCGAAAGTTCGGCGAAGTGGCCAGGCCAGATCAACGCAAGGCCAAGCAAATAAGTCCTGGGCACTGTACAAATCAAATCCATCCCGGGGGTGACCTTTCTAGGGAGCGACACGTAGCTTTGCCAAAGTTATATTCGATTGTTAATCATAAAATGCAATTTCAACAAACTGAAGTTCAAGCTAGATGCTTACTTGAGCAGGGACAGCACTCACTGTTTTGCTAATGACCCGAGAAACGGCTTCGGAACTCATCTGGTCTTAGTTTTAGTCAACCATGATGGTTACCGGACTCGTCTCGGAATTCAAGCCATTTCCTTCGAATGAATTACCGTTTTGGCGCCTTGGTGTGTCATAAATTAGTTAAGTGCCTTGAAGCAAAATACAGTATTTACAAATACACTCGGCGAGGTGAAACTTCATGATGTATAAATAATGGGTTTACCCTCCAGGGCCGAGTTGTTCAAAGCTGGGTTAAGATAACCCAGGGTTAGTGCGAGATTTGAAATCAGATTTGAAAGCTTATAAAAAGCAGTTCAGTTTGAATTCTTTTTGTCTACAAGTTGATGATTGGAAGCTCTAAAAATAACGGAGAAAATTATCCGAGAAAGTGCTTTTGAACACAAGAAATAGAAACCCGGGTTAAATTTAACCCCGGGTTAAGCGCTAATCGGCCTTCCAACAACTGGGCCCAGGTAAACTTCATTATTTATGAATAATAGATTTGCCACAATATAGGTTAACATCATTATTTATAAATAATGGATTTACCCTCCAGGTAAAATTCATTATTTACAAATAATGGATTATAGTAAAATCCAGCTAGTGGTCCATTATCCATGCTGCGTTCTGAGCTACTACGCGCTTACGCGCTTTTGATCATATTTGAATTGAAAAGGCGCGTTATAAATTTTTAATTATTATTAGTAGTAGTAGTAGTACTTGGCTATATGTTATAGCCCACTATTAGCGAAAAGCGCCGGCTTTGAAAACCAAAACAATGGCGGCTGAATCGCGTTTTGCCAGCTAAAGTTGTTTTGTCTCGATATTTTTGACCAACTACAATCCTGGCCAAAAGGTTTTGGGACACCTTCCCTTTTTCACTTGGTTTTGTATGGAACTAGCAGCTAACCTGCGATACACACTCTTAAACACGGCCTCAACAAGATTCCCCCACAAACAAAGTTGAGGTCCTTAAAGTGTACAAGATATGTAAAAGGTGTTTGACTTGTAACACCCAACACTGTTCAGGGGGGGAAGGGGGTCAACTTGAATATTACATTTCCTCACCTAAAACACGAAGTGTCCCAAACGTTTTGACCAGGATGGTAGTTAGATTTTACTAAAACAATTATTCCTCTCGCCCTCATGGCCTCTGCGTCAATAGCTCATTCGGCCTTCGGCCTCATGGGCTATCGACTCAGAGCCCATTGGGCTCGATGAATAATTGTTAAATAACGTCTTTAAATTAAGACTGGTATTATATAGATATCAGGTTTTGGCAACATATGACGATTTTCATATCATTTGGTGAGTAGTTGTTCCTTATTTATAAATAAACTTTCTATGGCTGACTATTATTTACAAATAAAAAAGGAATGTATTTGTTTTAAATGTTTTTTCCACAAACGGCGCCCTATAGTGCGCTCGTCATTCAAACGTCATAGTGAAAAAGTACTGATATATTGTGGACACAACTGGATCTAGAAACAGAGAAAAAAACCGAGAAAATTCCTAGCTTTTTTAAAAGTTGGCAGGTAGTGTGATAGCTGAGCCCCAATAATTAAATCCCACCGGTATCACAGATCTATCCGCACAAGAGAGGGAAAATCAAGCTGAAAAGACCTTTAATGTAAATAACCAAATATAATCTATAAGGAACTGCATCGATTTTGTTTGTTTGAGAGATGATTTTTATTATTTAATGAAAAGGTTGGTGATAAAGTCGTTTTATCATCGTCATCATCATTACCATCCCAAGTGTATAGAACTATACATCTTCGGCCCAGATATTAGGAGATGGATATCCATTCTTTATAACAATGTTGAATTTGGCGTTATGAATGCGGGTTTATGACTGACTACTTTAAAGTGTCCCGAGAAGTTCGCCAAGGGTCTCCATTGAGCCCTCCTCTATTTGTATGCTAGCCCTTGATAGTACGCCAGAATCAACTTAGTCGAAGAATGGAGCTCCCAAATGGACAAAGTGCTAACATTGCATATGTTGCAGATGACACCACACTCATTCTCGTAAAAACCAGGGCACTAAGAAATGCGAATAGTGAATTCATTTAAAGCATGTCCGCCTGTGTGGATCGGTACTCAGACGAGCAAAAACAAGACCAAACCTTTAGATTTGAGTGTCCGAAAGACCCCATCAAATCTCTTGGAACATTCTTTCTGCAGACGCAAAAAAAACTATTTGCATTTCTTTGGAAGAATGAAACAGATAAGATCAAAAGACTGGTTTTGTTCCGCCCATTATCCAAAGGTGGATTGAACTTCCGTTGCTTCACGACTACCGTCAAAGCGCTTCGCCTTTGTTGGATAAGCAGACTTTTAAGTAACTCCAATGATAATTGAACAGCAATCCCCTACCACCACTTTGAAAAATATGGTAGACTGTTGTTTCTACTTAATTGTAACTATAGTACTGACAAATTAGACAAGAAAATTCCTCTGTTTTACTGAGAACTGCTCGAATATTTTCAACAACTGCGTAGCAATTATAAAGATCCATTGGAACGTGAATTTATTTAAATTTGTGGAATAACAGAGACGTAAATATTGAAAACAAATCGGTCTATTGGAAGGCTTGGCGGGACAAGAATGTTATGTTGATACATGACTTGCTGAACGATCAAGGCAATGACCCTTCTCCTCAAGAAGTTGGTGTCAAATACAACATTAAAGTTAACTTTTTGCATTACTATCAGCTCATTTCAGCCCTTCCCACGCATCTTAAAAGCGAGGCATCTGCTAAAACGGATCTTGGGAATCTTAACTTAGTTGGTGTAAGATTAGATTTTCATCTAGCTAAAGATTTAAATCTAAACTGAAAGAAAACCTCTTGCAAGCAATTTTATAAATCGTTTGCTGAGAAAATTTACACTGAACCGACTACCATCAAACGTGGCGGAACCATTGCCCTGCAGTTGCTGACAATTGAAAACCTGAAAACCTCCTGCTGAAAACCTCTTGCAAGCAATTTTATAAATCGTTTGCTGAGAAAATTTACACTGAACCGACTACCATCAAACGTGGCGGAACCATTGCCCTGCAGTTGCTGACAATTGGATGCACTGCATGCAAAGTAACTATAAAATCACTCGGCATAATAAGTTAAGGTAATTTTATTTTAAACTTTCGCACAGAATAGTATAAAGACGGAATTGAAACGCTTTGGGATAACTGATTGCATGAAATGTGTTATGTGTAGCGAGAATCATGATGACTCTATGGAACATGTATTCTTTGAATGTCAGTCTTAAGAAATTATGTAACGAGTCCCTTCAGTGGTTCAAGAACTTGCTCAATACAAACCTTAGCCTTACTTCGCTACAGATTTTTCTCATCCTACCAACTGTAACTTAGCCTGCGTAACAGGCGCTTGGAAGTAGTGGGTGTAAGAGAGAACGGGCGCGCGCGAGGGAGACACGCGAGGGGTATCTCCCCTCGCGTGTCTCTTTCTCGCGCGCCCGTTTTTTCTTGTGCCCACTACTTCCAAGTGCCTGCTACGCAGGCTAACTGAAACTATACCAGTTTATCTGATAAACAGATAAAGGACTTGCGTCTTCTTCTGTTATATGTAAAACAGTACCACTACACATGCAAAATAATGCAAAAGAAAGCCACCACATCCGAATTTATATCCAAGTTGATTATTCTGCTTAAAATAGACTCTCAGCTTGATGTGACTGCGTTCCCCTCATCCAAAATTAAAATGCTTTTTAGGCGGCTCAAACAAATCTTCTCTATTCAGTAAAACTTTCTTCTGAACCTTTGTCTGTGTGCACAATATGTAAACTTTTTTTTTCTTTTCTTTTCGGGCTTGGGGGATCTCTTTCTAGTTCTTTGTGTGTTGTTATAAGTGCATTTAGCTGTCCGTTGTTGCTTACATGTAGCGTACATATTACGTAAGTTTCTTTTTTTACGTCTAATAAAGTTGAATTTTAAAAAAAGCATCATTACCATCATCATTATTGTTATTAATTTTATTATTATTTCAAAAGTAGGTTGAGTTTGATCGTCCAGGTGAACGTAGTCCTGAATAGGACTCACAGTTGTTGTCCTGCAAGACAACTAAGACAACCTTGATAAGAAACACGGTGTTTAAATTGCGTTGGTAGCTCATGATCACTACTTCGAGAGGACTTCTAGATAAGGTTCAGCCAGAGTTAGTCAAGTCACTGATTGAACTGAACCGTTCGCTCGCCATCTTGTACTGTAGGTCTAGAAAAGAACAGCGTGTGCATTCAGGGTATAAAGTTTTCGAGTATAAGAAATGGCAGAATTCATTCTTGTGATCACTGAGCTTTACACACCGAATACAGATGGTTTTCCTCACCGTGTTTAAGGCAAAAAAGCATCATTACCATCATCATTATTGTTAGTAATTTTATTATTATTTCAAACGTAGGTTGAGTTTGATCGTCCAGGTGAACGTAGTCCTGAATAGGACTCACAGTTGTTGTTGACAGTGACTGACGTTTCGACAACCTGTGCGGTAGTCATCTTCAGAGTCAAAGTGAGTTGTATCACGTCAGTTGATGGTATTATAGTCTGGTTATTAATCTGATTGGTCAATTACGTCGCGATGTTATTGGTCGTCTGTCAGTTAAGCCGTGATGTTATTGGCTATGAAGACTCGTAATCAGTAATTGGTGCGTTTCGATCCGTCTATTGTCACAGTTAAACAGTCGTGTATTGTTAGTCAAATAGTCAGTTCTCTAGTCGTTCTCTCGTACTTTCGTCGCTTTTCGTAGTTTTGCTTGATCTCATCAATAGGTCGTTTGTACGGTGCTGGTAACTGTTGGCTACGATTAAGTGGCGTTTGTTCTAAGTTAGTAAACCAGCTTTCTAAAGTAAGACGTTAATAGTAGTCTGTAGAACACGTTATATATGTCGCAGAGTCCCAGTCAATTGAAAGTAGCCAAGGCAGGTTATATGATCACTGCATGTGTGATCACGGCAATGAAGCAAGACCCTCACGTAGAAGGGGTTCATTGGGCTGCCGACTGCGTGAAGCGGTGGTTTATTATTTTGGGAAGTATAGATTATAATTACACTTTTTACCGGCTTGAGGGTATAGCTACTCCTCCTAGTCCGTGGAATGGAATAGAGATAGCCATTTGAAGCAAGAAGCGATTGGCATTATTTTTACCTGTGACATTTCAACAACTCACCCCTTCCCTAGCCTGTGTACAGACTCCTCCTCCTTTCATCTCCAGAGTCGTAGTCATCCAAACCTTGCTTGGAACTGTGGCCAGTGATGTTTTTAAGCTCACATTTTGGAATGCCGGAGCTCTTCAATTTCTTGACAACCGTTTTTCTGGCGCTGTGGTTGGTAAGCTTCTTGTCTGGGCAGGTAACTTTCAGGGATGAGTTTTTCTTCATTGTTTTCATGATGTTATTTATGGTGTTTTTCCCTATGAGTGTCTTTTTGTACCACACGCTGGTTTTTGGGTTTTCGATAACATCATAGCCTGCGAAAACAGCTGTTTCTCATCGCTCCTCGTCGCTGGGGACGTCAGAGGAACGTCTGCGACTCGGCGACAGAAATTCCATACTGATGACGTAAAATCTGTCCGAAATCCGGTCATAAGCGCTGATTGGACGACGGAGTAGTAATACTGTTTTAGCTATCGCGGTGCGAATGACAGACAAAAATCAAAAGGCTACAAAGGTCGAATGTAAACGCCTTGAATCTATAAGTCAGTATTTGTGGAATATATTCTTCTCTAGAAGAAGCATTTGACTCAGTTAAACGGATAAGTATAATTGGCTTTACTTTAGTTTTACTTGAATGGGCACACGTCATCACAGTAATATATCCACAGACTTGACTACGTTTCATGCTGAGGGCAAAAAGGTTAATTGGATTTTCAGTATAAACGGATAAGTATAATTGGCTTTTTATGTTACACTTAAAATAGCTCTTGATATGCTCTTTGCTGATTTTAAGTTTCACGCGATGGTTTCAGTTGACGTTACGTCGTGCTTACTTGACATAGGATCGATTAAAAGTCCTCGCTGTATTATTAGCACATTTTTTTCTTTTATAAAGAGACGTGGCGTCGAAGTTTTTGCCTGACCTGCCAAACGTAACTGCGACAAGCGTAAGTTTTACTTACTCTTATATTGTATAACGGGCGGGATCCAATATTTCCGCAGCCTTTAGCTATAAATGGATCAATATACGGGATGTCATAGCTCGCTGGAAAAAGAATCGTTCAAGTTTACTTGAATAAGCGCCTGATTTCGGCCAAAATGTTGGTGTGGGAGGGAGGTGTTGCCGGGCTTTTTTGAAGGTGGTTATTGAGTTCTTCATTCAACGAAGCATGACTTTATTTTGACCTTATTTTCAGATCGCAGAAATTGTATACTAGAGGACATAAGAAAAAAGGAAGATAAAATCACTGTCGTCAAAGCAAACAGCAAGGACGCAAAAGCTAAGTGAAGTTAATACTCAATTCATTTTCTGTTTCTTCTCCTGCAAGGCAACTAAGCTTAAACTTGGAGGCATTCCTACTCTTCGACAAGACTCTTGCCTTGATGAGAAACACTGTGTTTAAATTCCGTTGGTAGCTCACTACTTCGAGAGGACTTCTAGATAAGGTTCACCCAGAGTTAGTCAGTCACTGATTGAACTGAACCGTTCGCTCGTCATCTTGTACTGTAGGTCTAGCAAAGAACAGCGTGTGCATTTGGTATAAAGTTTTCGAGCATAAGAAATGACAGAATTCATTGTGATCACTGAGCTTTACACACCGAAAACAGATGGTTTTCCTCACCGTGTTTAAGGCAGCCATGTGCTCTGGTTTAGTCCGCTAACCTATTTTACGCATACTCATATCTTGCGTATGCGCTGTATGCGCGACAGGATGATTTGCGCCAGAAAAAAAACAAGCCCACTCTTTTGCTGGGCCGTTCCCATGGAAACGCCCGAGCAATAAAGCAATGGCACGGTGCTTTATCCTGATGGATCAAGTCATAAAATATTTTTAAAAAGTGAATTTAGATACAGGGCTGCCATATCACTGGAATACAGTAGCATTATAAGAAATGACAGGTATATATTCATAGCTGTATAATCAGTTGCTCTTAAATTTGTAAGACATATCGAAAGCAATGGCAATGAGAAGCGTAGTATACTTTCAGCGCACGAGGAGATCAAACCATGCGTCAAGTGGTCGCTTACAAAAGGGTAAAGAGAGGTAGTCGTTTATATGAGTCCAGCAGTAGTAATTTGACTGGGAAGGTTTGGGGTTTTGGATAGCTGGTCGCTTATGGAAGCTGGTCGCTTACGAGAGGTAGTCGCAACTGATAAAGGTCCGACTGTATCAAGCATAAGCCTAGTAAACCAATATATGTTTTGCTTTACCTCAGGCAACGCAATTTGGATAAAATGCAATGCTGCATGGGAAAATGAATTAAACCTGATCTTAAATCCTAGCTAAACGAAGTTCATGTTAAGGTGTTACTAAACAGAGTAACGCAGTAACGAGTAACGAGTAACGGAGTAACGAGAAAACGAGTAACTGGATAGAAATTCAAAAAGAAATAAATAAATCCTAATGAAAGAAAAAACATAAAAATGGTTGTAACATCCTAATAATGATCTTTACCAATCTCGAAAAATATGCGTATTCCAAAAAGTGCTTAAAACAACGACGTCAACCCCCCACCCCTCCCTTCAGCAAGGTCGAAGGTATTTTCGCGCCGATAAACTCACCTGGCTACGGCTGTTATAGGGGGCCGACCTATACCCTTTCCAAGCAAGGTTTGTGATTGGCTGGGAAAACAATGGAGATGGTGACATAACAATGCCTCTATCCCTGAAAACAATAGGTAGTGCAGGTTACAGGGACCAATGAAATAAGAGGTTTGGAAGGGTGTGGGTCAAATGGTTATTTTCTCACAGCCACGAGTAGACCGAGGAGTAGCCTGCGCGCAGACGAAATTAAACTCTGGTTAACTCCGTCTGCGAAACAGCGCCGAAATCCTTGTTCTGGACTTCCAGCTGTGTACCCAGATTTGAGTACGCGCCACGATTGGCCAGTTAAAAAAGGCTTTGTTTTGTTTGTCGTGATCGCCAATCAGGTTGAAGGGGAATTCGAAACGCACTTCCGGTAATTCGTTGAGTCCGTTGGGGGCCCAGAACAAGGATCTCTGCGCTGCTTCGCAGACGGTACTAATCAGAGTTTAGTTATCGTCTGCACGCAGGCTAACCGAGGAGCAACCATGCATCAGAGGAAGGTGAGGTACAGATTTTCTTTCTGATTACCACAATTATTTCATTTGTTAGAAGAGATTGTTACTGCCAGAGCATGAAATTAACTCTTTTTGTAGGATCCACTTGGCTACTTAATAGTTCAAAGTGGTAGCCAATTCCATAAGTCGAATAAGTCCTTAGTCCAAAGAAAAAGATGTAAACGAAACAAAACAAGAAGAAAAAGAACAAACAAGGAGAAAACGGCCGGTGTACTCGATGTTATTTTAGAGCTGAGATCCTCCAAATTGACAAGTTTTGAACCCAAATGATTCTAGCAGGTGACCAAAGTAAGCAAAGAGGACCCCTACATATCTACTTGGCGTTCGCCTGCGACATAGTTTCCTAGTGAAATATGTGCCATTTTGCATGATCGCCATACAGACATTAGTGCTTATACTAGTTGCAATTTCACGCCCTGATAACATGCAATTACATGACCTCATTGTGACCTAAATTTTAATTTGTCAAGCCTGGGCTTAATGGATGGCTTAAAGGCAGCTACGCCTCTGTCCGCACTGAATTCTGTCAGGGACTTTTCCGCTTCTGGTCACGCTTCGGCAAACTTTAAAAATAAATATTGGTGTGTTATATGAAACGCCTGAGATAAGATAACAACAACTAATAGTATTTTGAAATCGTAGAGGAGCCCTCGTTTCCACTTCTGTGTTCTCCCACTTATGATCCCTTCAGGAAAGGAATGATCGTGTCTTCTTCTAGACTTGCTTTGACGATCAATCTCTTATATCAGGACCCGCTAAGAGCTGAAGTGGCACTTGCAGACGGTCTTTACCATCATGCGACTAGGAAGAGGGACCTACATTTGGCAAAAGAAGTACTTTCCTTAATCTTCTTACAAAATTAATTAATTAATTAGTTATAACAATCGTTCACACTGAAACCTTCAAAGCTTAGGGTAATCCCATACCTGGTCCTTGAAAAAAGAATGCGTCACAAAAACTTTCCGTTTCTTTTCTTCATGATCTCAATAAACACAACGTATACCGTGGGATCAAACTATAGATCATACGGAAATCAATGGTATTGATTCAGATGTCTATGCTACTACCGGGGTACCACTCACTTCAGTTGTACAGATTGAATGATTTGTGACAATTGTTCAGAAACTCGGCACTTTTAATATAGTCTTCCGAGTCCTGGGCTGTAGGAAATAACCTTTTAGGGTGAACGATGAACAGAACGTTTTGTTACTCTATCTGCTGGATAGGCATATTCAATTGCAAATAACAGGTGACTTTTTCGGCGCGAAAATACCTTCGACTTTGCTGGATCGCGGAGAGAGGGGTGGGGCCGTTAATGTCGTTGTTTTAAGCACTTTTTGGAATACACATATTTTTCGAGATTGGTAAAGGTAATTATTTGGATATACAACCATTTTTATGTTTTTCTTTCATGTTATTATCTTCTAACGAACTTTTTTCGTATCATGAGCTTAAAATCACTGACATCGACCTAAGAGTTGGAAGTACATCTTTAGGATGTGTATGCTAGATAAGACCAATTTTTTTTTCCTGACGCTTTATCCACTAGTAATCTATTCGGTGCGCACTAACAATAACAATTCCTTTGGCAAGTTTTGTAGGCATAGCATTAAAACTTGAACAGGTTGGCCCAATTTTTTCAAGTTTTAATCCATGTTCATCCTTGCCATCCGTTGCCACAGAAGACAGGAAACAGTTTCAATGCCTAACATCTTCAATAACAAAACTGGACCGTCATCTTTGAAATTCAATTGACGCACGAAAAAAAAAACAAAAGAAAAGAAAAGTCCTAGCTTTTATAAAGATGGCAGATAGTGTGATAGTAGCCCCTTTAATTGAATCCCACTGGTATCACGGATCTATTCGCAGAAGAGAGGATAAATCAAGCTAAAAAGACCTTTAATGTTTAACCTTATGTTATAATCAGCAATAGCTACTTAGAAAAAAATATTATGAGTTACATCATGCTATACCTTCCCGCTCACATTAACATTGGGAAAGAAACCTAATTTACTAGATTTGAATAAATGAGGACATGGCATAGAGCAAGGTCTCAGTAAACCATAAAAACAATCACTGAAAATACAACTTGAAAAACAGTTCCGATCATCCCATGGTAACAGTAGCCTTTGCACCGCTGACCACCTTTTTATTGCCACGGAACTTCTGCTGCACCAATTTAGGGTAGTAATCATTCCAGAAAGACATTCTGCGAGGATTAAATGACGCCTTCAACTCGGGACTTGTGTCCACTTTAAGGTAAGCTCTGTGAGTCGTGTTGTATTTCTCCCACGCGACACCGCTGACTGAAGGATCGCCGGACCGGGCAAAGTTTGCGTACATGGTCATAATAAACAAACTGACAATTCTGTCACCGGGACTATAAAATGACGAAAACATTGGAATCAAAGGAACTCCAAAATCAAAGGGAACATTTTCACTATGGACAACGCCCATCCAATCAGCACCCATACTTGTTTGTGCCCGTTGAGCAAATTCATACATGTAAACAGGAGCGACCTGACTGTGAACATCAGCAACCTCGTGACTGGGAGCAAAAAATAAGTAATCTCCAAGAAGATCAACAAGTTGGCTTCTTAATGCGTATTTATTACTTTTGTCAGGCCAAGGGGTGTACATGAACTCCAACGCATCTGCGATGAGATGAGCAGTCTTCTTTCTGAAAAAAAAAAGTGACAGATAAAAACAATTATTGCAAAGGCCATAGCCGTGCCCAGGTTTAAAGCAATCCGAGGTACCTGCCTCACTCGTTTTATTTTGAAGGGGGAAGCAAAACACTGCTTGCAATTAAACAACAAGCAAACAAATAAATAAATGTGCATTGTTGGTGGCCTGTGGAAACGAGCGTCTCTACAGCACCTTGCGAGCAGAAGCGACATATAGCTGAGCCACCTTTTGATTGAGGAAAAGAAAAGAAGGTTCCGCAGCCCAAACTTCTGGACTAGTCACTGATTTTGCTTTCCCTCCTAAAACTGGTTTTTCCAAGAGCGATTATCCGTTTATTAATTGAACTGATGGTCGTTAACGAGCCCGCTGTAGTAAGCGCGTGCATTATTAGGCCCAAGGGCCCGTTTCTCGAAAGACCTGGAAACTTTTCGGGCCAGAAGGCAAATTTTAAAATCGAAACCTGCTGAATAGTATCACAGTTCCTAGCCCACACACCAGTCAATTTTTCTTCGTTAACTGATAGGTCCATTGTATTATTTTCAAAATTAATGAAACTTTGATCTTGAATGCAAACACAACAAACACAAAACAGCTTTCTGAGCCCGAAAAGTTATCGAGACTTTCGAGAAATAAGCCCCAGGTCCGAAACCATATCTTAGCAACATCCTACGCATGCTCAACAAAGATCTTACTCGATCCATGCAGCAGTCTCCCCGGATCCCAGCAAGCCAAAGCGAGCGACCAAAGAAAAGGCTCTGCTGCATGGCAGGGTGCTGTACCCCAACATCTCCACTGTCTTTTGGCTGTTGTTAATTCTTCCATTAAGATGTAGTTATTAATCGCTTTCCAGAGGTTAAAGACCTGGGGACCCTTTCACGAAAGTCCCGGTTAATTTACAAGCCCGAAAACAAATATTCAGAAAAACAGCGCTCCATTTTGTTTTGTTAACTGTTAGTTTTACAATGTTATCTACAAATCTACCGCAACCTCCGAATCCTCTATCTTAAAATTAATGTAGACAACGACTACTTTCCGGGACCGTTAAATAACGGGACTGTCTAAAAACGGGCCCCTGGTACCGTGTATCTATGGGCTCCAAAAAAGGCCCAATTGTCTTGCAGCAGCCTAATGTAGAAGCGAAGTCCCTGTGGAGGCACGCGAGGTTCTACAGCAATGGGATCAGTGCAGTGGGATTAGTGCTAATGCGCACAAAATCATCCCAATTTGCCTCTTCAGTGATAAGAACAAACAAACTGTTTTTATAAAAATTCGCATACAAGAATCTAGAGCACCAAACCTAATACTTAAATAACCCTCCCACCAACACCGCAACCCTACAAAAAAAACGTTTTCATATCAAAAATATAGACTAGATCGGAATGGGCTTTGGGTCTATAAAAGGACATTTTATTGTCGAATAAAGGATGGGTAACACGCCAAATATGTAGGTCATGGTCATTGTCTCAGTCATAATTTTTTTGCTGGCTACGATACTGTAAGCTCGCGTTAAACGTGAGTGGAATCGTAATAACAGGCTGCAGTTATGTATTAACACTTTATTTAAAAATGGAAAAGAAAGACGCTTTTTCTTTCCATTTATGAGCTAAGGAATAAGTGCCAAAAGTGTCACTACATCTATTAAAGCTACTGAGGAAACATTCGTAAAATCTTAACGGAACTTACCTACTGTCTAGAGCTTGAGCAAACTTGGTTAGAAATGATTTGAACAAAGTAGGACTGACTCCATTGTCCACGTTCTCCATCAGCCCAAAAGAATTGTTGACCATGTCTCCGAGAAAACTCGCCCCCTCGTGACTTGTGAAAGTGATGATAAGTGGCACTTGCTTGAATTCTCCTTTTCTCCTCAAAACTTGGGGTGTATCATGAAGAAAGTTTTTATCTACGACTGGTGCCCAGTTAATAACATTAATGAAACTAAATCTGATTGACTCGGCGGCTTTTTGCATGTCTGACGCTGTTTTGCTGCGCATACAAGAAACCATTGCAGAATGGTCACCGGATCCACAATTCAGTTTTTTTGCAAGCTTTTTTGTGAAACGGAGACCAAAAGACTTTGGCTGAATCGAAAAGGGAGTTAAATCTACACCGCTCTCTGGAATGGCTTGATGAAAGAGATCACGTGATAGAGGCGATAGAAGATGGAGCCCCACACTAGTTCCTCCAGTACTCTGTCCAAATATGGTCACTTTGCTGGGATTCCCGCCAAAATTCGCAATGTTTTCTTTGACCCATTTCAGTGCTTCCACTTGATCCAACATCCCATAGTTACCAGGCGCCGCTGAGTCACCGGTCGTCAAGAAACCAAAGGGACCTAGACGATACTGGACTATGACTACCACCACTCCCTGGAGAGCCAAAACATCGCTGGGAGAAGTGATCGCTGTTCCTCTGGTGTAACCTCCACCGTGAATGTAAACCATCACTGGCAAACTGAGGCTGGTATTCGGGCTGAAGACGTTGAGATACAAGCAATCCTCGCTATAGGTGAAATTTGGAGTTACTGACTGGATAAAGAATTCAAGACTAGGGTCTCTTAACTGTAAACAGATGGCCCCGTGTGTTTTAGCCGAATAAACTTTTGGTTTCCACGCTTTTGGCGGTCTAGGGGCTTTAAACCTTAGCTCTTTAGTTGGTGGAGCGGCAAAAGGAACGCCAAGAAACTTGCTGACGGACTTGAAAGGACCAGAGGCAGCCGGATACGGAGTCAGGAAACCCTCGATATCTCCATACTTAGTTGACACTGTTTCTGCTCGAACATGAAGCCAACATACACAAAAGAGAAATATCTTTGCTAGTTGCATTTTCGAACAGTTTTTCTTGTGGAGCTGTTCGTTTTACCAAGATCAAAGCGCAGCAGGGCTTGACTTTTCGACACTAACCAAATTAATGCCAAATGAGCCATTTTAAATTACTTTTCATCTCGCAGAAGCTGCTGACGTCATTCAAAAAACATACAGCTGAACATACAATATTTTAGGACCCCTTAATGGCTTTTGGTTGACCATGCAATCTGACTAAAGAAATATATTCAGTAAAATGTTACAAGATAATTTACTACTAAAACTGTAAAAAAAAAATAGAAACTAAAGTAGTGTAAGCATCTTATGTTAACCGTGAACTATCTACGGTGTACCTTGGAAAACCTCGTTACTGAGATGTTTACTTTAACTGCATGATCATTAAAGCGCGTGGGACTCGACAACTGTGCAATTTAGAAAACGATAGGAAACTGACGTATGAATACAGTATATCACGACAGATCATGCAATAATTGCCAAATCACTGAATCACTGAAATGTTACAAGATAATGTACTACAAAAACTGTAAAAAAAATAGAAACTAAAGTAGTGTAAGATCGTAAGTGTGTGCTTTATTGTTGCTTTTATTTGTTTTGCAAACCTCTAGAGCGTTTTGTGTGCGTAATTGTGTAATTTTTCCGCTTTGTGCCGGGGGCTGTTTGGCGGGACCGCTATTTTTTCTGTGGGACCAGTCAGATCATCATCGATCAGTCACCTTTTTTAACCAAATTACGCAACGCATAGCCTTCAGGATAGGAGGTTTTATTCATTGATTACACTCCTTTAAAATCGAGTTTGCCTAATGATCGTGGGTCGTGGGTCGTGGGTCGTGGGTCGTGGGTCGTGGGTCGTGGGTACATGTCGTGGGTCGTGGGTGTGGGTAATGATTAATAACTAACAACGTTACTAATTTTTGTTAAATATTAATAAGGGGAGACAGGCCGCACATCTATACTATATTTTTGCTCTAACGAGCATGTCCTTTAGGGATTTTCCTTTCTTGTAGGAAATGATAGGTTGTTCTTTAAAAATTTGGCTATGTAACGGTTGGTTTTGTATAAGATTCCATTTTTTCATTAAAACTGCTTATAAAGTAGACACTGAGGGCTGGTACTGTGTGACGAAAGGCAATATTTCTTTTTCCTCTTTGTTGTTTTTTTTCAGGAGAGCAGACTCCCTCTCCGTGAACTTTATATCTGATAGAGCATGGTCATTATGAATTGTCGAGGATGTCGGCAGAGGTTCCTTCCTCTTCCCGACTTATCTAGGAAGATCGAAGGAGACTCTGTTAGCAGGGTACTGAATCACTGAAGTGTTACAAGATAATTTACTACTAAAACTGTGCAAAAAAAAAATTAGAAACGAAAGTAGTGTAAGCATCTTATGTTAACCGTGAACTATCGACAGTGTACCTTGGAAAACCTCTTTACTGACATCTTTACTTTAAGTGCGTGATCATGAACGCGCGTGGGATTCGATGACTGTGCAATTAAGAGAACAACAGGAAACTGACGTATGAATACAGTATATCACGACAGATCATGCAATAATTGCAAAATCACTGAATCACTACCCTGCTAGCAGAGTCGCTTCGATCTTTCCTAGATAACTCGGGAAAGAGGAAGCGACTCTGCCGAAATCTTCAAGTTCCTTTGATCTGCCGATCATCCAGCTCTTTGGATGAGTCAGACAAGTTTCATACTGGATAAACCAGTTTTATCTGTGCACGCACGCATATTCTGGAATTTTGCTGACTCTTTCTGCGCCCACGCTCCATAGCAAAACAAATAGCTGCCGCTTCAATTTCATGCAATAATTTTGAGAAAATTATAGATTGAACGTTCAGTTTTAAAAAATCGGAAAATGTACCCAGATTCGAGATGGATTTTGTTTTGGATTTAACCATGTACTTAGCCGATTTTACTTGCGTGAACGGATCCACAATCCAGTAAGTGTTACGCGAAGTTTTTGGAAGGATAAACAAATGGGTTTTGAATAAAAATATTTAAGAAACAATATCTATGCTTATTCTTCTGTGTTTGCTATAACATTAATTCAAAATAAGATCATGGGGCTTCAGAATCCATGTGGCATTTAAATGATCGATGCTTTTACATCTGTTTCTGGATAACCCAGTCTTGCGATGCAAAAACGTCTTTGGATTTTGTGTTTTTCCACGACGTCAATCGAAATTTGAGGAAGCGGCGCTTTCTCGCCTTTACATCTTAGCGAACCTCTTAGGAAATAAAAGGTCGTCGTTCGTGATTTGTGATTGGTGGATTTCGATCCGTTTTGTGTGTTTCTGTGTTTCAAGGTTAGATGCTTTGTTTTTTAAAAGCACCGTAAGTTTTACCCTAGCTCTAAGATTTTTTTAACTTCTTTACACTCAAACACGGCAAGTTTAGATTCCAAAGGTGAAATTGTTCCTATAGAGCTTCCAAATCCAGAGGAAACACAGCTACGGAAGGGTGAAAACGAACCGGTACGTTCCCGCTAACATTTACAGGGTGTCCCAAAAGTTCGTTCCTTTAATTTCAAGCGCTGTAACTTTTGATCAAAACTTTATTGTTGCATGAAATTTCTAGACGGTGTTTATTGTTCTATCGAGTACATGTATTCAGAATTTCAGTAACCGGTATTCCCCCTTCGTTATTTTATCACATTCTGTAGCCGTTGCGGCCTGGAGTGGGATACAGTCGGTACAGCCACAAATGACTCTATTTTGAGCTTTTTTATCATCTGGTGCCAGGAGCCACTTCTCCACTTTGACCCCCCCGAACAACATTATTTTTAGTTTAGGCATTTAGGAAGCTGGAGAAATATACTTTAAGCATTCATCCATAAAAAGTTAATCATCCCAGCTTCTATTCACAGTAACGCTTTTGTACCTCTTTACAAATTTTAGACGAGCTGATCGTTATTTCACACACTAAGCAGAAGTTTTGTTGCCATCTCTGGGTCCCTTAACCTTCGCTTTTCATGAAACTGTCCTAGACATGGCTTGCTAACTATTGTGAGAGCTATCTCGTCGAGTTGTCTTTTTTAATTTGTATCTAGCGTTCTTCAAAACTATTTTAGCCGCTTCATTCAGGACTATCAGTCTTCCCCTTCTTTTTTTGTCTTCAAAACCTTCATTTTCTCTATGACCATTTCACCTCCGAAAATTCGGATTTTTCCATTTTTTATCAGTTATTTCTACTGATAAGCCAGTAAAAAAGCTCGAACAAGACCTTCACAGCTAGTGTAGCTCAATGGTGCTGTGAGAACCATGTACTTATCAATTCCGATAAAACTAAACTCCTTTTCCTCGGTACCAGACAGATGTTAAGCAGGTTACCAGAAGACCCTAGAGTGGTATTCTTAGGTAAAACACTGAAGCCAACAGACTCTGCCAAGGACTTGGGAGTCTTTCTTGACCCCCATCTGACCTACGATCACCATATTTCATGTGTAGTGTCATCTTGTTTCGCAAAGCTTTGCCAAATAAATAGAGTCAAAAGGAGCTTCGACAAGGAAACACTAGAGTTGTTAATAACGTCATTAGTCTTTAGTAAGATGCTTTACTGCTCATCTGTATGGTCAAATACTACACTCCAGAATATAAACAGATTACAATCTATTCAGAATTGTGCCAGCAAGATCGTAACAAACTCTAGGAAGTTTGACCACGTAACACCTTTGCTTCGAGAGCTAAACTGGCTTCCTGTTAAAGAACAATTATTCTATAGAGACTCCGTTTTGACCTTTAAATGTCAGAACGATCTTGCGCCTCAATACTTAACGAGCAAGTTTACCAAGTGCTCAAATATACATACTCGTAACACTCGCGCACGGAACTCTTTGCAGATTCCGCTATAATGAACTTAGCAAAGTGCCTCATTGGCATCTTTCAAGCGCGCCCTGAAAGACATACTATTGAGGCAGACATTTCCTTCATAAGCTCTAGAATTTAGTAGAATACCGTCATAAATTGTGATTTCGAGTTTTTATTGTCATTTCTGCTTTTATAAATTGTAAATAGTTTGTAAATAGTTCCTGAAAAACCTCACGAGGATGTTACTATCAAAGTTATTTATTTATTTATTTATTTAACATGCATATGCTCTCAAGTAGCTGAAAGTTTTTTGCGTTTTGTTGTTTTTTTCTTTCATGATATTCACAAAAAACAACGAAGCAGTTTGAGCAAATCGGGCTACAAAATACAAAAAATATGTGGCGGGAAAATGTACTCGCGCACGCGCACCTTTGGCGCGGAAGTACACAATTCGAATATTAGAGTCACACTGATTGGACAACAAGTATAAAATAGTAAATTGTATTGAAAGACACAACTTTTGTTTAAGTGAGTTGCTTACCAATTCCAATCGTACTACATTACAGTCTCATAAAGTAGAGGAACGAACTTTTGGGACACCCTGTACATTTGCTGACAAACACAGTGGATGCTACGGTAACGGTTTGATTGACGTCGCAGAATATGAATTTGGAGCATGCTCATTATGAATTGTCGAGGACGTCGGCAGAGGTTCCTTCCTCTTCCCGATTTATCTAGGAAGATCGAAGGAGACTCTGTTCGCAGGGTACTGAATCACTGAAATGTTACACGATAATTTACTACTAAAACTGTAAAAAAAAAAAATTAGAAACTAAAGTAGTGTAAGCATCTTATGTTAACCGTGAACTATCGACAGTGTACCTTGGAAAACCTCTTTACTGACATCATGATCTTTACTTTAACTGCGTGATCATGAACGCTCGTGGGATTCGATGACTGTGCAATTAAGAGAACAACAGGAAACTGACCTACATGTATGAATACAGTACACCACGACAGATCATGCAATAATTGCAAAATTACTGAACCGCCCTTAGCCACGTCGTCGCAATCATTTTTACGCTAGCAGTTTTTTTCTCCAGTAATCGTGCTTCTGAAGTATTCTGCATGCAATTGACGGCAATAAAGCCGTTGTACTACTTATGTTAGATTTATCTGCTGCATTTGATACTGTATCTCATGCAGGAGACACATCTTTTCCAGTTACGTTTATTGACCCATTCCGCGTGCCAGTGTGACGTCACATAGCAACGGGTGAGCGCTTCGCGTCGCTTCTGCAGATTAGCGTGGGACGCCATCGAGGAGAGAACAACAGAGGTCAAGAAAGACAAAACGCTAGGCTAATATCGCTATTGTTAGCTAATTTGATCGTAAGTGTGCGTGCTTTATTGTTGCTCTTATCTGTTTAGCAAACCTCTAGAGCGCAAGTTTTGTGTGCGTAATTGTGTAATTTTTCCGCTTTGTGCCGGGGTCTGTTTGACGGGACCGCCATTTTTTCTGTAGGACCAGTCAGTCATCATCGATCAGTCACCTTTCTTATCCAAATTACGCAACGGATAGCCTTTAGGATAGGAGGTTTTGTTCATTGATTACACTCCTTTAAAATCGAGTTTGCCTAATGGTCGTGGGTCGTAGGTCGTGGGTACATGTCGTGGGTCGTGGGTGTGGGTAAAAGTCGTGGGTGTGGGTAATGATTAATAATTAACAATGTTACTAATTTTTGTTAAACATTAATAAGGGGTGACAGGCCGCACATCTATACTATATTTCAGCTCTAACGAGCATGTCCTTGAGGGATTTTTCTTTCTTGTAGGAAATGATAGGTGCTTCTTCAAAAATTTGGCGAAGTAAAGGTTGGTTTTGTATAAGATTCCATTTTTTCATTAAAAGTGCTTATAAAGTAGACACTGAGGGCTGGTACTGTGTGACGAAGGGCAATATTTCTTTTTCCTCTTTGTTGTTTTGTTTCAGGAGAGCAGACTCCCTCTCCGTGAACTTTATATCTGATAGAAGGTTTTCTATCGTAGTTTGTGGGTAGCCTCTGTCAATCAAGCGTTTTTTGAAATTTGAAATATTTTCCTCCAACGTAGTTTTTGAGGAGTTTGTTCGTAGGATTCTCAAGGCTTCTCTTTCGGCGGGTGATAGGAAGTGAAATGTGTGTACTGGAAGGTTTCCGTTTTTTTAAAATGTGTCTTTACATCAAGGATAGATTTTTCCTTGGATCTTGTGCCTTTGTATACAACCGTGTCTAAAAACATAGTCTCAGTGTCAGATATTTCGGCCGTGAATTTGATAGTTGGGTGATGTAAGTTCGCTTGTTCGATGAAGGCTTCGATGTCTGGTTTACTGGTGTCCCATACGGAAAAGATATCGTCAATTTAGCGTTTCCAAACTGTAGGTTTAAAAACGGTTCTGCTTAGAATTGTTGTTTCAATATGTGCCATGAAAATATTGGCAAAAGAAACTGCTGTCTTTGTACCCATTGCAGTACCATGGGTTTGTAGGTAGTGTTTTCCATTGAACTGGAAAGAATTTTCTTTGAGGATTAGTCTAAGCATTTCCCGCAGGTAATGTGTAGGAATAGGAGGGTTGTCTTTGTAGAAGTTTTCATATGCCTTACAGAATTTTTTTGGTCTGATGTTAGGTCAGGATTTGAAGAACCGGGCGGCACACCTCCACCAAGAATTTCCAGGAGTAACCCCCCCACCACCCCCAAAGGGCTCGACCAAAGCTGTTTTGGAACAGGAGTTCGAGCGGAGGTTTTTTAATTTCTACTAAAATAGTTAGCCACGTACCAGAAAACACCAAGAAAAGGACAAAATTTGGCTGGAAGGTGTTAACTGATTGGTGTCACGCGACCTTCGATATCTCCATACTTAGTCAACACTATTTCGAATCGAACATGATGCCAACATGCGCAAAAAGGCAATAACGTTGGTTGCTGGGGTTGCATCTTTGAACACTTCTTCATCAGTGGAGTTGCTCGATTTTTCAATATCAAACAACAACCGAGCTTGACTTGTTGACACTTAGCAAATGAAACCGCTTTTTAAACCACTTTTGATCTCCCGGCGAGCCTTTTTAATCCTGACGTCATTCGGAAACCATCAAGAGAGAATAATCTCTCTTGAAACCACTTATTACCAACGAGCGCACAGGACACCCAGGCTCTGTGATAATGAGACCACGATATGAACTGAAGCACACACTACCAAACTCCACGGTATGGCCAGTACTTTAAGCATGTGCACAACGATAGCACGCCCGGCTGAGGCAACTGGTTATCATTAGATCCCATCGACCGTAGCCCCTTCGGACACCTCATGAAATTGATTAGAGTTAAGCTCTGCCTCTACAGATTAGGGTTAAGCACTGCCTTTACTGATTAGGGTTAAGCACTGTTTCGAAACTGGTTAGGTTTTTTGTTTGGGTTGGGGTTGATGCTATAAATTATTTCACCTCCATCCAGCAAATCCTCAGTGGTCTAGTGGTTAACGTAGCATACTGGACCATCTGGGTCGTGGACTTGAATCCTACTGTCTTACATATCAAATTTCTTTTCGTCCAAATTGGAAAGAATTGCACTTTCATGAACATTTCCTGCTTGAAATATCATCTAAGTGTGATATGAAAGCAGAAAACAGTTGTACCTTGTGTAAATTCATGAGGAGAGAAACGGGCTACGGCCGATGGGATCTAATGCTGACCGTGGCAGCTATGGACAGCTGTTTTGTCCTTGTTAGGACTCATCAGCATGGCATAGCCAGCACGGTCTGACTTACGATCACAGACCCTGCCTTTACTACCTAGACGAGTGCAAAGCCAGCTCCCACCTTGTGATAGTACCACTGTACGGTTCCAGTAAAATTACAGTAATTTTCTAGGGTAAAAAAGCGATCCTACAATTTGTAGGAAATACTAATAAAGGTCAATGAAACTTACTCCGCAATGAATTGTTTTTGTATTTAATGCTCAAACGAATTTTTGTGATAATTTGCTCAAATTCACCCTCCGTACAATATAATACTGAATAATACACAAGGTAAGATGCATCTCGGCTGCCATGCTCCCTTTCCAATAAAACGTTTACCACGAAATTCTACCTCTAACGGTAAATAAACGTGCTAGGATCGTAGAAATAGGATAGCATCAGATATAAAAACCAATCAAACCAAGCGTTTCCAGCGGCTAGAGAAACGAATTGCCGGCGCAGACTTTGATAAACTCGAAGGATGTAAAATAGAAAGGGCGAACACGTTCGGCGAAGTGCATGGCCAGGCCAGGTCAACGCAAGGCCAAGCAAATGAGTCCTGGGCACTGTACAAATCAAATCCATCCCGGGGGTGACCTTTCTAGGGAGCGACACATAGCTTTGCCAAAGTTATATTCGATTGTTAATCATAAAATGCAATTTCAACAAACTGAAGTTCAAGCTAGATGCTTACTTGAGCAGGGACAGCACTCACTGTTTTGCTAATGACCCGAGAAACGGCTTCGGAACACATCTGGTCTTAGTTTTAGTCAGCCATGATGGTTACCGGACTCGTCTCGGAATTCAAGCCATTTCCTTCGAATGAATTACCGTTTTGGCGCCTTGGTGTGTCATAAATTAGTTAAGTGCCTTGAAGCAAAATACAGTATTTACAAATACACTCGGCGAGGTGAAACTTCATGATGTATAAATAATGGGTTTACCCTCCAGGGCCGAGTTGTTCAAAGCTGGGTTAAGATAACCCAGGGTTAGTGCGAGATTTGAAATCAGATTTGAAAGCTTATAAAAAGCAGTTCAGTTTGAATTCTTTTTGTCTACAAGTTGATGATTGGAAGCTCTAAAAATAACGGAGAAAATTATCCGAGAAAGTGCTTTTGAACACAAGAAATAGAAACCCGGGTTAAATTTAACCCCGGGTTAAGCGCTAATCGGCCTTCCAACAACTGGGCCCAGGTAAACTTCATTATTTATGAATAATAGATTTGCCACAATATAGGTTAACATCATTATTTATAAATAATGGATTTACCCTCCAGGTAAAATTCATTATTTATAAATAATGGATTATAGTAAAATCCAGCTAGAGGTCCATTATCCATGCTGTGTTCTGAGCTACTACGCGCTTACGCACTTTTGATCATATTTGCACTGAAAAGGCGCGTTATAAATTTTTAATTATTATTATTAGTAGTAGTAGTAGTACTTGGCTATATGTTCTAGCTCACTATTAGCGAAAAGCGCCGGCTTTGAAAACCAAAACAATGGCGGCTGAATCGCGTTTTGCTAGCTAAAGTTGTTTTGTCTCGATATTTTTGACCAACTACAATCCTGGCCAAAAGGTTTTCGGACACCTTCCCTTTTTCACTTGGTTTTGTATGGAATTAGCAGCTAACCTGCGATACACACTCATAAACACGGCCTCAACAAGATTCCCCCCCCCCCACAAACAAAGTTGAGGTCCTTAAAGTGTACAAGATATGTAAAAGGTGTTTGACTTGTAACACCCAACACTGTTCAGGGGGGGAAGGGGGTCAACTTGAATATTACATTTCCTCACCTAAAACACGAAGTGTCCCAAACGTTTTGACCAGGATGGTAGTTAGATTTTACTAAAACAATTATTCCTCTCGCCCTCATGGCCTCTGCGTCAATAGCTCATTCGGCCTTCGGCCTCATGGGCTATCGACTCAGAGCCCATTGGGCTCGATGAATAATTGTTAAATAACGTCTTTAAATTAAGACTGGTATTATATAGATATCAGGTTTTGGCAACATATGACGATTTTCATATCATTTGGCGAGTAGTTGTTCCTTATTTATAAATAAACTTTCTATGGCTGACTATTATTTACAAATAAAAAAGGAATGTATTTGTTTTAAATGTTTTTTCCACAAACGGCGCCCTATAGTGCGCTCGTCATTCAAACGTCATAGTGAAAAAGTGCTGATATATTGTGGACACAACTGGATCTAGAAACAGAGAAAAAAACCGAGAAAATTCCTAGCTTTTTTAAAAGTTGGCAGGTAGTGTGATAGCTGAGCCCCAATAATTAAATCCCACCGGTATCACAGATCTATCCGCACAAGAGAGGGAAAATCAAGCTGAAAAGACCTTTAATGTAAATAACCAAATATAATCTATAAGGAACTGCATCGATTTTGTTTGTTTGAGAGATGATTTTTATTATTTAATGAAAAGGTTGGTGATAAAGTCGTTTTATCATCGTCATCATCATTACCATCCCAAGTGTATAGAACTATACATCTTCGGCCCAGATATTAGGAGATGGATATCCATTCTTTATAACAATGTTGAATTTGGCGTTATGAATGCGGGTTTATGACTGACTACTTTAAAGTGTCCCGAGAAGTTCGCCTAGGGTCTCCATTGAGCCCTCCTCTATTTGTATGCTAGCCCTTGATAGTACGCCAGAATCAACTTAGTCGAAGAATGGAGCTCCAAAATGGACAAAATGCTAACATTGCATATGTTGCAGATGACACCACACTCATTCTCGTAAAAACCAGGGCACTAAGAAATGCGAATAGTGAATTCATTTAAAGTATGTCCGCCTGTGTGGATCGGTACTCAGACGAGCAAAAACAAGACCAAACCTTTAGATTTGAGTGTCCGAAAGACCCCATCAAATCTCTTGGAACATTCTTTCCCATGATGAAACTGGAAAAGATAACAACAACTTTCATATCAAAATAAGAAAAATTGAAGCAAAGCTCAATATTTGTCCTAACGCTGTTGGAGGAAGAACTTTGCTTGCGAAATCTTTCGGTTTATCCCAGTTAATCAACTCCGGCATCTATATGCTTTCTGTTCCAGAAACAGTTATTCTGCAGACGCAAAAAAAACTATTTGCATTTCTTTGGAAGAATGAAACAGATAAGATCAAAAGACTGGTTTTGTTCCGCCCATTATCCAAAGGTGGATTGAACTTCCGTTGCTTCAGGACTACCGTCAAAGCGCTTCGCCTTTGTTGGATAATCAGACTTTTAAGTAACTCCAATGATAATTGGACAGCAATCCCCTACCACCACTTTGAAAAATATGGTGGACTGTTGTTTCTACTTAATTGTAACTATACTACTGACAAATTAGACAAGAAAATTCCTCTGTTTTACTGAGAACTGCTCGAATATTTTCAAGAACTGCGTAGCAATTATAAAGATCCATTGGAACGTGAATTTATTTAAATTTGTGGAATAACAGAGACGTAAATATTGAAAACAAATCGGTCTATTGGAAGGCTTGGCGGGACAAGAATGTTATGTTGATACAGGACTTGCTGAACGATCAGGGCAATGACCCTTCTCCTCAAGAAGTTGGTGTCAAATACAACATTAAAGTTAACTTTTTGCATTACTATCAGCTCATTTCAGCCCTTCCCACACATCTTAAAAGCGAGGCATCTGCTAAAACGGATCTTGGGAATCTTAACTTAGTTGGTGTAAGATTAGATTTTCATCTACCATCAAACGTGGCGGAACCATTGCCCTGCAGTTGCTGACAATTGGATGCACTGCATGCAAAGTAACTATAAAATCACTCGGTATAATAAGTCAAGGTAATTTTATTTTAAACTTTTGCACAGAATAGCATAAAGACGGAATTGAAACGCTTTGGGATAACTGATTGCATGAAATGTGTTATGTGTAGCGAGAATCATGATGACTCTATGGAACATGTTTTCTTTGAGTGTCAGTCTTAAGAAATTATGTAACGAGTCCCTTCAGTGGTTCAACAACTTGCACAATACAAACCTTAGCCTTACTTCACTAAAGATTTTTCTCAACCTACCAACTGTAACTTAGCCTGCGTAACAGGCGCTTGGAAGTAGTAGGTGTAAGAGAGAACGGGCGCGCGCAAGGAAAGACACGCGAGGGGTGTCTCCCCTGGCGTGTCTCCTTCTCGCGCGCCCGTTTTTTCTTGTGCCCACTACTTCCAAGCGCCTGCTACGCAGGCTAACTGTAACTATATCAGTTTATCTGATAAACAGATAAAGTACTTGCGTCTTCTTCCGTTATATGGAAAACATAGAGATTACTTCACGGAAAGCGCGTGCGTACGGGATTTTCACACGAGTTGGTGAAGTATCTGAAATCGAACGATTGAGCGCAGCGAACGAGTGAGATTTCTGATACAAAACCAACGAGTGTGAAAATCCCGTACAAAGCGCTTTCCATGCTGTAATTTGTTTATTTTATACATACTGAGATTTTTTTATTTATCCAGCTTTAATTGGTTCTCTAAAATAATTACAAAACTCCTGTATTAAATTCTCTTCGAAAAATTAAGTTTTTACTAAAATCGACGTGTGAAAATATCACCAATCATAACTGGTGCAAAGGATAGCAAACATTTCAATTCTTAATTAAATAAGGAAATAACGAAAGAAACAAAGCCAAGTCAAGTTTGTCACTGCGTAGGGCTGTCTTCGTCTGACGATTCAAACGCGCGCTTGATGCGTTTGAAGCTTCGTGTAATCCAAGAACTATAAGTAATCTTAACTGTTTGTTCTCAATGCACAATTGAAAATGAGTGAATTTAAGTAAAATAGCCAGTTTCAATTATAAGCTTAAGCTTAAATGGTTAAATGAAAGGCAAAGTAGCTCCATTAAAAAGCACAACAAAAGCTTACGTCTCGTTCTGTTTATCACTTTCCGCTGTTGTTTCGCCGGTTCTTGTTTTTTTGGTCTTCGATAAACTTGTCTATAGGTTTGTCTAGAGACACAAATCTTCTTGATTGTTCAGCCATCCTCAAAAATATCTCCTAGCTCTTGATAAGTTTGAATTACGAACAACTCGAGTACACCGAAAATATTATCTTGTCAAATATTATCTTGTCAAAGCTGCCCGAAAAAGCTACCCGCGATGACCGCGAAAAAGCCCGCGAAAACACAATTCGCTTAAACCGTGGTTTGTGATTGGACGAAACGATTTTTTCACGTGTGAGAAACTCGTTTCGCCTCTCTGATTGGTCGAAGTAAAATCCGAAACGCTTTTTCACACAGCAAAATTTGATGCGAAAATCTCAGTATATATAAAATAAAGTACCATTACACATGCCAAACAGTACAAAAGAAAGCTATCAGATCCGAATTTATATCCAAGTTGATTATTCAGCTTAAAATAGACTCTCAGCTTGATGTGACTGCGTTCCCCTCATCCAAAATTAAAATGCTTTTTAGGCGGCTCAAACAAATCTTCTCTATTCAGTAAAACTTTCTTCTGTGCCTTTGTCTGTGTACACAATAGGTAAACGTTTTTTTTTCTTTCCTTTTTTGGGGGGATCTCTTTCTACTTCTTTGTGTATTGTTATAAGTGTATTTAGCTGTCCGTTGTTGCTTACATGTAGTGTACATATTACGTAAGTTTCTTTTTTTACGTCTAATAAAGTTGAATTTAAATCATTACCATCATCATTATTGTTATTAATTTTATTATTTTTTCAAAAGTAGGTTGAGTTTGATCGTCCAGGTGAACGTAGTCCTGAATACGACTCACAGTTGTTGTCCTGCAAGGCAACTAAGACAACCTTGATGAGAAACACGGTGTTTAAATTGCGTTGGTAGCTCATGATCACTACTTCGAGAGGACTTCTAGATAAGGTTTACCCAGAGTTAGTCAAGTCACTGATTGAACTGAACCGTTCGCTCGCCATCTTGTACTGTAGGTCTAGAAAAGAACAGCGTGTGCATTCAGGGTATAAAGTTTTCGAGTATAAGAAATGGCAGAATTCATTCTTGTGATCACTGAGCTTTACACACCGAATACAGATGGTTTTCCTCACCGTGTTTAAGGCAAAAAAGCATCATTACCATCATCATTATTGTTATTAATTTTATTATTATTTCAAAAGTAGGTTGAATTTGATCGTCCAGGTGAACGTAGTCCTGAATAGGACTCACAGTTGTTGTTGACAGTGACTGACGTTTCGACAACCTGTGCGGTAGTCATCTTCAGAGTCAAAGTGAGTTGTATCACGTCAGTTGATGGTATTATAGTCTGGTTATTAATCTGATTGGTCAATTACGTCGCGATGTTATTGGTCGTCTGTCAGTTAATCCGTGATGTTATTGGCTATGAAGACTCGTAATCAGTAATTGGTGCGTTTCGATCCGTCTATTGTCACAGTTAAACAGTCGTCTATTGTTAGTCAAATAGTCAGTTCTCTCGTCGTTCTCTCGTAGTTAGTTTTGCTTGATCTCATCAATAAGTCGTTCGTACGGTGCTGGTAACTGTTGGCTACGATTAAGTGGCGTTTGTTCTAAGTTAGTAAACCAGCTTTCGAAAGTAAGACGTTGATAGTAGTCTGTAGAACACGTTATACATGTCGCAAAGTCCCAGTCAATTGAAAGTAGCCAAGGCAGGTTATATAATCACTGCATGTGTGATCACGGTAATGAAGCAAGACCCTCACATAGAAGGGGTTCATTGGGCTGCAGACTGCGTGAAGCAGTGGTTTATTATTTTGGGAAGTATAGATTATAATTGCACTTTTTACCGGCTTGAGAGTATAGCTACTCCTCCTAGTCCGTGGAATGGAATAGAGATAGCCTTTTGAAGCAAGAAGCGATTGGCATTATTTTTAACTGTGACATTTCAACAACTCACCCCTTCCCTAGCCTGTGTACAGACTCCTCCTCCTTTCATCTCCGGCGTCGTAGTCATCCAAACCTTGCTTGGAACTGTGGCCAGTGATGTTTTTAAGCTCACATTTTGGAATGCCGGAGCTCTTCAATTTCTTGACAACCGTTTTTCTGGCGCTGTGGTTGGTAAGCTTCTTGTCTGGGCAGGTAACTTTCAGGGATGAGTTTTTCTTCATTGTTTTCATGATGTTATTTATGGTGTTTTCCCCTATGGGTGTCTTTTTGTACCACACGCTGGTTTTTGGGTTTTCGATAACACCATAAGCTGCGGAAACAGCCGTTTCTCATCGCTCCTCGTCGCTGGGGACGTTTCGCAAGGAGGAATGTCTGCGACTTCCGCGACAGAAATTCCATACTGATGACGTAAAATCTGTCCGGAATCCGGTCATAAGCGCTGATTGGACGACGGAGTAGTAACATTGTTTTAGCTATTGCCGTGCGAATGAAAGACAAAAATCAAAAGGCTACAAGGGTCAAATGTAAACGCCATGAATCTATAACACAACAGTCAGTATTTATGGAATATATTCTTCTCTAGAAGAAGCATTTGACTCAGTTAAACGGATAAGTATGATTGGCTTTACTTTAGGTTTTACTTGAATGGGCACACGTCATCACAGTAATATATATATCCACAGACTTGACTACGTTTCATGCTGAGGGCAAAAAGGTTAATTGGATTTTCAGTATAAACGGATAAGTATAATTGGCTTTTTATGTTACACTTAATAGATGGCCCTTGATATGCTCTTTGCTGATTTTAAGTTTCACGCAATGGTTTCAGTTGAAGTTACGTCGTGCTTACTTGACATAGGATCGATTAAAAGTCCTCGCTGTATTATTAGCACATTTTTTTCTTTTATAAAGAGACGTGGCGTCGAAGTTTTTGCCTGACCTGCCAAACGTAACTGCGACAAGCGTAAGTTTTACTTACTCTTATATTGTATAACGGGCGGGATCCAATATTTCCGCAGCCTTTAGCTACAAGTGGCGACAAAATTGTTGAGACATTGTACTTAAATAGGGTGACTTCGGAGAACAAAAGAATCCGCACCCCTCCCCTGTCCCCTCAATTCAAAGTTGGGGTGTTTGTTGTTTTCTATAGGTAGCTAGAACAAGGGCCCAACATTGTACGGAGGGGATGGGGGAGGAAAGGTATATTTCCTCCTTTTGAAGTTCATAAAACGTAAAAAGCCTACTTTTGGGCGAAGTGTCTCAACTCATTTTGTCGCCGATTGTATAAATGGATCAATATACGGGATGTCATAGCTCGCTGAAAAAAAAAAATCATTCGAGTTTACTCTAATAAGCGCCTGATTTCGGCCAAAATGCTGCTGTGGGAGGGAGGTGATGCGGAGCTATTTAGAAGGTGGTTATTGAGTTCTACATTCAACGAATCATGACTTTATTTTGATCTTATTTTCAGATTGCAGAAATTGTATACTAGAGGTCATATGAACAGAGGAAGATAAAATCAGTGACATCAAAGCAAAGAGCTAAGTGACTCGGTTAGTCCTCAATTCGTTTTCTGTTTCTTCTCCTTCAACGCAACTAAGCTTAAACTTAGAGGCATTCCTACTCTTCGACAAGACTCTTGCCTTGATGAGAAACACTGTGTTTAAATTCCGTTGGTAGCTCACTACTTCGAGAGGATTTCTAAATAAGGTTCACCCAGAGTTCGTCAGTCACTGATTGAACTGAACCGTTCGCTGGCCATCTTGTACTGTATATAGGTCTAGAAAAGAACAGCGTGTGCATTTGGTATAAAGTTTTCGCGTATGAGAAATGACAGAATTCATTCTTGTGATCACTGAGCTTTACACACCGAACACAGATGGCTTTCCTCACCGTGTTTAAGGCAGCCATGTGCTCTGGTTTAGTCCGCTAACCTATTTTACGCATACTCATATCTTGCGTATGCGCTGTATGCGCGACAGGACGATTTGCGCCAGAAAAAACCAAGCCCACTCTTTTGCTCGGCCGTTCCCATGGAAACGCCCGAGCAATGAAGCAATGGCACGGTGCTTTATCCTGATGGATCAAGTCATGAAATATTTTTAAAAAGTGAATTTAGATACAGGGCTGACTATCACTGGAATACAGTAGCATTAATAGAAATGACAGTTATATACTCATAGCTGTATGGTCAGTTGCTATTAAATTTGTCAGACATATTGAAAGTAATGGCAATGAGAAGCGTAGTATTCTTTCAGAGAACATAGAGATCAAAGTATGCGTCAAGTGGTCGCTTACAAGAGGGTCTACAGCCTGCGAGCAAGCTCTCCTATTTGGATGAGCGTAGCGAGCCGCGAGTCTCCCCTCGCGTGCCTCTCGCGCGTCTACTTTTCACGATTTCCCGCGGGGCCAAATGGAGAGCTTGCTCACAGGCTAGTCCGACTGTAGTAATTTGACTGGGAAGGTTTGGGGTTTGGATAGCTAGTCGTTTATGGACGCTAGTCGCTTACGAGAGGTAGTCGCAACTGATAAAGGTCCGACTGTATCAAGCATAAGCCTGATAAACCAATATATGTTTTGCTTTACCTCAGGCAACGAAATTTGGATAAAATGCAATGCTGCATGGGAAAATGAATTAAACCTGATCTTGAATCCTGGCAAAACGAAGTTCATGTTAGGGTGCTACTAAACAGAGTAACGCAGTAACGATGAGTAACGAGAAAACGAGTAACGGGATAAAAATTCAAGAGGTTAAAAAAATAAATAAATTAGTCCTTATGAAAGAAAAAACATAAAAATGGTTGTAACATACTAATAATGATCTTTACCAATCTCGAAAAATATGTGTATTCCAAAAAGTGCTTAAAACAACGACGTCAACCCCGTACCCCTCCCTCCAGCAAAGTCGAAGGTATTTTCGCAGCGAAAAAGTCACGTGGCTACGGCTGTTATAGGGGGCCGACCTGTACCCATTCCAAACAAGGTTTGTGATTACCTGGGAAAACAATCGGAATGGTGACATAACAATTCCCCTATCCCTGAAAACAATAGGTAGTGAAGGTTACAGGGACCAATGAAATAAGAGGTTCAGATTGGTGTGGGTAAAATGGTTATTTTCTTACAGCCACGAGGAGACCGAGGAGCAACCATGCATGGAGGAAGGTGAGGTACAGATTTTCTTTCTGATTACCACAATTATTTCATTTCTTAGAACAAAAAGGTCTGTCAGGTAAATCAAACTTGTTAGGCCCTTATTATGGTTACCAACCAATTAAAAGTACTCGATTGCTAAGGTTTAGAAACAGTTTGCTCGTTTATTACTCCCGTGGTCATTACCTTTCCTGCTCTAATGTCTTTCACTCTTTCTCGAAAATACGGGATTCGACTTAATACTACCTTCCAAAAATTAATTATAGTGAACTTTTCTACCTGTTTTAAAGGAATTATAAATCATGTTTAAAAATAACCTCCCGATGTAAAGACTCTGAAATTTGAATATTGACGGCAAAATAGAGTGCAGAGCGAGACTAGCTTTTAGATCGATTTTCAATTAAATTAAAGAAACATTCAAATGGATTGGTTTGCTCGAAGTTACGTTTAACATCAATTAATGCAGAATAATCGAAACATCGTTACTGCCAGGAAATGAAATTAACTCTTTTTTGTAGGATCCACTTACTTCAAAGTGGTAGCCAATTCCATAAGTCGAATAAGTCCTGAGTCCCCAGAAAAAAAATGAAAACGAAACAAAACAAGAAGAAACAACAAACAAGGAGAAAACGGCCGGTTTACTAGATGTTATTTTAGAGCTGAGATCCTCCAAATCGACAAGTTTTGAACCCAAATGATTCTAGCAGGTGACCAAAGTAAGCAAAGAGGACCCCTACATATTTACTTGGCGTTCGCCAGGGACATAGTTTCCTAGTGAAATATGTGCCATTTTGCATGATCGTCATACAGATATTGGTGCTTGTATTAGTTGCAATTTCACGCCCTGATACTGCATTTACATGAACTCATTGTGACCCAAATTTTAATTTGTTAAGCCTGGGCTTAATGGATGGCTTAAAGGCAGCTACGCCCCTGTCAGCGCTGAATTCTCTCAGGGACTTTTCCGCTTCTGGTCACGCTTCGGCAAACTTTAAAAATAAATATTGGTGTGTTATTATGGAACGCCTGAGCTAAGATAACAACAACCACATGTAATAACCTTTTGAAATCGTAGAAGAGCCCTCGTTTCCACTTCTGTGTTCTCCCACTTATGATCCCTTCGGGAAAGGAATGATCGTGTCTTCTTGTAGAATTGCTTTGACGATCAATCTCTTATATTAGGACCCGCTAAGAGCTGAAGTGGCATGTCTATCCTTGCCATCCGTTGAAACAGAAGACAGGAAACAGTTTCAATGCCTAACATCTTCAATAACAAAACTAGACCGTTATTTTTGAAATTCAATTGACGCAAGAAAAAAGAACAAAAGAAAAGAAAAGTCCTAGCTTTTATAAAGATGGCAGATAGTGTGATAGTAGCCCCTTTAACTGAATCCCACTGGTATCACGGATATATTCGCAGAAGAGCGGATAAATCAAGCTAAAAAGACCTTTAATGTTTAACCTTTTGTTTAAAGGAGCTGTATCGATTTTAATTATTTTCAGAGATGACTTTTAATTATTTAATGAAAAGGTAATAAAGTCGTTTTATTATCATTATCATTATCATTACTATTATCATTATCATTACTATTAGTATTATTATTATTATTATTATTATTATTATTATTATTATTATTAGGTAATTTGCCCTACAATCTCAGTTAATCTCTCACAGGCACACAGGTAACAAACGAGGGCAAAAGGGAATAATTCAGAGGCCGTTGCTTTTGCTGAGAATGAAGTATTGGAGTGACTTGAATGATCTGTCCGGCCAAAAAAAATGGCAGTTGTGGAAGGGGAGGTTCGGCTACTTCAGAGCAAATACAAATAGAAAGCTACCAAAACGTAGAACTAGATATAGAATAATCAGCAATAACTGCTGTCAAAAAAATATTATAAGTTACATCATGCTATACCTTCCCGCTCACAATAACATTGGGAAAGAAACCTAATTCACTAGATTTGAACAAATGAGGACATGGCATACAGCAAGGTCTCAGTAAACCATAAAAACCATCATTGAAAATACAACTTGAAAAACAGTTCCGATCATCCCCATGGTAACAATATCCTTTGCACCACTGACCACTTCTTTATTGGTATCGTTGACCACTTCTTTATTGGTATCGTTGACCACTTCTTTATTGGCATCGAACTTTACCTGCTCCAATTTAGGATAGTAATCATTCCAGAAAGACATTCGGCGAGGATTAAATGACGCCTTCAACTCGGGACTTGTGTCCACTTTAAGGTAAGCTCTGTGAGTCGTGTTGTATTTCTCCCACGCGACACCGCTGACTGTAGGATCGCCGGACCGGGCAAAGTTTGCGTACATGGTTATAATAAACAAACTGACATTTCTGTCAGCCTGACTATAAAATGGAAAAAACATTGGAATCAAAGGAACTCCGAAATCAAAGGGAACATTTTCGCTATGGACCACGCCCATCCAATCAGCACCCATACTTGTTTTTGCCCTTTGAGCAAATTCATACATGTAAACAGGAGCGACCTGGCTTTGAACATCAGCAACCTCGTGACTGGGAGCAAAAAATAAGTAATCTCCAAGAAGATCAACAAGTTGGCTTCTTAATGCGTATTTATTACTTTTGTCAGGCCAAGGGGTGTACATGAACTCCAACGCATTGGCGATGAGATGAGCAGTCTTGTTTCTGAAAAGAAAGTGACGGATAAAAACAATTATTGCAAAGGCCATAGCCGTGCCCAGTTTAAAGCAATCTGAGGTACCTGCCTCACTCGTTTTATTTTGAAAGGGAAAGCAAAACATTGCTTACAATTAAAGAACAAGCAAACAAATAACTAAATGTGCATTGTTGGTTACCTGTGGAGACTAGCGTCTCTACAGCACCTTATGAGCAGAAGCTACATATAGCTGAGCCTCCTTTTGAGTGAGGAAAAGAAAAGAAGGTTCCGCAGCCCAAACTTCTGGACTAGTCACTGATTTTGCTTTCCCTCCTGAAACTGGTTTTTCAAGAGAGAGTATCCGTTTATTGATTGAACTGATGGTCACTAACGAACCAGCTGTAGCAAGCGCGTGCATTATTAGGCCCAAGGGCCCGTTTCTCGAAAGACCCGGAAACGTTTCGGGCCCGAAGGCAAATTTTAAAATCAAAACCTGTTGAGTAGTATCACAGTTCCTAGCCCACACACCAGTCAATTTTTCTACGTTAACTGATAGGTCCATTGTATTATTTTCAAAATTATTGAAACTTTGATCTTGAATGCAAACACAACAAACACAAAACAGCTTTCCGTTATGAGACTTTCGAGAGATAGGCCCCAGGTCCGCCGGAAACCATATCTTAGCAACACGCCGCGAATGCTCAACAAAGATCTTACTCGATCCATGCAGCAGAGTCTCCCTGGATCCGAGCAAGCCAAAATCGAGCGACCAAAGAAAAGGCTCTGCTGCATGGCAGGATGCTGTACACCAACATTTCCATTGTCTTTCGGCTGTTGTTAACTCTTCCATTAAGATGTAGTTGTTAATCGCTTTCCAGAGGTTAAAGACCTGAGGCCCCTTTCACGAAAGTCGCGGTTAATTTACGAGCCCGAAAACAAATACTCAGATCATCAAAGAAAAACAGCGCTCCATTTTGGTTTGTTAACTGTTAGTTTCAGAATATTATCAGCAAAACTATCGCAACCTCCGAAACCTCTATCTTAAATTTAAGGTAAACAACGACTACTTTCCGGGACCGTTAAAAAACGGGACTTTCTAAAAACGGGCCTCAGGTACCATGTATCTATGGGCTCCAAAAAAGGCCCAATTGTCTTGCAGCAGCCTGATGTAGAAGCGAAGTCCCTGTGGAGCCACGCGAGGAGAACACTAAAACTAATACTTAAATAACCCTCCCACCAACACTACAACCCTACAAAAAAAACGTTTTCATGTCAAAGATATAGACTAGATCAGAATGGGCTTTGGGTCTATAAAAGGACATCTTATTGTCGAATAAAGGATGAGTAACACGCCAAATATGTAGGTCATGGTCATTGTCTCAGTCATAATTTTTTTGCTGGTTACGATCCTGTAAGCTCGCGTTAAACGTGAGTGGAATGGTAATAACAGGCTGCAGTTATGTATTAACACTTTATTTTAAAATGGAAAAGAAAGACGCTTTTGCTTTCCATTTATGAGCTAACGATTAAGTTCCAAAAGTGTCACTACATCTATTAAAGCTACTGAGGAAACATTCGTAAAATCTTAACGGAACTTACCTACTGTCTTGAGCTTGAGCAAACTTGGTTAGAAATGATTTGAACAAAGTCGGACTGACTCCATTGTCCACGTTCTCCATCAGCCCAAAAGAATTGTTGACCATGTCTCCGAGAAAACTCGCCCCCTCGTGACTTGTGAAGGTGATGAGAAGTGGCACTTGCTTGAATTCTCCTTTTTTCCTCAAAACTTGGGGTGTATCATGAAGAAAGTTTTTATCTACGACTGGTGCCCAGTTGATAACATTAATGAAACTAAATCTGATTGACTCGGCGGCTTTTTGCATGTCTGAAGCTGTTTTGCTGCGCATACAAGAAACCATTGCAAACTGGTCACTGGATCCACAATTCAGTTTTTGTGCAAGCTCTTTTGTGAAACGGAGACCAAAAGACGTTGGCTGAATCGCAAAGGGACTTAAATCTACACCGCTCTCTGGAATGGCTTGATGAAAGAGATCACGTGATAGAGGCGATAGAAGATGAAGCCCCACGCTAGTTCCTCCAGCGCTCTGTCCAAATATGGTCACTTTGCTGGGATTCCCGCCAAAATTCTCAATGTTTTCTTTGACCCATCTCAGTGCTTCCACTTGATCCAACATTCCATAGTTACCAGGCGCCGCTGAGTCACCGGTCGTCAAGAAACCAAAGGGACCTAGACGATACTGGACTATGACTACCACCACCCCCTGGAGAGCCAAAATATCGCCGGGAGAAGTGATCGCTGTTCCTCTGGCGTAACCTCCACCGTGAATGTAAACCATCACTGGCAAACTGAGGCTGGTGTTCGGGCTGAAGACGTTGAGATACAAGCAATCCTCGCTATAGGTGAAATTTGGAGTTACTGCCTTGATAAAAAATTCAAGACTAGGGTCTCTTGACTGTAAACAGCTGGCCTTGTGTGTTTTAGCCGAATAAACCTTTGGTTTCCACGCTTTTGGCGGTTTGGGGGCTTTAAACCTTAGATCTCCAGTTGGTGGAGCGGAGAAAGGAACGCCAAGAAACTTGCTGACGGACTTGAAAGGACCAGAGGCATTTGGATACGGAGTCAATAAACCATCAATATCTCCATAGTTGGTTGACACTGTTTCTGCTCGAACATGAAGCCAACATACACAAAAGAGAAATATCTTTGCTTGTTGCATTTTCGAACAGTTTTTCTTGCGGAGCTGTTCGTTTTGCCAAGATCAAAACGCAGCAGGGCTTGACTTTTCGACACTAACCAAATGACTGCCAAATGAGCAATTTTAAATTACTTTTCATCTGGCAGAAGCTACTGACGTCATTCGAACAACATACACTATTTTAAGACCCCTTAATGGGTTTTGGTTGACCATGGAATCTGACTAAAGAAATATATTTAGTAAAATGTTACAAGATAATTTACTAGTGAAACTGCAAAAAAAAATTAGAAATTAAAGTAGTGTAAGCATCTTATGTTAACCGTGGACTATCTACAGTGTACCTTGGAAAACCTCTTTACTGACATCTTTACTTTAACTGCGTGATCATGAACGCGCGTCAGATTCGATGACTGCGCAATTTAGACAACAATAGGAAACTGAGGTATGAATACAAAATATCAAGACAGATCACGCAACTGACGTACATGTATGAATACAGTACACCACGACAGATCACGCAATAATTGCAAAATCACTGAACCGCCCTTCGCCACATCGTCGCAATCATTTTTACGCTAGCCGGTTTTTTTTTTTTTTTTTTTTTTTTTCAAGCAGTCGTGCTTCTGAAGTATTCTGCATGCAATTGACGGCAATAAAGCCGTTGTACTACTTATGTTAGATTTATCGCCTGCATTTGATACTGGATACGCTGTCTCAACGTTATAGTATTACAGGGTCGTCTGTACAAGAATGGTTCGCATCCTACCTGTCATCTCGCGCACAATTTGTTCAAATTGAATGTTCAAGATCTTCTCAATTGTGGTGTAACGCAGGGGTCTGTCATGGGTCTCTGTTATATGTTTTGCACACCGTTCACCTGTGGCTGATATCATAAAGAGACACAATCCTACGTACCATCTCTATGCTGATGACACTCAGCTCTATGTGTCATTTAAATTAGGTAGTGGTGATCTCCTCTCCTCAGCAAAATCTAGCGTTGAAATTTGTGTACGGGAAAACAACAATTGGATGATTCTTAATGGTCTTAAGAAAAAAAAAGGAAAAAACCGAGCTGCTTTTACTCAGTTCACGGTGTCGGCTCAGTGCTGATATGGAAGACCTCATTTAAAAGATATGCAAGGCATGTCATTTCCGTTTAACTAATATTAGTAAGGTAAGAACATATTTGGATCGTCAATCTACTGAAGCAAGTATTCATGCTTTTGAGACTACCAACTTCAATTAACTGTAATGCGATTCCATATGGACTACCTAAAGTTCTCTTAAACCGTCTACAGCTAGTTCAGAATAGAGCAGCGCACATCGTAACTTTCACACAGCAGCATGAATATATAACACCCAGCTTAACAGACTTACATTGGTTCGTAACCAGGGGGACATTTTTTACTGTTTACTGGTAAATGGGCCTACAACTAGGGGACTTATATGTTGGGGGAGGAGGCTTAAAAGCAGTAGTTTATGGTAATCTGTTCCAGACATTCAGGCATTGGGGACTGCACAAAGAGGAAAAAAAAAACAAGAAAAAACCCCGCATTTTTTATTGCCTTACTTTTCACCATCTGAATGCCTAGAACAGTTTATCATAAGCTATATAGCTGTCCTTTCTTACCTGGAACAGTGAAATGTAGACTGATATACACACCGTGACTGTACTGATAGACTGTATGGTTTAAGAGACCCCCCCTAAGTAACACACAACCCGAAAGCATTTTCTTAGGTAACTTCTCTCATCATGTTTTGAGAGTATCAATGGACTTTCACCAAGTTATACATCCAATTTGCTCAGTTTTTGTAACAGCTCCTACACTTTGCGCTCTTGCTCGAATAAGTTACTTCAAATCCCGAGATCTAAGCTAAAGTCTTATGGTGATCGAATATTTTCTATTGCAGGCCCTAAATTGTGGAACAGCATACCCGCATCTTTAAGAAAAGCCGATTCCTTGAATTCTTTCAAAAAGCACTTAAAGACATTTATTTCTCCAAGTTTTTCTTAATTTGTAAATAGATTTTTATTTAATTTTCATACTTATATATGTAGTTGTTAGTTTTTTTTTTAGTTAAGAGTTTTAATACATTTTTTGTGATATTGTAAAGCGCCTAGAACAGTTAATGATATAGACGATATGTAAATAAAGTTTATTATTTATTATTATAATTAAAAGGCTCAACTTTTGGTCAATAGTTAATTCAAACGTCGAACTGTTTGCCCATTTTGGTCTGGAATCGGGTATGGTTTTCGAGGGAATAACGTGTTTATCGTTTCAATTCCAAATGACTAAGAAAGAAGAGAAATATGCTTATTCGAAATGGATTTGAACAGGCTCCTCGTTTGAAAAATTTTTGTTTGCGCTCTAATCTAAATAATGATGACGAAATTTCTTCCTAAAGGCCAGGTCTGAACTACGAAGTCACGAGACCCTCGATATCTCCATACTTAGTTGACACTGCTTCTGCTCGAACATGAAGCCAACATGCACAAAAGAGCAATAACGTTGCCAGTTGCATCTTCGAACACTTCTTCTTGTAGAGCTGTTTATTTTACCAAGATCAAAAAGCAGCAGGGATTGACACTAGCTAAATGAGGGACAAATGAGCAATTCTAAATTAATTTTCATCTCCCAGCAGCGGGCCTTTTTAATCCTGACGTCATTCGAACAACATGCACTATTTAAAGACCCCTTATTGGCTTTTTGTTCACCATGCTTGGGTTGCACGTGACGTCACCAAAAATCAAACTAAGAAACTATCGATTCTTCTGAGTTTCTACTTTCACGAGGTATTACAGTACCTAAACACCTTTACATAAACCAAAATTTTGTTTCGAAAGGGTTCTTCGTTTTGCGAGAGAGGATGCTTGGATTTCCAGGCTTTTGCGTGACGCAGCAATTAGCTGGCGGCCGGGAAAGCTCTTATGTGGGTTAAAAACATTACCGATTTTGGGAGATCTTGCGATCTAAACATTCCTTGTCTCAGAATAAATATTACTGTAATGTTTTATGAGTTCCTCCAGCGAAGAATTCACGCATTAGTAGGAAAACTCGAAAACAGATGTTTCTGTTGGTATCCGGCGGCCATATTGGTGTTCCTGAAAGGGACACCAACATGGCGTTTCCATACAAAGCTTTATAAATTTAGATAAACCGTTTTTGCCAATATCTCGCATTTGAAATATTTCACAGACCTGATTCTTGGCAAGGGTTTTTGTATATTTATCTTTTTTCATTTCCCAGATTCTAGTCCTTCTGTGTTGAATGGTTTGCATTTTTATTTTTCATTGCGTGACAGTGCAAGCCGAGAAGCATATTTCGCAAAATGTTAGAAGCTGGTTTACTGGAAACTGTAAAAAAAAAGACCAGAAACTAAAGTAGTGCAAGCATCCTACCTTAACCGTGAATTACCTACAGTGTACCTTCTAAAACCTCTTTACTTTAATTAGTTTACTGCGTGATCGCCGCTCGAGCGCTCGTCGGATTCGATGACTGCGCAATTTAGAGAACAATGGCAAGCTGACATGGGTCTAAATGATACAATTCATTAAGTGGGCAGTTTAATTAGAAATAAAACTCATATGAATACAGTATATCAAGACAGATTATGCAATCAGCAAAATCACTGACCCACCCATAACTGATATCATCGCCATTATTTTTATGCTAGCCGTTTCTTTTTTTTCAGAAGTCGTGCTTCTGAAGTATCGAGTTAACAGAATTTATATGCTCAGCTTTGGCTCAACAGCTCATTCAAACGCCGAACTTAATTTGATCGTGCCTGACCAGAAGGTCCATTATTCTTGACAGTATGATATAACATATGATGGCAGCCATCGACAAAACCTGGATTTCTGAGATCGCATCAATCCGTGAAGTCTCAAAATGACATGAGTTTAGGGCTACGGTTACAGGGCTCGTGGTACCTCATAGCGAATAATAATAGATCCCAATCAAATACATTTTAATTAAATTTACTCGGCAAGCAAAGATATGATTAAAACGTCGCGCAAGCGTCAAGCTAATTTAAGGTTAAATCCGGAAGTGGGTTCGACCAAGGCTGTTTTGGAACCCTGGGGGGTGGGTACTGCCACATATGGGTTACATAGGTATGTGCGTCTGTGAAGGGTATGGTTTTCAAGCAGTTTACTCCGCGATACGGTATATAAATCAGAGAGTTTGGGTCTAGAATGGGGTATCATTTTCCATGAAACAGATCAGTTGGTTGAAGATTTTAGTCTAGACTAGGGAAACCGGGAATTGCCTCTCAAAAATTTTGAAAAAATCAAATCGGCAAGTTTAAATTTATGCAACTCAGCCTAAAAGGTACTCTAGGATAGGGGGGATTTGGGGAGTTTAGTCTAGTATAGGGCAGCAAAATTCCGCTGAACTAGCTCTGGTGTAGGCTAAGGGGTCCAGTTCCCAGCGGCACATCCCCACAATGACAAAAGTTTCGACTCGGGCCTACGGTTACAGGGGTTGGTACTCAAAGCGAATACAGTAGAACCCAGATAACTCGAACTCGGATAATTCGAACTCCCTGCTAACCCGATCAAAAAGTCACTGAAATTTTCCCCGATAACTCGAATTCTGGTTCTTTTAACTACACTCGGATGCCATCCCATTAGCTCTTCTTGTTGTAAAGGGTCTGAAAACACTAAAATTAACACTGGTCACTATTAAAGGCAATTTGATTTAAAGTGGTAAAACGAACAGATCACGTTTTATCATAAAAGTGCCTAATCATGTTATCGTACTGTTTCAGTAGTAATTAAATGCTCGGCCAAATACAATGATGAAGACTGCCAAAACTTAAAGATGTAAATATAGGATTTAATGGAGCCCAAAACAATTGTAGAATTGTACGAACCTTAGGCATCCTCTACCGATGAATGGTTATAACTGCGGGAGCAACAAACATTTTAAGTCTGTACCCTGTTAATTCACTAATCAGTATAATTATTCAATCCTCTATCTGCATAATTCCTCGTATCATTCTCAGCTTCATTCAATAACAGTTATGAACTTTTTAGCAAAAACTGAAATCGCCCTTTTTTCTTTGCTGACTTTTTTTAGTTGATTCGGCTACATACATCATGCTCTACTTTCCGATCATAGACATTAAATAAAATGTTGGTGTTATCCACTTCTAATAAACTTGAATGAATGAGTGAAAAAAAAAGTAAGGTCTTAGTAAATCAAGTATACTATTAAAGCAAATACAACTTGAAGAGCATTTCCCATGGTAACAACATCCTTTGCACCGCTGACCACCTCTTTATTGACATCGAACTTCACCTGCTCCAATTTAGGATAGTAATTATTCCAAAAAGACATTCGGCGAGAATTAAATGACGTCTTCAGTTTGGGACTTGTGTCCACTTTAAGGTAAGCTCTATGACTTGAGTTGTATTTCTCCCACGCGACACCGCTGACTGAAGGATCGCCGGACCGGGCAAAGTTTGCATACATGGTCATGATAAACAGACTGACATTTCTGTCAGCTTGACTATAATGTGGCGAAAATTTGGGAAGGAAAGGGACTCCGAAATCAAAGGGAATGTTTTCGCCATGAACAACGCCCATCCACTCTGCACGTACCTCCAAGCTTGACGTTGCCCGATGAGCAAATTCATACATGTAAACAGGAGCGACCTGGCTTTGAACATCAGCGACCTTGTGACTAGGGGCAACGAAAATGTTATCACCAAGAAGATCAACAAGTCCACTTCTTAACGCGTATGTGTTACTGTTGTCAGGCCAAGGGGTGTACATGAACTCTAAGGCATCGGCGAGAAGATCAGCATTCTGCTTCCTAAAACAAAGTGACGGATATTTAACAATTATTCCACAGACCAGAGCCGTGAACAGTGTGAAGAAATCCGAGGCACTTGCCTCACTAGTTTTATTTTGAAGGGAAAAGTAAACCAATGCGTGCAAAAGAAACACAAGCAAATAAATAAATAAATGCAAAAAGAAAATAATGAGACACAGAGGGAAACACCTTGTCTAGCCCTTGGGATATGTGAATTTCACCAAAGTTATTTTGAGACCGATAAACGCTTGAGTTAATCGGAGGATGGTCTCCAGAGAGGAACAGAAGTCGCTATTACTCTCTCTTGATAAATGTTAATGCAACATGGTTGGTGGCATGTTATGACCCCGGGAGGTTACTTGCTTAGGTTATATGACCTGTACGGAGATGTGGTGCCGCTGGACAGGGTGTGGTTCTTGACCTTTCTGTCCTAAACAGGGTACATAATAACCTACGACTGAGTATATTTCGGTAGTGGTTACGTTGTAGCGGATCAGTGTACAGCGTAGTGTAATTTATGGAGCGAAAATATATACAAGAACACCCGGGAACAATGAGACTACATAGCCATATTACAACTTTATCCTTTAATCAAGCTCCCAACCGAAGTGGATTGAAAAATTCAATTCAGTGTATGGTGCAGTACAAGTTTACTTATTTCATCAGACACTGTAACATGATTAGCCACTTTTATGATAAAACGTGATCTGTTCGTTTCACCAATTAAAATGAAATTGCCTTAAACGGTGACCAATGTCAGTTTTAGTGTTTTCAGGCTCTCATGCAACAAGAAGAGTTACTCAGATTAGTTAGTTTATAGATTAGTTTAGTAGTTAAAAGAACCAGAATTCCAGTTATCGGGATACATTTCAGAGACTTTTTTGATCAGCGGAGGCGAAAAGGTGTTTTAGTTCGAGTTAGAGGTTAATTTGAGTTATCCGCGTTGGAGTTAACCGAGTAAAAATGACAGGAAAGGGAGGTGAAATCAAAGGGAAATTGAACTTAGTTAGAGTTAGCGGGGAGTTGGAGTTAACGGGGTTCTGCTGAATTGAGACTACTGAGCAAATATTTAATTTTCACCGATCTTACCTACTGTTTTGAACTTGCGCGAACCTAATGAGAAATGATTTGAACAAGGTCGGACTGACTCCATTGTCCACGCTCTCCATCAGCCCCAAGGAATTGTTGACCATGTCTCCGAGAAAAGTCGCCCCCTCGTTACTTGTGAAGGTGATGACAAGCGGCACTTGCTTGAATTCTCCTTTTTTCCTCAAAACCTGGGGTGTATCATGAAGAAAGTTTTTATCTACGACTGGTGCCCAGTAAATATTAACGAAACCAAATTTGAATGACTCTGCGGCTTTTTGCATGTCTGACGCTGTTTTGCTGCGCATACAAGAAACCATTGCAGGATGGTCACTGGAACCACAATTCAGTTTTTGTGCAAGCTCTTTAGTGAAACGGAGACCTAACGATGTTGGCTGAATCGCAATGGGACTTAAATCTACACCGCTCTCTGGAATGGCTTGATGAAAGAGATCACGTGATAGAGGCGATAGAAGATGGAGCCCCACGCTTGTTCCTCCAGCGCTCTCTCCAAATATGGTCACTTTGCTGGGATTCCCGCCAAAATTCTGAATGTTTTCTTTGACCCATTTCAGTGCTTCCACTTGATCCAACATTCCATAGTTACCAGGTGCCGCCGAATCACCGGTCGTCAAGAAACCAAAGGGACCAAGACGATACTGGATTATGACCACCACCACCCCATGGAGAGCCAAGATATCGCTAGGAAAAGTGATCGCTGTTCCTATAAGGTAACCTCCACCGTGAATGTAAACCATCACTGGCAAACTGAGGCTGATGTTCGGGCTGTAGATATCAAGATATAAGCAATCCTCGCTGTAAGTGAAATTTGAACTAAAAGGCTCGATTAGGTTTTCGAAAAGTTTGGGCTGTAAGCAAACGCTCCCATGGGTTTTAGCCGAATAAACCTTTGGTTTCCATTCTTTTGGCGGTTGTGGCGCTTTAAACCTTAGCTCTCCAGTTGGTGGAGCGGAGAAAGGAACGCCAAGAAATTTGCTGACGGATTTGAAAGGACCAGAGGCATTCGGATATAAAGTCACGAATCCTTCGATATCTCCATATCTAGTTGACACTATTTCTGCGCGAAGATGAAGCCAACATGCACAAAAGATAAAAAACGTTGCTAGCAGCATCTTTGAACAATTTTTCTTGTGGAGCTGTTTCTTTCACTAATATGAAACAACGACCGAGCTTGGCTTGTTGACACTAGCCAAATGAAGGTTTTAAGTTTTAAGTTACCTTTCAACTCGTAGCGAGTCCTTTTATGCAATTTTTTTAAAATCCTGGACGTCAATCAAACTTGATACATGTACATGTGATGGTGAAAGAGTGCCGATATTTTACATGAACACAATTTGAGCACCCCCCATTGTGCTAATTGGCGTTTTATTGATTATGTAATCTGGTTGATAAAAATATATTTCTATAAAGGTTACAAAACAATTTATTACAAACTATGAGAAAAATCTGGATTTCACTTATCTTCATCCTGAATGATCGATCTGGGCCCAACACATGCAACTCAAGTTGCCCGGTCAAGTTGTCGAATTTCTTTAGTCTTATTGCGTGATGCAGCCGCAGCACCTTAGATTCGCTAATTGTGCATTTTAAAAAACAAAAGAAACTTGTATTGTTCATGGCTCTCTGCGTTTTTTTAAGGATATTATTCGCTGAGCTGGCGGTTTTAATACTGACAAACAAAGGTTTTTTGAAAACTATATCATGACACATCATGCAATTAATAAAAGCAAAATGACATGAAACTAAAACCTAATATCGTCCCACACATCGACTTAAGAGACGGAAATGGGTCTTTAGGGTCCTTAAAAACGTGTATACTCAGCAAAACTTTTTAAGGACCCATATAGTGGCATGGATAAAAGAATTGTTTTCCCTTAAGGTTGATTACCACGGACGCTTTCATTAACTGCGCAGATTAACGAACGTAAATTTTAATCACGTAAATAAAATTGAGGGAAGATAAAAAGTGCTGAGTTTAAACGAGAAGTTGAGCGAGGTTCAACTTTTACGCTTACGAGCGACCTTTCATGTATTGCCTCCATTTCATTTGCGAACGCAAATTTTACGCACCTAAGCACGCAAAAATTACGCGACACCGGTAATCAACCCTCATACTTCCATAAGATAGCAATCTTCTCGGTGGATGGCACTATCCACCTTTCAGGGGCACCCAACGTCAATTTTCGGAAAATATCTGTTCGGAAGACGATTTGAGATCTAGAATTCTCAGGAAAATTTGCTGTAAAATTTCTTGCTCGCCTGTCTCTCCTAGGATTTTCGAACATCTAAAAAATGGTATAAGGGATTTTTACCCTAAGAAGGTCACCTAGAATTTTCGGGAGCCTTTTTCCTGGCTCAAGTTTTCAAAAAGGTAAGTTTTGATCCCTATAATTTTCGGATCACTAGACTTTCAGCTAGGAAATCCAAACAGATGAAAAATTTTTAGGGGATAAAAGTATGCCTATATCTACCGTTCAAATACTAAAATAAGTTTAACAATGCCATGTTTAAGTGGTTTTGAACTATATTCTCGTTGGGTGCCCCTGACCTTTTTACCAACCGTAGTCAGGACCATAAATGGAGAGCAAATGTTAAGCAAGTCACGTCTTTCTATCACACTCTTCAATCTTAATGAATTAAGGAATTTATACCTACGTTTAATACTTGAAATCATATAGCATGTGCAAGCTTTCTTTCACTAGCTTAATTTGTTGTTAGAGACAACATCCAAGGCTTAACGTATTCAGGACCTATCAAAGAACATATCGAATGGCAACTGCGAAAGTCAGATCACAAAACAATATTTTTTTTCTCTCACGGAAGGTCACATTTCTTGCGACAGAAACAGGTATTGTTCATTTGCTGCCGGTTTATTCTGTCGGCATGCAGTTTTAGCAACACATCCCAGGGGGGTACTCCTGTGAATTCTTGGTGAGGGTGTGCCCCCCGGTTCTCCAAATCCTGACCCTATTTCAGACCCAAAAATGTAGTTCCACACCCGTTTTCAGACCTGGCCTTTTGTCATCATTACTTAGATTAGAGCGCAAAAACAAACTGAAAATTCTTCAAATCCATTTCTTCGAATTCCCATATTTTTCTTTCTTTCTTAGCACTCATCTGGAATTGAATTGAAACTATAAAGACGTTCATACAATCCCGTAGTTCCCTCAAAAAACATACTCGATTCCAGACCATGAAGAGGGTTTTTTCATTTGTGAATTATAGCAATGTTTACGGTCGGTGAATCACCACCCAATATCCCAGGCAAATAAAAGAGAACAGCAAACTCGCCAACAGTGGATTCAACAAGTGCCAGTCCTCGCTGGGAAAGATTTACAAACAAAACTCCGCAAGGCCGAGAAAGTCGACTTTAAATTCAGGGCGAGCAACGGCACAGCGTAGGCAAACGCTGTCAGCTTAAGACAGAGGATGTAAAGAGACAGCAACAAAATAGGACAATTACACTGCAAACAAAGCCGACGAAGACCGACTGCTCATGTTTCAGCAAAATGCCGTCAATAGAATTCGCAACGAAACCGTGGAGGAATCATCGAGTGGCAAGCTTACCGTCAAAATTATCTTCTTCGATGCAACGATAGGCAGCAAGAATTACACCATCTGTAAAATCGACATGAGGAGTATCTTTCTGACGGACTGAAGGCAGCCAATCAGCCTTCTCACCGTTTTACAGGAAGCATTATTTTACAATGAACAGTTTAAAATTGCCGCATACGGAGCTCACTGTGGTGATTTGCTCAAGTGACCATCAAACAGTAGCTTCCCAATGCGCAGCTGCCCAACTTCATTGAATCAGATGTATGGTGTTGGATTTTAAATTGCCGTGAGTCACGGGACCATAACATAATGACTGTTGTCGACTTGCAGAGAAGTTCAACCTTATTTTCCTGAGCACAGAAAAATAGGCAGATATAAGCTAAAAAGGCAAATGTAAATGCTAATAAAGTAAAAAACGCAACAAATGCAAGACTGCCATATCTTATACCTTTCCAAAAACTGTTTCCTTTATGTAGTTCATTTATAGAGCGGTTTTCACTTGACTGTCGAAAGGGATTGGTTTTGGCTTTGGTTTTGGTTTTACTACGCCCTTTGGTTGGCTAGTGTATTTACTTTGGTTTTGGTTTTACGACAGTCAAGTGAAAACCGCTCTATACTGTAAATAAACATAATAATGATAAACCATTATAATTATAATAATAATAATAATAATAATAATTATTATTATTATTATTATTTTGCTTCCCTCTCAATCAAAGAGGGTGGATTGAAGACTTTTTAGACGAAAAAGCGAGATCCTAGAATTACCGGGTAACGGCGAAATGCGAGCAAACTATACTCTGTAGTCACGACTACACGAAACAACTCAACAACACAACCTAGCAGCAGGACTACCAAACTAACTAATAACAAACTCTATGGCATTCTCAAACTCATATCTTTTCGGCTACTCCGTTTCTTTCTGACTTTCGTTTTTTTTCTGACTATTCTTCGCCGCTTCGCGACTCTTTCTCCCTTACGCGAAGAAAAATCAAGAGAAACCTCTGGGACCAGGGTACTCATCGTCCTTGTGATTGAAGAAGTCGGGGGATTAGGTAGATCTCCAAGTTTGTTACGGGAAGGCCTCTATACAACTTACCTACTGGTTCGAGCACGAGCAAATTTGGATAGTGATGCTTTGAATAAAGTCGGATTCACTCCATTGTCCACGTTTTTTTTCTTTTTCTTTTTCAGGAGTCCCCTATTGTAATTTCCCTTTTTACTCAACTTTCAGAGTCTAAAAACAACCCCTGTATAATACTTTAACAATGTGCCTTTTCAGTAACACTATAACACCTCTTCAAAATTTTTACATTTTTGTATTGCGCATCAATAAACGAGATGCGCAATAAACGAGATGCGCCTAACTCTATGATTGGGATTATTTCGATTTGTTATAAAATATTTTATGATCGTTTCAGCGTGATTAGAGTATAATTGATTATTTTAAGAGCAATCGCGAAGGAGTGAATCTAACCCTCCCCAGAGTGAATGATACAGTCGAGTGTTCAGTCGAATCTCCCTTAAGCGACCACCCAAAACGCAAAGATCAAAAACACGTTTGGGTTTAAACACCTCTCTTACACTCAAGCAAGGGTTTTGTGGGGACGACTCCTTCCTGAGTGAAGTGTACCTCAATAGAGGGAGTATTGAGAAGTTGTAAAAAGTCTATAAATAGATGCCTATAACATGAATCCGAGCATGCAAAAAGCAGATAAGTTACTAAATGGTAATTCTTTCGAATGATTTATCAAAAAATGGCTTTCAAAATGGTTTTTTTTCTGCGAAGGGGTTGACTGATCTCTTGTGAAGATTTTAAAGGAGCTGTTTCACAAAATGTATCAAAATTCAAACAGTGGGATGCGTCACCAAACATAAAAATAACTTCTCAAAACTTGAAAACAAACATGAAGAAGACTGAAACACTTGCAATTGTGGTTTTTAAAAACTTGTTAGCCTAAACGTTTTTCAAAGTTCAGTTTTCTCGTTTGCAACGTTTGGTATAATCTTCGTTTGATACGAAGCTGTAATTTTGTCATTCACAAGGAATTTTTTTATTATTATTCGCCACGCAACAATAGGAAATGAATTACAAATAATATAGGATAAGCAGGAAAAGAAGTGGCGAAGAGACATAACGGAAACCATAGAAGCTTGTGAGAGGTTAGGCCTCCTCGAATTACAGGCTAGAGCCGTTTTCATCAATTGAAGAAAAGATTGCGAAAAGTTGAAGATGGAAAGATTTATGAACTGCTTTCATATTTATAATTAAAATTTAATCTTCAGTATTTTCTTAAAGGAGGAAAGGGATTGAAAGTTGATGACCTCGTTGTCAAGTGAATTATTAAACTTAGCGGATCCTTGAAAAAGGCGAGAACTTCTTAGTGTTTGTTCGACAATAAGGTAGACGGTAGGCCTGGGAATTTCTTGTATTGTAAGAGTGGAATTGATTGCTTTGGTAGAAATTACCAAGTTCTATAGCGAAAAAGGGCTCATAACTGACATTATAAACAAAATGAACTTACAGCTGTGACACCGGGCCCCTTAAAGACGGTTGTTAATAGGAATCTTTCCCCGGCCGGCGCGTTTGATTTGACTCTTGTGTATAAAACGTGCAAAGTAACTGGCCTTTCGACAGTTTTTGAATTAGTTTAATTAGTTTACTGCGTGATCGCCGATCGAGCGCGCGTCGGATTCGATGACTGCGCAATTTAGAGAACAATAGCGGGCTGACATGGGTCTAAATGATACAATTCACTAAGTGGGCAGATTAATTAGAAATAAAACTCATATGAATACAGGATATCAAGACAGATCATGCAATCAGCAAAATCACTGAACCACATCATCGCCATCATTTTTACGCTAGCCTTTTTTTTTCCAGAAGTCGTGCTTCTGAAGTATCGAGTTAACAGCATTTATATGCTGTACTTTGGCTCAATAGTTCATTCAAACGTCGAACTTAATTTAAACGTGCTTGACCAGAAGGTCCATTATTCTTGACAGTGAGATATAACATATGATGGCAGCCATCAAAAAAACCTGGATTTCTGAGATCGCATCAATCCGTGAAGTCTCTAAATGACATAAGTTTAGGGCTCGTGGTACCTCATAGCGAATAATAATAATCGATCCCAATGAAACACATTTTAATTAAAATTTACTTGGCAAGCAAAGACAAGATTAAAACGTCGCACAAGCGTCAAGCTAATTTCAGGTTAAATTGAAGTGGGTTCGACCAAGGCTGTTTTGGAATCCCCGGGGGGTGGGTACTGCCACATATGGGCTACATAGGTACGTGCGTCTAGAATAGGGTATCATTTTCCATGAAACAGATCAGTTGGTTGAAGATTTTAGTCTAGACTAGGAAAATCGGGAATTGCCTTCCAAAAATAAAAAAAAATCAAATCGGCAAGTTTAAATTTACGCAACTCAGCCTAAAAGGTACACTACGGTAGGAGGGATGTGGGGAGTTTAGTCTAGTATAGGGCAGCAAAATTCAGCTGAACTAGCTCTGGTATAGGCTAAGGGTTCCAGAGTCCCTGCGGCACATCCCCACGATGACATAAGTTTACTCGGACCTACGGTTACAGGATTGGTACTCAAAGAGAATATGTACTTAGAATACTTATATAGACACTTATATAGACACTTATGTAGACCCATGACCTTTGTAGAGAGGTTCGACTCAGTACTTTATTCAGAGCAGCTAAAATTGCAATAGTAAATAAATGCTCGACCAAATACAATGAAGACTACTACCAAAAATTAGGATTTAATGGAACCCAAAACAATTGTAGAATTGTACGAACTTTAGGCATCCTAGCGATGAATGCATGGTTATAATTGCAGGAGCAACAAACATTTTAAGTCTGTACCCTGTTAATTCACTAATCAGTATAATTATTCAATCCTCTACCTGCATAATTCCTCGTTCTCAGCTTCATTCAATAACAGTTATGAACTTTTTAGCAAAAACTGAAATCGCCCTTTTTTCTTTGCTGACTTTTTTTAGTTGATTCGGCTACATACATCATGCTCTACTTTCCGCTCATAAACATTAAAGAAAATGTTGGTCTTATCCACTTCTAATAAACTTGAATGAATGAGTAAAAAACAAAGCAAGGTCTTAGTAAATTAAGTATAACATTAAAGCAAATACAACTTGAAGAGCAGTTCCCATGGTAACAATATCCTTTGCACCGCTGACCACCTCTTTATTGACATCGAACTTCACCTGCTCCAATTTAGGATAGTAATTATTCCAAAAAGACATTCGGCGAGAATTAAATGACGTCTTCAGTTTGGGACTTGTGTCCACTTTTAGGTAAGCTCTGTGACTCGAGTTGTATTTCTCCCACGCGACACCGCTGACTGAAGGATCGCCGGACCGGGCGAAGTTTGCATACATGCTCATGATAAACAGACTGACATTTCTGTCAGCCTGACTATAATGTGGCGAAAATTTGGGAAGGAAAGGAAGTCCAAAATCAAAGGGAATGTTTTCGTCATGAACAACGCCCATCCACTCTGCACGTACCACCAAACTTAACTTTGCCCGATGAGCAAATTCATACATGTAAACAGGAGCGACCTGACTGTGAACATCAGCGACTTTGTGACTGGGGGCAGCGAAAATTTTATCTCCAATAACATCAACAAGTCCACTTCTTAATGCGTATGTGTTGCTGTTGTCAGGCCAGGGGGTGTACATGAACTCCAAGGCATCGGCGAGAAGATCAGCATTCTTCTTCCTAAAACAAAGTGACGGATATTTAACAATTATTCCACAGACCAGAGCCGTGCCCAGTGTGAAGCAATCCGAGGCACTTGCCTCACTAGTTTTATTTTGAAGGGAAAAGTAAAACACTGCGCGCAAATAAAACACAAGCAAATAAATAAATAAATGCAAGAAGGGAATAATGAGACACAGAGGGAAACACCTTGTCTAGCCCTTGGGATATGTGAATTTCACCAAAGTTATTTTGATATCGATAAACGTTTGAGTTAATCGGAGGATGGTCTACAGAGAGAAACAGCAGTCGTTACTACTCTCTCTTGATAAATGTTAATGCAACATGGTTGGTGGCATGTTATGACCCCGGCAGGTTACTTGCTTAGGTTATATGACCTATACAGGGATGTGGTGCCGCTGGACAGGGTGTGGTTCTTGACCGTTCTGTCCTAAACAGGGTACATAATAACCTACGACTGAGTATATTCCGGTAGTGGAATTCGAGTTATCCGAGTTGGAGTTAACCGAGTAAAAATGAGAGGAGAGGGACGAGGTGAAATCCAAGGGAAATTGAACTTAATAAGAGTTAGCGGCGAGTTGGAGTTAACGGGGTTCTGCTGCGTTGAAACTACTGAGCAAATATTTAATTTTCACTGATCTTACCTGGTGTTTTGAACTTGTGCGAACTTAATAAGAAATGATTTGAACAAAGTCGAACTGACTCCATTGTCAACGCTCTCCATCAGCCCATAAGAATTGTTGACAATGTCTCCGAGAAAAGTCGCCCCCTCGTTACTTGTAAAGGTGATGATAAGCGGCACTTGCTTAAATTCTCCTTTTTTCCTCAAAACCTGGGGTGTATCGTGAAGAAAGTTTTTATCTACGACTGGTGCCCAGTCAACGAAACCAAATTTGATTGACTCTGCGGCTCTTTGCATGTCTGACGCTGTTTTGCTGCGCATACAAGAAACCATTGCAGAATGGTCACTGGAACCACAATTCAGTTTTTGTGCAAGCTCTTTAGTGAAACGGAAGACGAAAGACGTTGGCTGAATCGCAATGAGACTTAAATCTACACCGCTTTCTAGGATGGCTTGATGAAAGAGATCACGAGATAGAGGCGATAGAAGATGGAGCCCCACGCTGAAGCCGCCAGCGCTCTGTCCAAATATGGTCACTTTGCTGGGATTCCCGCCAAAATTCTGAATGTTTTCTTTGACCCACTTCAGTGCTTCCACTTGATCCAACATTCCATAGTTACCAGGTGCCGCCGAATCACCGGTCGTCAAGAAACCAAAGGGACCTAGACGATACTGGATAATGACCACCACCACCCCCTGGAGAGCCAGGATATCGCTGGGAGAAGTGATTGCTGATCCTAGAAGGTAAAATCCACCGTGAATGTAAACCATCACTGGCAAACTGAGGCTGATATTTGGGCTGTAGATATCAAGATATAAGCAATCCTCGCTGTAAGTGAAATTTGAAGTAAAAGGCTCGATTGAGTTTTCGAAAAGTTTGGCGGGCTGCAAGCAGACGCTCCCATGGGTTTTAGCCGAATAAACCTTTGGTTTCCACTCTTTTGGCGGTTGTGGCGCTTTAAACCTTAGCTCTCCAGTTGGTGGAGCGGAGAAAGGAACGCCAAGAAATCTGCTGACGGATTTGAAACGACCAGAGGCATTTGGATACGAAGTCACGAGTCCTTCGATATCTCCATACTTAGTTGACACTATTTCTGCTCGAACATGAAGCCAACATGCACAAAAGATAAAAAACGTTGCTAGCAGCATCTTTGAACACTTCTTCTTGTAGAGCTGTTTCTTTCACTAATATGAAACAACGACCGAGCTTGACTTGTTGACAATAGCCAAATAAAGATTTTAATTAAGTTTTAAGTTACCTTTCAACTCGCAGCGAGTCTTTTTATGGAATTTTTTTAAAATCCTTGACGTCAATCAAACTTGATACATGTACATGTGATGGTGAAAGAGTGCCGATATTTTACAGGAACACAATTTGAGCACACCTCATGTTCCTTATTGGCGTTTTACTGACTATGTAATCTAGCTGATAAAAATATATTTCTAAGAAGGTTACAAGAAAATTTATAACAAACTATGAGAAAAATCTGGATCAGCTCACGCATCTTCACTCTGAATGATCGATCTGGGCCCAACACATACAACTCAAATTATCGAATTTCTTTAGTCTTACTGCATGAGCGAGAGCACGTTGGATTCGCTAACTGTACATTTTAAAGCAAAAAAGGAAATTGGTATTGTTCATGGCTCTCTGTGTTTTTTTAAGGATATTATTCACTGAGCTGGCGGTTTTAATACTGACAAACAAAGGTCTTTTCAAAAGTATATCATGACACATCATGGAATTAATATTAGGAAAATTCCAAGAAACGGAACTTATATCGTCCGATATATCGACTTTAGTGACGGAAGTGGGTCTTTAGGGTCCTTAAATACCTGTATAGCATGGATAAAAATATTAAGAAATTCACGTCTTGTTATCACGCTCTTTCAATCTCAATGAATTGAGGAATTTTCCTACTTTTAATCATATCGAATGGCAACTGCGAAAGTCGTCAGTTCACAAAACAATATATTTTTTTCTCACGAAAGACCACATTTCTTTCTACAGAAACTGGTATTGTTCATTTGCTGCCGGTTTATTGGGGTTGGCAGTTTTAACAACACATATAAGTTTTATGCACATATCATAAACAGATCATGCAATTGATAAAAGCAAAATCGCTGAAATGACCATTAGAATGTGTCATTAGTTTGAGTATTCAGCAAAATATGTGTTATCCAGACCACCACATAAACGCAGTTTGTTTTTCCACACACCAACCAACCGAAGAGAAATCTATCCGCAGATAGCGCTATTCAACTTAAAAAAACTGGTCCCAACATCCGGGGAGGAGTACTTCCTTGGGCCTATACGGTTGAGCCGCTGAAAGCATGGTTTTCAGGGTCTTGAGTTCTTAACAGGGAAAACAATTTCTCCATTTAGCGACTTCAACAGGGTGTCTTATTGGATTAGAATTCTTTAAAAGAGTGTGAAGGTAACTGATAAGCGGCCTTCAAAACTCTTTTGATAGCTGATAAAAGGGAACAAGGACAAAAATAAATAAAATACAAATAAGTTTATTTTGATCTTAATCAGGGTTAAACGGAACCGTTAAAAGTTTGAATTGTTTCCTTACCCGAGAAGAAAAGTAGAGCTTTGTTGTTTTCTGTTGACTCGCCAAGTTTATAGCCAAAAGGGTTTGTTGTGTCATTCTTCGCATGAAGTGCCGATAAAAATGGCAGCTCGGTTGCTCGGGGAGGTAAGACGTCGTCTTCCTGTACCATTCTTTTTCCTATTTGCTTGAAACGTAGAATCTTTGCAAACATTTGCTTTCAGATTTGTTTGTCATAAATAAACTTCGATAAATCAGGGGCACCCAACGTCAATTTTCGGGAAATATCTGTTCCGAAGACGATTTGAGATCTAGAATTTTCGGAACATTTGTCGTAAAATTTCTTGCTTGCCTGCCTCTCCTAGGATTTTCGAACAGCTAAAAAATGGTATAATTGCCCATTTTTACGGATTTTTACCCTAAAAAGGTCACCTAGAATTTTCGGGAGCCATTTTTCTGGCTGAAATTTTCGAAAAGGTAAGTTTTGATCCCTATAATTTTCGGATCACTAGACTTTCAGCTAGGAAATCCGAACAGATCTCTGAAAACTGTTTAGGGGATAAAATTATGCCTAAATCTACCGTTTAAATACTAAAATACGTTTAACAATGCTATGTTGAGTGGTTTTGAACTATATTCTCGTTGGGTGCCCCTGATAAATGCCTTCTTCTACGCGAATAAACGTGAGTTGTAAACAATCCATCGAGCACAAAACTCAACTACAGTAAATGGAAAAACCCCGTGTTGAATCCTTTCAAGTCTTTTCTTACCTTAAAGAAAGTCAACCCTAGGATTTTGTCGACTTTTAAAAGATCGTTCTCTGAAAAAGGGTAAAAACACCGAGGTCACACATTATCCACTCGCTTAGGGGTGAATAGTCCGAGATAGCGAACCAATCAGATTGTTTAGATCACTAAGATAACTGAGTGTGTATATATTAAAGTGTATTATGATAATATTAAGAAGAACGTTTCCTCTAAATTAAAAAAAGAACAGCGTTCACAAATTTTGTGTGGCCTCTTGTGAGGTACGTGTCCGTTGTTGAAAGGTGGACAATATGAACACCCCTCTGTAACAGACCCAGTGGAATCTGTATCTTTACCGGGTTCTAGGAGAAAACGTCACCGGGTTGGTTTATTTTCCACTAGGTTGTCTTTTCTCAGTTTTGAATTTTTCTTTCACTATTGCGTAAGCAGCAGCATTTCTAGTCAAAAATAACAATTAGAATTAATTAAACAGGCGACCGCTATGGGAAGGGATGAAATAAAACTCTTTATTATATCGAGCCGAATTTTTGAAAACATACCTCAAAACGGGCCAGAATATCCGAACAGGAACCTGGCGATAGCCAGGTTTCTGGTCACTGCGGTTAGAATAAACATAGGGGCCTTGCCGCCCTGGTTGGTCTCATTGTCAAGCTCAGTCCTTGAGCTAACTTAGCATGGGTTGGGAAGAAGCCTCCACGTCAATCTCTAGAGGGGTGCTGCAAAAGCGTGGTACTGCCCGACAGTCTTGCTGTGGTAGAGTCAGTGCACTCGTCATGTTTGCCTTAAGCTCTTGTAATGTTTGAGGCCCATTGGCCAATGAAAGCATTCCCCTCAAGTACCTGCTAGGCTGGGGTGGGGAAGAAAGTCAGCGGGAGTGATGTGGCCTTGAATTCTCTGCCTAGAACTTGCTTAAGTCTCAAGCATCCTCTGTCATTTAGAGCCTTCAAGCAGTTAGAGTGTATGGCCAAGTCCAGAGTGTCTATTTGATGGACTTTGAATGTTTCTTCGCTAATCAGGAACCAAGAAGAGAGTCACCTTAAGAGAACCATGGGTAAGAGCTTAGTTTCTTGCGAATATTTACTTTAGTTGAGTCGGTTTAAGGTGTTTGGCCTCGAGGAGCCAGCCAGTGCGGTTTTCATAAATCCGGCTGGATATACATACTGAGAAATACTAACCAAAAAGCTATGTCGTAAATTTTCATACGCAAATTAGTTCAACCCAATCAAAGGAAAAAAATGATACGTCCAATAAGAATCGCGAACGATGTTTTTTCAAATCGTCTTTTCTCTCGCTTTGCTGTCTCTAAGGAAAACGAGGGAATACTCGAGTCTATGAACAGAAAACGTGGACGATGTAAACCCATGACCTTTGTAGAGAGGTTTGACCGTACTTTATTCAGAGCAGTGCGATCAGCTAAAATTGCAATAGTAAATTAAATGCTCGGTCAAATACAAGGAAGACTGCCAGAACTTAAAGACGCAAAATTAGGATTTAATGGAGCCCAAAACAATTGTAGAATTGTACGAAGCTTAGGCATCCTCTACCGATGTATGGTTATCTGAATTGCAGGAGCAACACTCATTTTAAGTCTGTACCCTATTAATTCAATGACCACTATAATTATTTAATCCTCTATCTGCATAATTCCTCGTATCATTCTCAGCTTCATTCAATAACAGTTATGAACTTTTTAGCTAAAACTGAAATCGCCCTTTCTTCTGTACTGATCTTTTTTAGTTGATTCGGCTACATACATTATGCTCATAAACATTAAAGAAAATGTTAGGCTTATCCACTTCTAATAAACTTGAATCAATGAGTAAAAAACAAAATAAGGTCTTAGTAAATCAAGTATACTATTAAAGCAAATACAACTTGAAGAGCAGTTCCCATGGTAACAACATCCTTTGCACCGCTGACCACCTCTTTATTGACATCAAACTTCACCTGCTCCAATTTAGGATAATAATTATTCCAAAAAGACATTCGGCGAGAATTAAATGACGCCTTCAGTTTGGGACTTGTGTCCACTTTAAGGTAAGCTCTGTGACTCGAGTTGTATTTCTCCCACGTGACACCGCTGACTGAAGGATCGCCGGACCGGGCAAAGTTTGCGTACATGGTCATGATAAACAGACTGACATTTCTGTCAGCGGGACTATAATGTGGCGAAAATTTGGGAAGGAAAGGAACTCCGAAATCAAAGGGAATGTTTTCAGCATGAACAACACCCATCCACTCTGCACGTACCACCAAACTTGACTTTCCCCGATGAGCAAATTCATACATGTAAACAGGAGCGACCTGACTGTGAACATCAGCGACTTTGTGACTGGGGGCAACGAAAAGGTTATCTCCAATAACATCAACAAGTCCACTTCTTAATGCGTATGTGTTACTGTTATCAGGCCAAGGGGTGTACATGAACTCCAAGGCATCGGCGAGAAGATCAGCATTCTTCTTCCTAAAAAAAAGTGACGGATATTTAACAATTATTCCACAGACCAGAGCCGTGCCCAGGGTGAAGCAATCCGAGGAACTTGCCTCACTAGTTTTATTTTGAAGGGAAAAGTAAAATACTGCGCGCAAATAAAACACAAGCAAATGAATAAATAAATGCAAAAAGGGAATAATGAGACACAGAGGGAAACGCCCTGTCTAGCCCTGGGGATATGTGAATTTCACCAAAGTTAATTTGATACCGATAAACGCTTGAGTTAATCGGAGGATGGTTTCCAGAGAGAAACAGCAGTCACTATTACTCTCTGTTGATAAATGTTAATGCAACATGGTTGGTGGCCTGTTATGTCCCCGGGAGGTTACTTGCTTAGGTTATATGACCTATAAGGGAATGTGCCGCTGGACAGGGTGAGGTTCTTGACCTTTCTGTCCTAAACAGGGTACATAATAAACTATGACTGAGTATATTCCGGTAGTGGTTACGTTGTAGCGGATCGGTGTACGGTGTAGTTTAATTTTTGGAGCGATAATATATACAAGAACAACCCGGAACAATAAGACTACATAGCCATATTACAACTTTATCCTTTAATCGACCTCCTCAATCACAGAGTGAATGATATGCTTCATTAAAGAGTTTTTTAACTTTACAACGTCCCTTGTATGTAACGCCGCAGCCAGACGCACCGGCACGTTCAGACTTCCGCCACGTTTGTGTCTGCCACGTGAAAGCAGCGCTACAGTAAAACAAACCGATCACGCGAATTCAATAAACCCGGAACATTTATTCCTCACGATCTCAGTTGATTTGGTTGTTTTATCGCTTTGTTCTTGTCTATTTTGAGTGTTGGTTTAGAACGCTTGATTAAGTTCGATTGCTTCGATTAAGTTCAAAAATCGAACTTAATCGAACTCTCGTGGTTCGCTTGTGTTCGATTACCGAACTTAATCGAACCCAATCGTTCGATTAAATTCGATTACCGAACAGTTCGAGTGGTCACACCGGGATTTACCGGGGTCGATTGAAAAATTCATTTCAGTGTATGGTGCAGTACAAGTTTACTTATTTCATCAGACACGGTAACATGATTAGGCACTTTTATGATAAAACGTGATCTGTATGTTTCACCAATTAAAATGAAATTGCCTTTAACAGTGACTAATGTCAGTTTTAGTGTTTCACGCCCTCATACAACAAGAAGAGCGAATGGGATTAGTTAGTTTATAGATTAGTTTAGTAGTTAAAAGAACCAGAATTCGAGTTATCGGGGTACATTTCCGAGACTTTTTTTATCAGGGGAGGCGAAAAGGTGTTTTAGTTCGAGTTAGCGGGGAATACGAGTTTTCCGAGTTGGAGTTAACCGAGTAAAAATGACAGAAAAGCGTGTTGAAATCCAAGGGAAATTGAATTTAGTCAGAGTTGGCGGGAAGTTGGAGTTAACGGGGTTCTGCTGCATTGAAACTACTGAGAAAATATTTAATTTCTACTGATCTTACCTACTGTTTTGAACTTGAGCGAACTTAGTAAGAAATGATTTAAACAAGGTCGGACTGACTCCATTGTCAACGCTCTCCATCAGCCCAAAAGAATTGTTGACCATGTCTCCAAGAAAAGTCGCCCCCTCGTTACTAGTGAAGGTGATGATAAGCGGCAATGGCTTGAATTCTCCTTTTTTCCTCAAAACCTGGGGTGTATCATGAAGAAAGTTTTTATCTACGACTGGTGCCCAGTAAATATAATTAACGAAACCAAATTTGATTGACTCTGCGGCTCTTTGCATGTCTGACGCTGCTTTTCCGCGCATACAAGAAACCATTGCAGAATGGTCACTGGAACCACAATTCAGTTTTTGTGCAAGCTCTTTAGTGAAACGGAGACCAAAAGACGTTGGCTGAATCGCAAAGGGACTTAAATCAACACCGCTCTCTGGAATGGCTTGATGAAAGAGATCTCGAGATAGAGGCGATAGAAGATGGAGCCCCACGCTGGATCCTCCAGCGCTCTCTCCAAATATGGTCACTTTGCTGGGATTCCCGCCAAAGTTCTGAATGTTTTCTTTGACCCACTTCAGTGCTTCCACTTGATCCAACATTCCATAGTTACCAGGCGCCGCTGAGTCACCGGTCGTCAAGAAACCAAAGGGACCTAGACGATACTGGATTATGACCACCACCACCCCCTGGAGAGCCAGGATATCGCTAGGAAAAATGATCGCTGTTCCCATAAGGTAACTTCCACCGTGAATGTAAACCATCACTGGCAAACTGAGGCTGATGTTCGGGCTGTAGATATCAAGATATAAGCAATCCTCGCTGTAAGTGAAATTTGAAGTAAAAGCCTCGATTAAGTTTTCGAAAAGTTTGGGCTGTAAGCAGACGCTCCCATGGGTTTTAGCCGAATAAACCTTTGGTTTCCACTCTTTTGGCGGTTGTGGGGCTTTAAACCTTAGCTCTCCAGTTGGTGGAGCGGCGAAAGGAACGCCAAGAAATTTGCTGATCGATTTGAAGGGACCAGAGGCATTCGGATACGCAGTCACGAGACCATCGATATCTCCATACTTAGTTGACACTATTTCTGCTCGAACGTGAAGCCAACAGGCACAAAAGATAAAAAAAGTTGCTAGCAGCATCTTTAAACACTTCTTCTTGTGGAGCTGTTTCTTTCACTAATATGAAACAACGACCGAGCTTGACTAGTTGGCACTAGCCAAATGAAGGTTAAGTCAACAGTTTTAAGTTACCTTTCAACTCGCAGCGAGTCTTTTTATGGAATTTTTTTAAAATCCTTGACGTCAATCAAACTTCATACATGTACATGTTATGGTGAAAGAATGCCGATATTTTACAGGAACACAATTTGAGCACCCCTCATTTTCCTTATTGCCGTTTTATTGACTATGTAATTATGGCTGATAAAAATATATTTCTAAAAAGGTTACAAGAAAATGTAATGCAAACTATGAGAAAAATCTGGATCAGTTCACGCATCTTCACCCTGAATGATCGATCTGGGCCCAACACATATAACACATATTGTCGAATTTCTTTAATCTTACTGCGTGAGCGAGAACACCTTGGATTCGCTGACTGTGTAGTTAAAAGAACAAAAGGAAACTGGTATTGCTCATGGCTCTCTGTGTTTTTTTAAGAATATTATTCACTGAGCTGGCGGTTTTAACACTGACAAACAAAGGTCGTTTGAAAACTATATCATGACACATCATTCAATTAATAAAAGGAAAATTCCAAGAAACGGAACTAATATCGTCCCATACATCAACTTTAGGGACGGAAGTGGGTCTTTAGGGTCCTTAAATACGTGTATAGCATGAATAAAAATGTTAAGAAATTCACGTCTTGTTATCACACTCTTTCAATCTTAATGAATTGAGAAATTTTCCTACTTTTAATCAAATCGAATGGCAACTGCGAAAGTCAGTTCACAAAACAATATTTTTTTTTCTCATGAAAGGCCACATTTCTTGCGACAGAAACAGGTATAGTTCATTTGCTGCCGGTCTATTCGGTTGGCAGTTTTAACAACACATTTAGGTTTTATGAATATATCATAAACAGATCATGCAAATGATAAAAGCAAAATCGCTGAACTGACCATTAGAATGTGTCATTATTTTGAGTATTCAGCAAAATATCTGTTATCCAGACCACTAGGTAAACTTAGTTGTTTTCCCACACACCAACCCACCGAAGAGAAATCTATCCGCGGATAGCGCTATTCAACTTAAAAAAACTGGGGCCAACACCCGACGAGGAGTACTTTCTTGGGCCTATACGGGTGTGCCGCTGAAAGCATGATTTTCAGAGACTTGAGTTCTTAACAGGGAAAACAATATCGCCATGTAGCGACTTCAACAGGGTGTCTTATTGGATTAGAATTCTAAGAGTGTGAAGCCTGGTGATAAGCGGCCTTCAAAACCGTTTTGATAGCTAAAGGGAACAAGAACAAAAATAAGGTAGAAATAAGTTTATTGTGATCTTCATCAGGGTAAATACACTGCAACACAGTGTACTACGATAATAAGAACATTTTCTCTGAAAAGAACAGCAAGGAATAATAATGACAATTAATTAAACAGGCGACCGTTCTGGGGAGGTAGGGATGAAATAGAACTCTATTTTTAGTGCCGTAAAGGGAGAGTGTAACAATTTTAGTTTTAAAAATGCTTTGTATTACATATTTTAAAGTACCTAACACAATCTACATGTACATCAACAGAAAAGGCAACCACATTTTCAGAGTAATTAGATCATAATTCCTGAACTCATGGACTAATACTTGAAAAGACATGGTAGAAAACTAGATGCCGGAGGAGGTTATGGACTGTAAGTCCAAAAACGTGGACGTTCTAGACGCATAACCTTTGTAGAGGGTTTTGACTGTACTTTCAGAGCAGTCCCGGATCTGATATCAGCTAAAATTGAAAAAGTAAATTAAATGCTCAGCAAAATACAATATTTCCATCTAAAAAGTCAGTATTGTTTTGTCTTTCGCTGAAAGTGAAATTTGCCAGGCTCGATAAAGTTTTCGAAAAGTCTGGGCTGTAAACAAACGCTGCCATGGGTTTTAGCCGAATAAACCTTTGGTTTCCACTCTTTTGGCGGTTGTGGGGCTTTAAACCTTAGCTCTCCAGTTGGTGGAGCGGCGAAAGGAACGCCAACGAAAAATTTGCTGACGGATTTGAACGGACCAGAAGCATTCGGATACGAAGTCACGAGACCATAGATATCTCCATACTTAGTTGACACTGTTTCTGTTCGAACATGGAGCCAACATGCACAAAAGAGAAATAACGTTGCTAGCAGCATCTTTGAACACACCTCTTCTTGTGGAGCAGTTTCTTTTACTAACTTGTTGAAACTAGCCAAATGAAGGTTAAGCCAACAGTTTTGAGTTACTTTTCATCTCGCAGCAAGTCTTTTTATGGAAATGTTTTTTAAAATCCTGGACGTCAATCAAACTTGATACATTTACATGCGATGGTGAAAGAGTGCCGATATTTTACATGAACACAATTTGAGCACCCCTCATTTTCCTTATTGGCGTTTTATTGACCATACAATCTGGCTGATACAAATATATTTCTAAAAAGGTTACAAAACATTTTATTACAAACTATGGGAAAAATCTGGATTTCACGCATCTTCACCCTGAATAATCGATCTGGGCCCAACACATGTAACACAAGTTGCTCGGTCAAGTTATCGAATTGCGTGAGCGAACCGGAGCACCTTAGATTTGCTAACTGTGCATTTTAAAGAACAAAAGGAAATTGGTATTGTTCATGGCTCTCTGCGTTTTTTTAAGGATATTATTCACTGAGCTGGCGGTTTTAATACTGACAAAAAAAGGTATTTTGAAAAGTATATCATGACACATCATGGAATTCGTATTAGCAAAATTCCAAGAAACGGAAATAATGTCGTCCGATATATCGACTTAAGTGACGGAAGTGGGTCTTTAGGGTCCTTAAATACGTGCATAGCATAGATAAAAATGTTAAGAAATTCACGTCTTGTGATCACACTCTTTCAATCTTAATGAATTGAGGAATTTTCCTACTTTTAATCATATCGAATGGCAACTGCGAAAGTCATCAGTTCACAAAACAATATATTTTTTTGTCACGAAAGGCCACATTTCTTGCGACAGAAACTGGTATTGTTCATTTGCTGCCGGTTTATTGGGGTTGGCATTTTTAACAACACATATAAGTTTTATGCACATATCATAAACAGATCATGCAATTGATAAAAGCAAAATCGCTGAAATGACCATTAGAATGTGTCATTAGTCGGAGTATTCAGCAAAATATGTGTTATCCAGACCACCAGATAAACGCAGTTTGTTTTTCCACACACCAACCCACCGAAGAGAAATCTATCCGCAGATAGCGCTATTCAACTTAAAAAAACTGGGGCCAACATCCGGGAGGAGTACTTTCTCGGGCCTATACGGGTAAGCCGCTGAAAGCATGGTTTTCAGGGTCTTGAGTTCTTAACAGGGAAAACAGGGTGTCTTATTGGATTAGAATTCTTTAAAAGAGTGTGAGGGTTAGTGATAAGCGGCCCTCAAAACTCTTTTGATAGCAGACAAAAGGGAACAAGGACAAAAATAAATAAAATACAAATAAGTTTATTTTGATCTTAATCAGGGTAAATAAATTGCTACACTTAACAATTATTCTTTGAAATCGAGGTGAATAGTTGCTGCATTTACCGAGGTGCGAAGAGGCGAGGTAAATATTCCTAAAGCCACTATTCAGCGAGAAAAGAATAATTGTTTTAGTACATACACACGAAGTGATCTCTTTCAAAAACAGAGAGGAAACCATTCAAAAGTACGATTTGATTGACGGATCAAATCACGCGGAAGTTTAAAAATGATCTTCGCAGAATTTTCAAACATGGCAATCCACAAGTTTATCACTTCGCAAACTAAAGCTTAATGGCTTAAACGGAACCGTTAAAAGTTTGAATTACCCGAGAAGAAAAGTAGAGCTTTGTTGTTTTCTGTTGACTCGCCAAGTTTATAGTCGTTCTTCGCATGAAGTGCTGACAAAAATGGCGGCTCGGTTGCTCGGGGAGGTAAGACGTCGTCTTCCGGTACCATTCTTTTTCCTATTTGCTTGAAACGTAGAATTTTTGCAAACATTTGCTTTCAGATTTGTTTTTCATAAATAAACTTCGATTTTTGGGCCAAATTTTCTTGTTAGGAAACACTGAGTTCACGAAATGCCTTCTTCTAGGCGAATAAACGGGAGTTGTAAACAATCCATCACGCACAAAACTCAACTACAGTAAATGGAAAAACGCCGTTTTGAATCCTTTCAAGTCTTTTCTTGCCTTAAAAAAAGTCAACCCTAGGATTTTGTCGACTTTTAAAAGATCGTTCTCTGAAAAAGGGGAAAAACACCGAGCTCACACATTATCCACTCGCTTAGAGGTGAATAGTCCGAGATAGCGAACCAATCAGATTGTTTAGATCACTAAGATAACTGAGTGTGTATATATTAAAGTGTATTATGATAATATTAAGAAGAGCGTTTCCTCTAAATTAAAAAAAGAACAGCGTTCACAAATTTTGTGTGGCCTCTTGTGAGGTACGTGTCCGTTGTTGAAAGGTGGACAATATGGACACCTCTCTGTAACAGACCCAGTGGAATCTTTATCTTTACCGGGTTCTAGGAGAAAACGTCACCGGGTTGGTTTATTTTCCACTGAGTTGTCTTTTCTTGATTTTGTATTTTTCTTTCACCATTGCGTAAGCAGCAGCGTTTCTAGGCAAAAATAACAATTAGAATTAATTAAACAGGCGACCGCTATGGGAAGGGATGAAATAAAACTCTTTATTATATCGAGCCGAATTTTTGAAAACATACCTCAAAACTGGCCAGAATATCCGAACAGGAACCTGGCGATAGCCAGGTGTCTGGTCACTGCGGTTAGAATAAACATAGAGGGCTTGGCGCCCTGGTTGGTTATTTACCTTCCATCGTTAGTTCGTAAACAGCCAAATGGCAGCTATGTCTAATTAGTATATACACACTCAGTGATCTTGGTGATTTAAGCAATCTGATTGGTCCGCTATCTCGGACGATTCAACAATATTCACCTCTTAGCGAATGGATAATGTGTGAGCTCGGTGTTTTTCCCATTTTTGTAGAGAACGATCTTTTAAAAGTCGACAAAATCCTAGGGCTGACTTTTTTTAAGGCAAGAAAAGACTTGGAAGGATTCAAAAAGGCGTTTTTCAATTTACGGTAGCTGAGTTTTGTGCTCGATGGATTGTTTACAACTCCCGTGTATTCGCGTAGAAGAAGCCGTTTCGTGAACTCAGCGTTTTCTAACAAGAAAATTTTGCCTCAAAAATCGAAGTTTATTTATGACAAGCAAATTTAAAAGGAAATGTTTGCAGAAATTCTACGTTTCAAGTAAACAGGAAAAAGAATGATACAGGAAATACATGAAGACGACTTCTTACCTCGAGCAACCGAGCCGGCCATTTTTGTGAGCACTTCATGGGAAGAACGACACAACAAGCCCTTTTGGCTATAAACTTGGCGAGTCAACAGAAAACAACAAAGCTCCACTTTTCTTCTCAGGTAAGGAAACAGTTCAAACTTTTAGCGGTTCCATTTAAGCCTTTACGCTGTTGTTTGCGAACTGATTAACTAGTGAAACTTGCCATGTTTGAAAATTCTGCAAAGATCTATTTTTAAACTTAAGCGTGATTTGATCTGTCAATCAAATTGTACTTTTTAAGGTGGCTCCGTAATTAATACAAGAGCGTTTAGCTGTGACAAATTTTCCGTCATAACTTTTTCGATTTTAACGCGATGGCTGCGAAACTTTGCAAAGAACAACATATATCATTCGGCAATAATACGAAATATTCCGATTTCATTGATGGTAAATATTTCTTGAGAAATTAGCGCTTAAAAGGACCCTAATGTTCAAAGAAAATCGCGTCTAGTAAAAAATTTGCTGATATTTTTTACTGAAATTTCTGGTATCGGCTTTAATTGATATAATAAATATGCCAGAGGAATTTCAGAAAAATCGTTGGAGCAGAAGTCCGTAACTAAAAGTCGCTCAAAATTCAGCTGCGAAATTGTTTTGGAATTTCAAAAATAAATTACTATCAGGAAGAAGGAGACACCAGTTTGAATTTTCGGGACAAGTAAATTCAATGTTTGCTAATTCTTAAAACAAAAGCCGATTGCCTATCGTGCTATTCTTTAAAAGGTACTTTTCAGTTTTAGAAGCACTATAAATTGCTCCAAACCTTGCTCTGAAGTAGAATGACTTGTTCCTCGACATTTTTAAAATATCCCTTGGCAGTTTTGGTTCAAACTCCTGCTACATACATTTTGATGTATTGCAATGCATCCTCAACGGCTTTTCTTGCTGTACGTTGTTTCCAATTCAGGAAAAAGGTATTGGGATTGTAAGCTACCTTGTATCGAACCTCAGATAGAACTGTCCAGCGCCTTTGTTTATGACCAGAAAATGAGCACGTGCGGCAGCTCTGCGAGGAATTCGCACCTCAGCCAGGGGGGACGAATGATAATGATACCCATGTCTGTGAACCGATCTGTATAAACATGTATTGCAGAGCAAAACATAATAATCAAGAAAAAATACCCATTCATTGAAGGAAGGAGTGACAAAAATTTCAGAGTTGTAAATTTATTCACGGGCAGTATTTTTGCGATAATTTTATTTTGCACTGTGATGCTATTCGGTTCACAGGCATGGTCATCATTGTCGTTCGTCCCCCCTGGGTGAGGTGCGAATTCCTCGCAGAACTGCCGCTCGTGCTCATTTTGTAGTCATAAACAAAGGTGCTGGACAGTTCTATCTGAGCTCTGATACGAGGTAGCGTCCAATCTCAATACTTTTTTCCTGAGTTGGAAGCAACGAACAGCAGTAAAAGTCGTTGAAAATGAATTGCAATACATCAAAATGTATGCAGCAGGAGTTTGAGCCAAAACTGCAAAGGGATATTTTAAAAATGTCGAAGAACAAGTCATTCTACTTCAGAGCAAGGTTTGGAGCA